TCTTCCTCGCCACTACCACCCCACACACCACTTCCCCAGCTACTTCCTGAGGTACTTCCTGTCACCCCAAACCAAGGTATTTGTCCGACTATTCCATCTGCTCTCTCCCACCCGCCCTTCCTCTTCCGCCCTCCTCCTCCTCCTCCTCCTCCTCCTCCTCCTCCTCCTCCTCTTCCTTCCTCTCACCTGCTCTTCTCAATGCCCTTCCTGTCTATCTTTCCCGTTTAATTTACTGTTTATTCTGTCTCTTTATTTTATCTTTATCTCTGTTCCATCCTCCTTCACTTACTCCCTCAATCCTCCATCTTTCTCCATCATCTTCCACTCCACCACCCTCCACCATCCCCTACCACCCTTCATCCTCCATCATCCTCCAACAGTAAATAAACACATCCTGGGTCTCGTGTTGGACTATTCGTTTCCTTCGTAATTATACCAACCCATGGAATGTGAGCCCCCCCCTTCCTTCTCTCCCTTCCTTCCCTCCCTTCCTCTCCCTTTCAACCCTCTTTTCCTTTTTCTCTCTCCCTCCGTCCCTCCCTTCTTTCCCTCCCTTTCCTCCCTCTTTTCCTTTCTCTCCTTCCCTTCTTCCTTTCTGTCCCTCCCTTCCTCTCTCCGTGTCATCCCTCCTTCTCTCCTCTCCCCTCTCCTTCCTTCCTTCATCCCCTTTCTTTCCTTCCCTCCCTAAATAGATAATATGAAAATGAACACAAAGTCTCCTCGTTTTAATGTTGACTCGCATAAACGAGTAGAATTTCCTTTTTTTTTCTCTAAACAAATGCAAATACAATAATAATAACAGTAACCATAACATTACATCATAGAATAATACATACCTCAACTACTGAATTGGCTATTATAATGATAAGTAATTCGGTTGTTTACTCTTCACATCCAGCCTTTGGGTATAATGTTAAATAATCACTAAATGACAAATGAAACTGTGAATTATTTTACTGTATGTGATAAAAGCTATTTGTATTTCAATTGTTCGTCGGGTTAAATTTATGCGTTTATGTCCGCCAAAATGTGCCACGTGCCAAATAGTTTGTTATGATTGAAAATTATTGTATTTATATCTGCCAAACTGCATCATATGTTGAGTGATGTAGCGGAACATTAAACAGTGTCAATATGTGGGTCAGGTAGTGTATGTTGATGAGTCACCCGGTCGACTGTTTGTGTGGACTGATGATGGACAGTTACCAGCGACAGTTACTTACACAAGACTGCCACCAGACAGTTATCAAGTTTAAACGGTAGACAGTTACTAGCCAGCTATTTAGAGACAGTTATCACGAACAGTTTACCGCAGTATACAGTCATTGAGTGAGTTAAAAAATAGGCGAGGTAGAGAGGATAGTCACTAGACAGTCATACAGTGAGCAAAGAGGAGACAGTCACCAGAAACAGTTGCCGGGGACAGTCATAAAACAGCCGCAGGAGGAGGAGGTCACCCCGGCAGGAAGGAGACTCAGTCGGCGAGTCAGAGTGGGAGGCGTCCGTCAGGCAGGTGCTGTGGGAGGAGGACTAAGATGACGGCGACGCCCTGATTGGAGTTTGTGACGTCCGGGGAAGTCCTGGGAGTGTGTTCAAGGTCCCTTCCACCACGCTGCTCGCTCTCCTTGCCTCTCTCACCCTGCCACCGTCCACCCTGCTCCCTCTACCCTGTCATCGTCCACCCTGCCTCCTCCACCCTGTCACCGTCCACCCTGCCTTCTCCACCCTGCCACCGTCCCACCCAGTTCACTCAGTCTTACACCCTCATCCACCCTTCAGGTCTCTCGTGTGTGTGTGTGTGTGTGTGTACCGGGGGTTCTAAAACCTCTCTTTCTCTAGCGTTGAAGATCATCCACACCCTTTTACCGCCCATTTCATCCCGCCCCTCAACCCAGCCGCCCACCCCTGTCTACCCATGCCACCCCTCACGCCTTCCTGTCTCCACCGCCACTTCCTTCCGTTCCGGGTGGGCGCCGCCTCTGACTCACGGAGCCTCGTAAACTTTGTCTCGCTTCATGAGTGTGCCCCAGCCCTTAGTTCTCAGGTCCTCCCCCACACTCCTACACGCCCTTCCCGAGGTCTTCCACGCCCTACCAGACTCTTCCAAGCCCCTCCATACCTTCCCAGACTCTCCCACGCCCCCTCCCCCTCTAGATTTTTCCACGCTCCACCACGCCCTCCCAGACTCTTCCACGCCCTAATGGACTCTTTCACGCCCTCCCACACCTTTGAAAAACTCTCCTACATTCTTTCTCATCCTCCCACACTTCCCTCACTCATCTTCCCTTATCCTCCTACACTTCCCTCACTCATCTTCCCTCATCCTTCACTTCCCTCACTCACCCTCCCTCATCCTTCACTTCCCTCACTCATCTTCCCTCATCCTTCACTTCCCTCACTCATCTTCCTCATCCTTCACTTCCCTCACTCATCTTCCCTCATCCTTCACTTCCCTCACTCATCTTCCCTCATCCTTCACTTCCCCCATACATCCTCTCCCATCCCTCACCGATCCTCCCCCTCCCGTCCCCTAATTCACACTCCCTCATCCTTACCACACCCTCCCATATACTTCTACCCTTTCCCTCTCCCCTAATCACCCAGACCCTCCCTCATCCCTCACCTTCCCACAGTCTCCTTGATAAAGCCTTGTTTTTAGGCGTCTCTTGGTGTTTAATGTGTCCCGCTTTCCCCGCTTGGAGGAGTTCACGAGCTTTTTCCTATAGTTACCCCTTATATTTTTTGTCCTAGAAGCCCCGTTTTCTTTTTATTTCTGTTTATTTCCGACCGTTTATTTACTTCTATTTTTGTCCTTATAATCTCTGTTTATGACTTCTGTTTTTCTTCTCCTGTTTGTATATATTTCACAACAGGTAACAACCATCTAAATCAGTTTAAAAACCACAATAGTTAATAGTCTATAACCACCACAACTACCACCCAGCACGGCGCTACTCACAACCACCACCACCACCATCACCACCTTAAAATCACAACCACCACTACTACAACCACCACTACAACAACTTTCTACTCACAACCACCACCACTAACTAACTACTACCACCACCACTACCACAACTCACCACCCTTACTACCACCACCACAACTCACCACCCTTACCACCACTCCTACCACCACCACCACTAAACCCACCATCCTTTAGCTTTTCTCATCTCTACATTAACAGTTCAAAAATCATAATTGAATTCGCTCACTACTGACGAATAAAAAAAAAAAGTCTTACTCCCCTCAGAGTTTTTTTTTTGTGTGTGTCAACAGAATCAGTTTTTGGTGAGCTTCTTTGTCTCTCTTTTATCTCTGTTTTTCTCTCTTATTTGTTTATCTTTTTTTTTTGTCTTCACCACCAGTAATTAATTCCGGGTTTATCAGTTCTCTCTGGGGTATTTATTTTTGGTGTGCTGTTTTTTTTTTCCCTCTCTTTTTTTCCTTCTTTTGTGGGTATTATTTTGTTTTTTATTGTTTCTTTCCATTTTCCTTCCTTTGTTTTTATTTTTCTTCCTTCCTTCTTTATTTTTCTCTTGTCTCCTTTCTTCCTTATTCGGTATTCCCTTCCAAGTTTCTTTTCACTTCTTAGTTGTTTTTTCCCCCTCTCTTTCCTACTTTCCTTCCTTCCTCCCTCCTTCCATCCCTCATTTATTTTCCCTTCATTCCTCCCTCATCCTCACCCTTCACCCCCTCCATTCATTTCCACCTTCCCTTCCTTTACTCTCCCTCCCTCATTCCCACCCATTAACCCTCCTCTCTCTCTCTCTCTCTCTCTCTCTCTCTCTCCAAGCCCCTCGACTGTTCATGGTAGGTGCCAGGAATTCGTACCTAAACCCCATCACCCACAAGGTCGAATCTCACTCCTTCTTACAACGAGACTCTCCACCTCTCGGGGACTATATTGCTTGACACCTTCTTGCCCCGCACAGTTACCCACCAATAGAAAAATAAGAGAATAATTTACTCCTGGTATCTCTGGGGGACAAAAGTGGCACAAGTCCAGATAGCTATAAGGGAGAGTTTAGACTGAATAAATGCTAGTGTTTCAGCCATAAGTGATAGAGATTAGCACTATCTTGGCCGCTTACAATGGCGTGATGTTCAATTGCTTCTTTTGTCTATTGTCTTTGAGATATTTTTATCATGTGTCTTTATTTCATAATTCTTTGTCTACTATTCAATCTCCATTATCCCATCTTCGTTATTATTTCACTCATTGTTCATTTCCTTAACCTTACCTAACCTAACCTAACCTAACTTAATCTAATTTTACTTAAACTAACCTAACTTAATTTAATTTTGCTTAACCTAACCTAACCTAACTTAATCTAATTGTACTTAAACTAACCTAACTTAATTTAATTTTGCTTAACCTAACCTTGCCTATTATATGTTAAATGTTATCCATTATCCATAATTTATCCAATTTCAGTAAACGTACAGTATATTATCCATTACCTGTTACATAATACATCTCGTGGGACGGGCATCAACCAGCTTCAGGACTCGACTTTGTAATGTCCTCTGAAGAGTTTATAGGCGTATATTAATTCGTCCCTGACGGGGGGATCGTCAGGGTACAAACTTACACACAGTTTAAAAAATAAGTCACGGAGGACACAGCAGTACAGTGCTTGGCGGGGAGCTGTTGCTGTAAAAATATCTAATTCCAATATGATAAGTTAATTTTACGTCCACACCTCTCTGTCCAGCGCTACAGTGACTCAATTGTAAACACACGACCCCAGGTCAATGACCGGAGTATTTAAAGAGCCAGCGCTTTAAACCCTTTCATCCTATCGAGTAAAAGTCGTCTGTTTCCCTCTTCCCTTTTAAACTGTTTATAAGAATTATTTAAACTTTTAATATTATATAAGCCAAATTTAATCTGTTTCAGCTTAGTTTTTTTCATATAATATAGGAACTATTATCTAACATGCCTTATAAATGACATAAAGAGACTACGGTGGATAAGAAAGAATGTTTGTTGTGGTCCGTCAGGTGGCTGGTGTTGACAGTGCTGTGGCTATGGCCTCACCTCGCTTAGTATGGCAGATGCTGTCATAATAAAAGATCCAGACATACATGACGAATATGGCCCCAGAAACATGGATTTACACACAGTGGAGGTTCAGGCGGCGGATATACTGGAAGATTTATGTCGATTGTGTGGGGCGCAAGACGGCAGAATGTTACATTTAGCTGATACTTTCTCTATCCTGGGAGCCACGTCAAATATACTACACTTGCTGGAAAGCATATCAGTCATGCTTAAAGTTCAGGTATAGCAGCATTTTTATTTTTTATGGAGATGGGATGCCACCTTATTTCTTCGTAGTGGATATTTTACCATGAGCAGCTAAGTTCCTACTAATGCTATTTTACCGTAAGTGGGCTCTGATTGGATAAGTACTTTATGTTTAATATGACAGGGGGTCTGCTCTACGGCTAGGGAATTAGGTAAGGTAAGGTAGGTTTCTTTGGTTGGTTAGGTCAGGTTTAATCAGGTTCTAGTAAATGTTGCCTCTTTTATAACGATGAGTACATCTGTGGAAAAATTACCAAAATCGAATATTAACCTCTGGTTAGGAAAGTTCATAGCTACACAACGATCAATTCATGGCAAAATAAATGCCAAATGCCGTCAGATTTGTGGTCACATATCGTTCTCACGTTGTTCACCAGTAATGGATGATTAGTCAATCCGAGCGAACTCACGGTAAAATAGCATAAGTAGGAACTTAACCGGCCATGGCAAAATATCCACTGCCTTATTTCGTAGGATAATGGCAACAAAAATTTTACATACAGGCAAGAGGAAGACCTCTTGCATCAATAAAGACAACATCATAATACTGGACTATGGTCAGCTTTGATGCCATGTTGTACAGGAAAGAGTGTCCTTGAAGCTGGTCGTAGTGGGCCACCCTGAGGTAACTGGACTGGTTTCACTACAACACAAGAATAATATTTTGTGAAGGAGATACTGCCCCTGAACTTGCTATATTATCAGGGCAATACTCTACCATAACCATCCTATTATGTACAAAGTTCATGATTACAGTGATGCCTGTAATCATGCTTTTGAAATTTTTCTTCACATCTCACATGAAATTTACAGTTTTTAAGGGAAAGTTTGAGAGTTCTGCAATATTATCACAGGAGATATATGATGGAGCATTATTATTTATATTTTAGATGCATTCCTTTCCTAATTAATAAAAGAATATAATTTTTATCCATCAGTAAACTGTGTTTCTTATTTATAAAATGCTGCAGTTACCTAGCCATTTATGAGAATGATTGTGTTTTCTGTAGCAGCTTTTGAACATTCCAGTATCTTCCTTATACAGTACAGTGTTTGTTTTGGTTTTGAAACTTATAAAACTTCTTCACAATAAAATACTATTGAGAAATTACAGACACAGCTATGATGATATTTTTTATAAATGGTTCTTTTCAGGATGATTGTGAGGACTTGATGCCCAAACACCTGTGCTTGTCCTGCTTCAATACAGCGATTGACATTCAAGCTTTTATAGACTCAGGTGTCAACTTCCAGAAAACAACCATCAGTCAGTTATTTCCAAATGCTAAAGTAGAAGAAGCATATGAACTGCCATTTGCTACAACATATCACCAAGACTCATGTATGACAACTAGAGCACTGCCGGAGTATATGGAAAATACCATTGAAGGTGAAGCATCGGGAGAGAAGAGACCTCAGGATTTTTTACGCTGTTACACTTCTTTTGAAAATTCAGGTGACTTCACCAAAAGAAATTATGATCAAGGTCATGCACTCACCATTGAACGAAATGTGGATAATCATAGACATATCATAGAAAGTTACCAAGACTCCCAAGGAATTTTTGAATCCAGTGGAGTTGTAAATAAACCTGGTGTTATTATTACATCCAAGACAACAAATACGGAGCCAATTACTTCAAGTCATTCCCTCGAGCTCTCTAAGAAGAATTCCAAGTCTCCTCTGGAAGGACAAATTCTCACTAGTGACCAGTGTGATTCAGTGGTAACATCTGCAGGAAAAAATGTCTCTTCAAAGCAGAAGATGCATGGGAAAAAGCCACCAAATTGCTTGTCTTATGGAACCAACCAGAAAAGCAGGGATAGTACTGACGGTGCTAATAGCAACTCTGACTGCCCTACTGAGAGACAAGGCTCAGTCTCCTCCGATGACCCAGCAGCTGGTGACAACAGGTTAAGGAAATGTCCAACATGCAACAAAACATTTTCTAGACAAAGTCAACTCAAGAGTCACCTTACTAGTCACAGTGAGGTCCGGCCATTTGAATGCAAGATATGTCTTTTAAAATTTAAGTACCGCAGAAATCTTGTTGAACATTCCAGTATTCACGATGCCGTTCCATCCTTCATCTGCTCGGTGTGTGGACTGACATTTAAACAAAAGAGCAAGTAAGTTATGTTCACCTATAAATTATAAATTCTTTGCTTTCATTTGTCTTCTATTGTGCCTTAACCCCTTCATTACCATACACTGAAAATCATGGTTGCCGAGAGCTGGCCAGGGTCCCGGAGAAAGATAAATTTATGGGCCCCCTTTAGGCCTTTGAACGGTTAATAATATCTACCTACTGTATTTTACTTTTCGTGTACATAACTATTTTTAACATTCCATTTAATTCGAATAACTGCTTTACAGATAGTTTATACTGTATAATATTTGTATCTCCCTTTTTCTGGGGCCCCTACAAGCCTGGACCCCGGAGATTATCCCGACGGCCCTGCTGATATTTCCATTCAACCTGTAACAGTGCCTTCAAACATGCATATACTAACTCGACCATGTAGTATCTAATGAGTAAATTTCTTATGTAATTTTTGCAAGACCCTGAATTGAAATATTATAGCAGGTGTGTGGGGGGGGGGGAGGGGTTGTATACTAGTACTGTGCTTCTATTTCTTCTCTTAAACCTCTCCTGTCTGTTTCTACACTTATCTTTCTCCATTTCTCCTTCATTTATCATTATCACCACTCATCACCTCACTAGCCCTATACTAACACTTGTCAATAATGGTCACAAAGGTTATGACAAATTAACAAAGAACAGACTAAACTCCAAAAGAACTACAATAGTAAAATGATGAATGGTGAAATGATTAATAAATAAATTAAACTTGTAGCAAAGTTTATATTGTATGTATATATATTCTGGATTTAATATGAAACAAGAAATAATCATAGGAACTTTTTGTGAGCTGTGGATTGATTCACATATTAAAGAATAAAAGATATTCTCTTCCCTCTCTAGTTTGCTGAAGCACGAGCGGACCCACCGCGAGGCAAGTAAAATGAACTTCAGGTGTACTTTTTGTGCCAAGGAATATACACAGTCCTCACACCTGAAGACCCACATGAGGAACATACATGGAGGTGAGTTAAAACACACACTAAAGGATGATATTTTGAACACATGTACAGTACTGTATCTATATTTTAACCAACTTTAAAGATGGCAAATATAGGGAATTTAGAATTAATATTTCATACCGTAGTTAGTAGTGCTCTGGAAACCAATCCCATGCGACAGAAGGTTCAGTCCCATGTTCCAGCAGGGTTAGTGGGCATTACATTACGGTATAGTGGTGTGCCCTGAACTGACCACCAGCTAAAGCAATCCTTCCCTCTTGTTGTTTGATATCTCCCAAGTTGTGAGAAATAGGGTAAAGAAAGTGATTGGTTTTTAATGCTCAGTTTACTTGCAGATAACTGTGGCTATACCTGCAGTGAGTGTAGTGTGGTGGTACTGTGCAGGTCTTCATTGCGCCGCCACATGTCTACTGTACACGCCAAATCTACAAAATTCACTTGTCCTCACTGTAATAAAGGCTTTAATAATTACCAGAATTATCAAGGTAAGGTTCGTGTGATCAGTGAAAATTGTGTCAGAGATGCCGTGTATTTTCTAATTCTCAGAATACTGTAATATGAAAATAACAGAGAAAATATTATCTTCACACAACTTTACATTACAGGTTAATCCCATCATGTACATTGTATATATGACTATGTGCTGTAGAATGTTAATGTGTGTGTGTGTGTGTGTGTTTCATCTTACGGTACTAGGTTAAAATTACTGTACCTTTACTCCTGCCTCTGAGTCGATGAATTGCTTTGATAACTGGAGTATTCTAATGATCATCATCCTTCTTACCTTCTTAGTCTTCAGCTAATACAGGTCTATAAATAAATAGCCTTCTTTCTTTTTCTAATATCTGCCTGTTTTATGCAGTACTTATAGATTTTATGAAGCATAGTACAGTAATGCCTTGTGTGTGCAGGTCATGTACGTGGGCACACTGGAGAGCGTCCATATTGTTGTGTAACCTGCAATAAAACCTTCACCACACCTAAGGCTCTCAGTAGACATCGCCTCATTCATCAGGGGACCAAATCTCACAAGGTGGGTAATGTTTCATCCATATTTATGACTTACTCATAATTATTTTGTCCAATTTACATCCAGTGTATTAGAAAATTTCACCATCCCCCCCCCCCTTTTTTGCGGACAGTACAAATTCCACTTGTCCCTTCAAATAGAAATCCTTCCGTTACTCTCCTACAAATTCTGTAATGCTTCCAGGAGCTACTCTATTTTATGGCTACAGTATCAGATGCATGTTCATGATCTACGTATGATAGATTTTATAGTGTAATTTATTTTTAAGTGATTATCATATTCCAATTTAACCCAACTAGAATAAGAAACTTAAAAATAATTAATTTATATATATTACAGTGTACACAGTGCAGTAAAGCATTTCTTGAATTATGTGATCTGAAGCGACACGTCAAACGCCATCTTTTGAAGCGAGTGAAGAAGGCCAATAAAATGTCTTTGGCCAAGAATCAAGAGAATGCTAATAACCCGACAGCTGCAGTGGATCCAAGCATGAATTCTATCAATCTTATGGTGCTTACTGAATCGTTGCTCTTCACCGAGTCTCAGCAGATACTGGAGAACACTGGCTCCAGAGCGACTGAGGTAAGTACACACTGCCCCTTGTACCTATACTGTATACAGGACAGTACTTTACATTGTTGTTATTTAGTGATTTTTTTTTTACTTCACAAAGATCTTCAGTCCCTATCTCGCAAAGTAAACTGAGGCTCCTGTGCAATATTTAACTCATATATGCAAGTAAGTTCTTGCACTTTTTGTAGTGCAAAGTTATCTTATTTTTAACATCTTCCTGGTGAAAACTAATACTAACCATTTCTAACATCAACAAGCAAGTAATAGACTCATATGTACTGTATGGGTATAGTATGGCTTTATGTAAAGGATGGTTCTGTACGAGACAACAAATTTGTAGAAAACTAAATTGGAATATCTCTCATCGTCTATTATATATTGTACAACTTTTACAAATTAGCAGTGGGAAAGTAAAGAAGTAATTATTGGTGTGAGGTATTAACACAGAGAATGTGTCCACTGCCCAGCTGTTGACCAACCACTGAGAGATGGACAACCAGTCACTAATGTGCTACTACTCCTCACTTGTCACAGTTTATGATGAGATGAAACTTTTACATTTTAACCAAATTAGTGAACTAAGTTTGTGATGAATATAATCTGATGATATAGACACAAGATGTTCAACAGATTTTTAACTCATCAAACTTACTATGAGAGGTTTGCAAAAAATGTCCACATCTGTTTTGACATTCAACACTTTCCCATATTTGGCTGAATTTCATTAAAAGAAAGGATCATTATGAATATGCAGCAGCACTGTACATGGTGTGTTCAGATTATAATGTATACCGTATTTTGTTTGTGATTTATCCTTTTACTTTGCTGTGTTTAATATTGGTTCAGAATATGTACTGTATACAGCATTATACCTCGTTCATATCAAAAAGATTTTCACGTATTTTCACATTTGTGTACAGTATATGCTCATGGGGTCCTTGTATAAGTGCTTCACACACCTGATATTTTAAGTTCATGGTCCCATTGTACACATGTTATAGGTTCCTGGATAACTTGCAACTTATCAGCCCTAAGGGTACACGAACTCCACAGGTTTTATTGTATATAATAAACTACTGTATTGTTTGAGTGGGAAATGAGTGCTGCTGCAATTAAAGATGTACTGTATACCATAATTTTTTTGAGAAGGGAACATCGTGACATGAAATATAGTTGATTAAAATAATAAGTGGAGAGAAGAATTTAAAAAAAAATGGGAGGTTGAATTTAAGCCCATAATTCCCCCTCTTGATCTCCCAGTGAGAGGTAAATACAGTACAGTATAGTGTTATCCTAAATTATTTGGAGAAAATGAGGAAAAAGTGCTGGGAATTGTTTACATTTGAAATATGGATCCTTGTAATTAATAAATCATCTTGTTTTGTAGGTTATCTTACCACATGAGAAACTTGATGTCCCTAAGGTTGTCACTGCTGAGCCAGTCATGAATCCAGACAATATTATACAACCTGATGGGTCTAATTTGCCACAAGCATCCATGGATCTGACAAAGGGATCACATATATTAAGGACTGAGGAGGAAGTTCTTGCATCATCTCAACTCATGCCAGCTGCACCAGATATGGAAGCAGTTTCTCTCCTGGCAAATACTGCAGTTCTTCAGCCCCCAGAAGTCATAAATGGCATTACTACACCCTTAGATCCTTCACAAGTATTACAGCCAACAAATATTGATGTCCAGGATGTAGTAACTGCAAGTGAAACCAGTCAAGTTAGTCTGTCAACGCGTGAAACATCTGAATGTACCTCAGCCTCAGAGGCTCCCACGATGGTCATGCTGTCATCTGTTACAACACCATCTGAGTATTTACCTGTACCTCAGCAAGAAAGTAACTCTGGCAACCCAGTCATTGATGGAACAAGACATCAACAGAGTGAGAGAGTGCTCAGTCATGCCACCTGGTAATTTAGATGCCAGAGTCTTCATTGTTAAGACAGATTTAAGGAATATACACTTGTAATATTAGAAAAATTAAGGAACATCTATATGTAAAATTTAGTCAAACAAAAAATGCATTTTCAAACTCAAGTAATAAAACAGATACTGTATTTAATTCTAAGTTAAAGCACCCCCTAAGTATCATACTGAATACCTCTCGTCTAGTCATTTCACAGTAACTGTTTATAAATTTGCCCACCGGAAACCTATTGAAAGAAGATCGTGGTAACAAAAACCAATAAAACAATGAAAATATAACATGTGAAGCACTTAAAAAATGTGTTACAGAGTTTCATTAATATAATGTTAGGCATTAATTCTGCTCATAATACTGTAGACAGTACTGTACAGTAAAACCTTTTACACAACAGTTGGTGGTCAGGATATTATGGCTGTGTGAGGTTTGGCAGCCATGAGAGTTTCATTATGAAGAAGCCTTTATTTCTCTTAACTGATTTATATTTTTTAAGTTAATTATTTTACTGTAAAGTATTTCTTTTACAAAAAGTAAAAGATACATACATAAATATTTTTCTTTACTCACCAGAAGCTGTAGATCTGTTGTGAATCGAAAGGGGATCAGGCAGTCATTTGCAGTGGGCTACAGCATGAATCCTCTGCTGAGTCCTTGTGCAATGCAAAATAAGTTGGGCTAATCAGAATCTTAATAATCATTTACTCACTGTGCCCAAAAATATTTTAAGTACTCGTATATTTTGGCCTGGTGAATAAGCACAGTTACACGCCCTCTACTATACTGTACCGTAATTATGGTACAATATATAAAGTACATGCAAAATATAGTTTTAATACAAAAAGTTACAGTAGAGTAGTCACAGCATCATCTTTAAGGTCATTTTCCATATTTGCATTGGTCTACCATGTTTACATAATGGCAGCACTCCAAGTTACATGTTTTTTTGCAGCCTATCTCTGTGCTGCCATCAGGCAAATTTGAAGCAAGGATGTGTTTGACTTTCATGTTCTTCTTCCTCATCAAGTCCCCAAGACTGTCATCTAGTTTATCCTAGGAATTTCACAAAACCCTGCACACTACAGTCACTGTGTAGTCACTCCAGCACAGTGAAGTTAACAGTTAAGTAGTAATTACAATACAGTACACCAATCAAATAGTTGTACTCTCATATCTTTATGTATCTAATACTACTACAAAAGTTCACTTAGTTATGTGCAATTATTATGATAACAGAACACTTGTTTCTCCATCACAAGCTGGGAGATACTAAATGTGGTGAGGGGAGGTGTTGGTAGGAGTGTTATCCATGGAGAGCTACAACCAAGCTGCTGAACCTCATATTGACCTAACATGGTCTCATTCCATTTTCATAACCAGAACCTGAAAAAATTGTGGCTTAGAAATTGCTCCTTGGAGATATTTGTGGCTTAAAAGGTTTACTGTACTGTATAATTTATATATATGTATATTTATATACAGTATATCACTGTCCATGTATTTGCTTGTTTGTCAGGATGCTGGCTCAGTATAATAAAGTTTACCAATCTGAGAGTGAGTCATGTTGTAATCTCATTAAATGGTAATTGTTAGAAATAAGCAATAAACAGGAGTTTTTCTTCTTCAAGCAGACGACCTAAACCTGATCAAACCGAATGTAATGATCAAAGGGTTGTTGAGTTAAGTTGGATAGGTTTGTTTAGTTCATATTACAAGAAAAGAAGTTGTTTTTGGCTTTACTCTTATTCATTGTGATTAGGATAAGAATATTGCCATCAGTGAGTGTATGTGTTTGTGAATTTGGCAGTTGGTCTGCACATACTGTATACAGGTACAGTACATAATAAGTATTCAGTTCATTGGTTATAATCAATAATTGTTTCCCTCATCTTCACATGCTCTGATATCCTTCTAAGTAACATAATACAGTACTGTACTGTATACATAACATTCTTAATGCAATCTAGTCAATATGTTTTTTGCATTAATATACATATTGTCAGGTAACTGTGTCCTCTCTAGTCAAGAATATACCAAAGTTGTCTTTTATATATTGTAATTAAATGTGTGATAATATTACTAATACTTGTACTGTAATTTTATTTAGTACCTTGTTAGTATTACCAGTGCTGTAGGGCAACACTCTTGTGGAAGGATATGTATAATTTAACTATCACTGGTATGTGGACTACCGTAAACCATCACAGGTCTAGTGGATCTACAATGGCAGAGGAAGAAGTCAAATTACTGTATTGATGGACTGTACTTTTTATTTAAACCTTTGGGAGCAACTAGTATAAGCTAGTCAGTTGCAGGCGTTTTAATCACTCTGGGTAACTGAGGTGCTGTAGCGCAGGCACCAGTCTGTTGGCCCTCCTTTGGATATTTTCAATCAAACAACTGTCGCTAGCATATATCTGAGACCTGATGGGGTGACTGTTCTCCAAACGGGAAGCAACTCACTTTGATTTGGCCTGGAAGGTGTTTTATTTTTCCATGCCATAAAAGATTTACTCTTCAGCAGCATTTTAGCGTGATGTTATAAGAACCAGCTGTGCCACCTGACTAAGAATAAAAAATTTAATTGTTGCTATCTCCATTTCTGCTGGTGGAAATGTGTGCCTAAACAACACCTGTGGAATACTGTCTGGATTTACTTAACTTTGAAGTGTCATCTAGCAACTGGTATGAAGTGAACTGATCATGAAGCTATAATTCATCTAATTCAAGTCAGCTAAAATTACATAGCTTTATCTATACCTGTATTTATCTACATAAATACCTCCATTAGCTGCAATTCTCTAATAGCCAGAATTGAAATTTGTTCAAAAAATTTCCAGAAAATTTCTCTCAATTCTGGGATTGGGAACAATTTTTTGAGGTTGAAAATCAGGTGCATTTTCTGAAAATTCCAAGAAAGATACCAGAAACTCTCTCCAATTTTTCTTTCCGGGTGTGGTAGCAAATTCCGAGGATGAAATAATGCATCATTCTGGAGAATTCAGAGAAAATTATGGAAACTCTCTACAATTTTCTCTGCTCTGGGAACAAATTCTGAGGATGAAATACCTGTACACTGTACAGTAATGCACAATTTCTGGGAAAATCCTGATTAATTGGCATGAAAATCTCTCCAAACCTTTTGGCTCCGGACCTGGCAACAAAGGTTCCCGGAAAGTGATGAAATATTGCGTCATGCTCCCTGGTCTTCATTCCTGGGTACACGAGTGGGAGGACCACTTGGGTAACTTAAGCCATAGGTTCATGCATCGTGATTGGCTAATGCTGTCATGTTACCACATGGGATGCCTGTGATAGGCTGATGCATCTCCCAGATTATCCCCCACCAAGCCATTCCACAAGGATTATCTCACTCACTGCTGTTTTTATAAACAATTGTGTTATGCAGTACTGTACATTATTGTACCAGGACACAATTAACCTAGAACACAGTTCAAAGGCAATGTTAAGCCATGGACAGTGATTACAGTGTGTAATTTTACTGTAAATTGACATTGTTTGTGTTAACACTGTACTGTACTGTGCATAGCATGCTGGCTATCCTGCATCACAAGCTCAAAGTGACAGCATCTCTTGGTGAGTACTCTGTACTTTTTTATCTTTTTTTATGATGTAATGTTTTCCTGGTATAAATAATGTGTCATGCACAGGGTGGTCAGAGAGTTTTGTTGCTCAATCTTACCATGGCCCTAGGTTAATGGGAATTTCTTTGTTGTTTTTCTACTTATAGGAACTGTTATCGGCTATCTTAGACAAAAAAAGAATTATTTACTGTCTATATTTACTGTTAAAAAATATCTTGACTGATTATTTCAAAGAAAAATGGTGAGTTAATAAGCTTTTGAGCCACCTTGTTTATTTTGTTGCCAAGAACTCCATCATTAATCATATATCTCGTAATGTAAATAAATTATTTAAATTGATCAAGTTATAGGAATTGTTAAGTTTATTTTAGTTGGGTTTTATTTTCAATTTTCGATTAAAATAGTAATAATGGGCGTTTTTTTTTACGGGATTAGCCCACCCGGGCACAGGTCACTGACCCACATCGGGGCCTAGGGGGAAGGGGGAATATAATAATAATAATAATAATAATAATAATAATAATAATAATAATAATAATAATAACAACAACAATAATAATAACTATTATTATTATTATCATTACAACAATTAATAAAATTAAGACCAAATTAATAAAAATAAAAATAAAATAATAATAACCATAAATAAATACAAAAACTGGGAGGAGGGAGGAGGGAGGGAGCCTATAATTATATAGACAGTTCGCACAGAACGGAAGCGCTGTTGGTCGTCGCTCTCACCCACTTCATATTTAAATTGACCAACTACATCAATTTCTATAAAAAAAATCATCTTTCGAAGGTCAATTTGGCAGCCATCTTGAAAAATGGCCGCCATCTTGGTTTTCCAAATGGCCAATCAGGCAGATTTGACCAGTAGCCCCTAGGGTATGATCAGGCCAAGTTTCATGCTCGTATCACCATTTGCACGATTTTTCCATTATCCGTCTCAGATCTTGGTAGTGACTCCGGCCTCCCTTATTCTCAGCAGCTGCAGCGGTTTACATGGCGCTCGCCTCCTCCTGGGTGGGGGGTGTCCCGCTGCCACCCGGCTCTGTAGTTCATCTTGCACTTGTTCAGACTTTGGGAATGCTTGAATGTTTACTATTCTTTAAGTTTTGTATTTAAATGTTACAAGATTTGCTTAACTGAAGTATTTATTAAATATATATGCTATTCATAAGATTTTTTTTTTTTTTTTTGCAGGAGATCCAGTTGCTTGGGTTAGTTACTGTTGTCTTGATGAATGTGAGAGGACGACCGGGTAGAATGTTGCTGCACCAGATGAGGTCCACATCAATGGTAGTCAACGTTGACACTTGAGGTAAGAAAGTTTGTTCTGTAGTAAAATGCAAAGTCTTTTCATTTGAACTTTGCAACTGAGGATTATGGTCAGTTTGTAGCAAGGCAGCTGATTCAGGAAGCTTATCTACTGGACCATCATTCATGTTTAGTGTGCGATACCTGGCACTAAGAGGTGAATGTTGTTCACTTTGATTTACCTGTGTACTAGGTGGCGATTTTGTTGAAAGTAGAATGACCTAACATCCTTGTGTGTGGGGTTGTTTTCGTCGGGACTTTAACTCTGTTTTCGTGTGTATTATGTTCTGAAACTGAATGGGGAAGGAAAAAGAGAGATTCAAGATCACAGGAAGCAGGTATTACACCACTGCCTCTCTGTAGTCTATCAGATCATCACTGCGAGTCGAACCAAACTTCAGTTCATTCTGGCCAAAATCATGGTTGTTCTGTAGTTTTTATAAATATCACTGAAGGTGTGGAGGTGCATAACCAATTCTCTGTTTTTTTCAAGTAAATTCAGTCTTTTTTCCTTTCAGAGAAAACAAAACACTACTTACTTTGGGTGGTAACAGTGAATTATGTATATGTCTGTAACCAAATTATCATTGGTAGATTAGGTTGGGTTTAGTTGGTGTGTTTTGACAGTTTAAAAAAAAAAACGCGATGGGCAGCCTCCGTGACGGAAGCATTGTTTTCAGGGTAAATATTGAAATGTGTCTCAGTTTTCACCTCGTATCATAAGCTACACGTATGCGGTGCACCACATTCTTTGTACTAAATCTCAAAAGCTGTTAGTATGTTGGCGGTTTTAACTCATTCTTAAAGTACCTGTACGCAATAGTTCACCTACTGTACATTATTTAAGAGACTTATAAAATAGCATAAAACTTGTTTGATATCACTTCACTATATTGAATCTCATGTCAGAAATTGAGAAATGCAGTTTTCATTATACAGTACACTGTATGTTGATTTTCAAATGGCCGACAAACTGATGTGTGTCATCGCCAGTGTTATGGTCCAGTATTTTAAGAATCTGCCGGAAGACAAACCACAAAAATAGACAAGAGACACCAACCTAACCTATCCAACATGAAACATTCTGAGATCATTAGGTTCAGTGAAATTTACCATTGCAAGCTTAGCGAGGTGAGCGGGGAATATCTCAATTATCAGATTTCTCGGTGAAGGAGGAAGAAGACACTTAAGATTTTGATGCTAAAGGTTCATAAAAAGTGACTCTGAACAAGTTCATTTACTCACATGAATAACTCAAAGTATACATAGACCCAGACCATTGCTTAACCTAGCCAAATATAAAGTAATATAGCACTGAAAATGAAGCATAGTGCTTACATGAATTCCTTTTACTGTAGCGTTTGAAATTAGTTGTGTTAATTTTAGATCACATACTTAACACTACCAAATGTGAAGTCGCGGATTCGAATCTCTGTGCGACACATCTGGAAACATTTAAATAAAGTGTGTTGTAGCGTAGAATAAATGTGAGAAAGGTCCCACTATGATGCAGAACGTGTAGGTTTAAATATTGGTGACATTGTAAAGTGCAAAACACCAGAAGAATTGCGGGAACAAAACAATACGGTTATAGGGTTACTTCAGGGATTCAAGGCATTAGTTTAGGTGCCATATATGTAAGAAAACAATAATACTTGGTTTATGTGTGTATACGTGTTTGTAATGTGTAAGTGTGTGTTTACAGGAGAGATAATGTTGTGTAAATTTGTGTGAAAGAAGTTTGTAGTATGTTTTGTGTGTACAGGGGGCATATATAGTAATTATATAGTATTTTTTAATGGACAAAACATCAGTAGTACCATGCTTACTCCAAATTCTAAGGCGACACTGATGCCTAAAATCGTAATTAGTGTCAAAATCTACGTTAAGTTAGTCAACATGACCTTTAGCGCCAAAGAAAACCATTTTGGATATATCCTTCTTAGCTGTGCGTGCTAGATCTTCCTGTAGGGCTGAGGACGTCTACCCATCTGGTAGTTTGGGCGACTTTAGGGAAGTCAGAGTTTAGGAACCATGGGAGGATCAGAGTGTAGGAACCATGGAGGAGTCAGAGTGTAGGAACCATGGAGGAGTCAGAGTGTAGGAACCATGGAGGAGTCAGAGTGTAGGAACCATGGAAGAGTCAGAGTGTAGGAACCATGGAGGAGTCAGAGTGCAGGAACCATGGAAGGATCAGAGTGTAGGAACCATGGAGGAAAAAGAGTGCAGGAACCATGGAAGAGTCAGAGTGTAGGAACCATGGAAGAGTCAGAGTGCAGGAACCATGGAGGAGTCAGAGTGCAGGAACCATGGAAGAGTCAGAGTGTAGGAACCATGGAAGAGTCAGAGTGCAGGAACCATGGAAGAGTCAGAGTGTAGGAACCATGGAAGAGTCAGAGTGCAGGAACCATGGAGGAGTCAGAGTGTAGGAACCATGGAGGAGTCAGAGTGTAGGAACCATGGAGGAGTCAGAGTGTAGGAACCATGGAGGAGTCAGAGTGCAGGAACATCTTGATTATCATGTCCACACCAACTGAAGTTCCTTTCTACCTTAATGCTGGTTTTGTAGTTGTTGCCGTGGGTGTGGTTCTTGTAGTTGTTGACGTGCTTGATGTATTCGTGGTAGTTGTAGTTGTGATTGTTGTAATAATTGTTGTAGTTGTCTTCTGTGTGCCTGTAGTCGATGTGGTAGTTGCTGTAGTTGTAGATATAGTTGTTATAGTTGTTAATGTGGTTATTGTACTTGTGGTAGTTGTACTTGTGGTTGTTGTAGTTGTGGTTGTTGTAGTCGTGGTAGTTGTGGTTGTAGTTGTAAATGTAGTTGTTTAGGTTGTTGTAGTTGTAGTAGATGTTGTTGATGTGGTTGTTGTGGTCTTTGTAGTTGTGGTTGTTGTAGTTGTAGAAGTGGTTATAATGGATGACGTAGTTGTAGTTGTAGATGTTCTAGTTGTTGTCGAAGTGGTTGTAGTCGACGTGGTAGTTGCTGTAGATGTAGTTGTTGTAGTTATCATTGATATGGTTGTTGTACTTGTGGTAGTTGTTGTTGTAGTAGATGTTGTAGCTGTTGTAGTTGTAGTGGACGTTGATGCGGTTGTTGTAGTCGTTGTGGTTGTTGTTTTTGTAGATGTGATTGTTGTAGGTGTTGTAGATGTTGTAGTGGTCGTTGACGTGGTTTTTGTAGTCTTGGTAGTGTTACTTGCGGTTGTAGTTGTTGAAGACGTGGTTGTGGTAGTTATGGTTGTTGTAGTCATGTTAGTTGTAGTTGTAGTTGTTTTAGTTGTTTATGTTGTCTTTCATACAACAGTTGTAGTTGTCGACGAAGTGGTAGTTGTTGTGGAAGTAGTTGATGTGGTTGTAGTTGTTGTTGATGTGGTTGTAGATGTTGTAGTTGATGTAGTTGTTGAGGTCGTGGCTGATGTAGTTGTGGTTGTTGTCGTAGTTGTAGTAGATGTTGTGGTTGTTGAAGTTGTTGAAGTCGTTGTGGTTGTAGTGGTCGTTGTAGTTGTAGTAGATGTTGTCGTTGATGTGGTTGTTGTAGTTGCTGTAGTTGTTGTACTTGTAGTTGTTGATGTAGTTGTTGTAGATGTAGTTGTTGATGTGGTTGTTGTAGTCGTTGTAGATGTAGTTGTTGTTGTGGTTGTTGTAGTTGTTGACGTGGTTGTTGTAGTTGTAGTAGATGTTGTTGTGGTTGTAGTTGTTGTAGTTGTTGTTGATGTGGTTGTTGTTGTAGATGTGGTTCTTGTAGTTGTAGTAGATGTTGTTGTGGTTGTAGTTGTAGTCTAAATGGTAGTTGTTGTTGTGGTTGTAGTAGATGTAGTTGTCGTTGATGTGGTTGTAGTTGTTGACGTGGTTGTAGTTGTGGATGTAGTAGTCGTTGTTGTAGTTGTAGTAGATGTTGATGTGGTTGTAGTTGATGACGTGGTTGTAGTTGTGGATGTAGTAGTCGTTGTTGTAGTTGTAGTAGATGTTGATGTGGTTGTAGTCGTGCTAGTTGTAGTTGTGGTTGTTGTAGTTGTAGATGTTGATGTGGTTGTAGTTGTCGTTGTTGTAGTTGTTGAAGTTGTAGATGTTGTTGTTGAAGTTGTGGTTGTTGTAGTCGTGGTTGTTGTAGTAGATGTTGTGGTTGTAGTCGAACTGGTAGTAGATGTAGTTGTCGTTGATGAGGTTGTAGTCGTGCTAGTTGTGGTTGTTGTAGTTGTAGATGTGGTTGTAGTTGTTGTAGTTGTAGATGTCGTTGATGTGGTTGTAGTTGTTGTAGTCGTTGATGTGCTTGTAGTTGTTGTAGATGTAGTTGTTGATGTGGTTGTTGAGGTCGTGGTAGTTGTAGTTGTTGTGGTTGTTGTCGTAGTTGTAGATGTTGATGTGGTTGTTGACGTGGTTGTTGTAGTCGTTGTAGATGTAGTTGTTGATGTAGTTGTTGAAGTCGTTGTGGTTGTAGTAGATGTAGTAGTCGTTGATGTGGTTGTAGTCGTGCTAGTTGTTGTGGTTGTTGATGTTGTAGTTGATGTGGTTGTTGAGGTCGTGGTAGTTGTGGTTGTTGTGGTTGTTGTCGTAGTTGTAGATGTTGATGTGGTTGTTGTGGTTGTTGACGTGGTTGTTGTAGTAGTTGTTGTCGTGGATGTAGTAGTTGTTGTCGTTGTTGTGGTCGTGGTAGTTGTTGTAGTTGTTGATGTGGTTGTAGTTGTGGATGTAGTAGTCGTTGTTGTAGTTGTTGTAGTAGATGTTGATGTGGTTGTAGTCGTGCTAGTTGTTGTGGTTGTTGATGTTGTAGTTGATGTGGTTGTTGAGGTCGTGGTAGTTGTGGTTGTTGTGGTTGTTGTCGTAGTTGTAGATGTTGATGTGGTTGTTGTGGTTGTTGACGTGGTTGTTGTAGTAGTTGTCGTTGTGGATGTAGTAGTTGTTGTCGTTGTTGTGGTCGTGGTAGTTGTTGTAGTTGTTGATGTGGTTGTTGTAGTTGTTGATGTGGTTGTTGTAGTTGTTGACGTGGTTGTTGTAGTTGTAGTAGATGTTGTTGTGGTTGTAGTTGTTGTAGTAGTTGTTGATGTGGTTGTAGTTGTTGTAGATGTGGTTGTTGTACTCGTTGTAGTTGTAGTTGTTGTAGTAGTTGTTGATGTGGTTGTAGTTGTTGTAGATATGGTTGTTGTAGTTGTAGTAGATGTTGTTGATTTTATTGTAGTTGTAGTCGAAGTGGTAGCTGTAGTAGTAGTTGATGTGGTTGTTGTAGTTGTAGTAGATGTTGTTGTGGTTGTAGTTGTAGATGTGGTTGTTGTAGTTGTAGTAGATGTTGTTGATGTGGTTGTAGTTGTAGATGTGGTTGTTGTAGTTGTAGTAGATGTTGTTGTTGTGGTTGTAGTTGTTGTAGTAGTTGTTGATGTGGTTGTAGTTGTTGTAGATGTGGTTGTTGTAGTTGTAGTAGATGTTGTTGATGTTGTTGTGGTTGTAGTTGTAGTCGAAGAGGTTGTAGTTGTAGATGTAGTTGTTGATGTAGTTGTTGAAGTCGTTGTGGTTGTAGTAGATGTAGTAGTCGTTGATGTGGTTGTAGTTGTTGTAGATGTGGTTGTTGTAGTTGTTGACGTGGTTGTTGTAGTTGTTGAAGTCGTTGTGGTTGTAGTAGATGTAGTAGTCGTTGATGTGGTTGTAGTTGTTGTAGTAGTTGTTGATGTGGTTGTAGTTGTTGTAGATGTGGTTGTTGTAGTTGTTGACGTGGTTGTTGTAGTTGTTGAAGTCGTTGTGGTTGTAGTAGATGTAGTAGTCGTTGATGTGGTTGTAGTTGTTGTAGTAGTTGTTGATGTGGTTGTAGTTGTTGACGTGGTTGTTGTAGTTGTAGTAGATGTTGTTGTTGTGGATGTAGTTGTAGTCGAAGTGGTAGTTGTAGTAGTTGTTGATGTGGTTGTAGTTGTTGTAGTAGTTGTTGATGTGGTTGTAGTTGTTGTAGATGTGGTTGTTGTAGTTGTTGACGTGGTTGTAGATGTTGTAGTAGTTGTTGATGTGGTTGTAGTTGTTGTAGATGATGTAGTTGTAGTAGATGTTGATGTTGTGGATGTAGTTGTAGTCGAAGTGGTAGTTGTAGTAGTTGTTGATGTGGTTGTAGTTGTTGTAGTAGTTGTTGATGTGGTTGTAGTTGTTGTAGATGTGGTTGTTGTAGTTGTTGACGTGGTTGTTGTAGTTGTAGTAGATGTTGTTGTGGTTGTAGTTGTTGTAGTAGTTGTTGATGTGGTTGTTGTAGTCGTTGTAGATGTAGTTGTTGATGTGGTTGTTGTCGTCGTTGTAGATGTAGTTGTTGATGTGGTTGTTGTAGTTGTAGTAGATGTTGTTGTGGTTGTAGTTGTTGTAGTAGTTGTTGATGTGGTTGTAGTTGTTGTAGATGTGGTTGTTGTAGTTGTAGTAGATGTTGTTGATGTTGTTGTGGTTGTAGTTGTTGACGTGGTTGTTGTAGTCGTTGTAGATGTAGTTGTTGATGTAGTTGTTGAAGTCGTTGTGGTTGTAGTAGATGTAGTAGTCGTTGATGTGGTTGTAGTTGTTGACGTGGTTGTAGTTGTGGATGTAGTAGTCGTTGTAGTTGTTGTAGTAGATGTTGATGTGGTTGTAGTCGTGCTAGTTGTTGTGGTTGTTGTTGTAGTTGATGTGGTTGTTGAGGTCGTGGTAGTTGTGGTTGTTGTGGTTGTTGTCGTAGTTGTAGATGTTGATGTGGTTGTTGTGGTTGTTGACGTGGTTGTTGTAGTAGTTGTAGTCGTTGTGGATGTAGTAGTTGTTGTCGTTGTTGTGGTCGTGGTAGTTGTTGTAGTTGTTGATGTGGTTGTTGTAGTTGTTGATGTGGTTGTTGTAGTTGTTGACGTGGTTGTTGTAGTTGTAGTAGATGTTGTTGTGGTTGTAGTTGTTGTAGTAGTTGTTGATGTGGTTGTAGTTGTTGTAGATGTGGTTGTTGTAGTTGTAGTAGATGTTGTTGATGTTGTTGTAGTTGTAGTCGAAGTGGTAGTTGTAGTAGTTGTTGATGTGGTTGTAGTTGTTGTAGATGTGGTTGTTGTAGTTGTAGTAGATGTTGTTGATGTGGTTGTAGTTGTAGTCGAAGTGGTAGTTGTAGTAGTTGTTGATGTGGTTGTAGTTGTTGTAGATGTGGTTGTTGTAGTTGTAGTAGATGTTGTTGATGTGGTTGTAGTTGTAGTCGAAGTGGTAGTTGTAGTAGTTGTAGATGTAGTTGTTGATGTAGTTGAAGTCGTTGTGGTTGTAGTAGATGTAGTAGTTGTTGATGTGGTTGTAGTTGTAGTAGATGTTGTTGATGTGGTTGTAGTTGTAGTCGAAGTGGTAGTTGTAGTAGTAGTTGATGTGGTTGTTGTAGTTGTAGTTGATGTTGTTGTGGTTGTAGTTGTAGTAGTTGTTGATGTGGTTGTAGTTGTTGTAGATGTGGTTGTTGTAGTTGTAGTAGATGTTGTTGATGTTGTTGTAGTTGTAGTCGAAGTGGTAGTTGTAGTTGTTGTAGATGTGGTTGTAGTTGTTGTAGTAGTTGTTGATGTGGTTGTAGTTGTTGTAGATGTGGTTGTTGTAGTTGTTGACGTGGTTGTTGTAGTTGTTGATGTAGTTGTTGAAGTCGTTGTGGTTGTAGTAGATGTAGTAGTCGTTGATGTGGTTGTAGTTGTTGTAGATGTGGTTGTTGTAGTTGTTGACGTGGTTGTTGTAGTTGTAGTAGATGTTGTTGTTGTGGTTGTAGTTGTTGTAGTAGTTGTTGATGTGGTTGTAGTTGTAGATGTGGTTGTTGTAGTTGTTGACGTGGTTGTTGTAGTTGTGGTAGATGTTGTGGTTGTAGTTGTTGTAGTAGTTGTTGATGTGGTTGTAGTTGTTGTAGATGTAGTTGTTGATGTGGTTGTTGTAGTCGTTGTAGATGTAGTTGTTGATGTGGTTGTTGTAGTCGTTGTAGATGTAGTTGTTGATGTGGTTGTTGTAGTCGTTGTAGATGTAGTTGTTGATGTGGTTGTTGTAGTTGTTGATGTGGTTGTAGTTGTTGTAGATGTGGTTGTTGTAGTTGTAGTAGATGTTGTTGATGTTGTGGTTGTAGTTGTAGTCGAGGTTGTAGTCGTTGTAGATGTAGTTGTTGATGTAGTTGTTGAAGTCGTTGTGGTTGTAGTAGATGTAGTAGTCGTTGATGTGGTTGTAGTTGTTGACGTGGTTGTAGTTGTGGATGTAGTAGTCGTTGTTGTAGTTGTTGTAGTAGATGTTGATGTGGTTGTAGTCGTGCTAGTTGTAGTTGTGGTTGTTGTAGTTGTAGATGTTGTTGTTGTAGATGTCGTTGATGTGGTTGAAGTTGTTGTTGTCGTTGTAGATGTTGTCGTTGTTGTTGTAGTCGTGGTAGTTGTAGTAGATGTTGTGCTTGTAGTTGTAGTTGTTGTTGACGTGGTTGTAGTGGTCGTGGTAGTTGTTGTAGTAGATGTTGATGTGGTTGTAGTCGTGCTAGTTGTGGTTGTTGTAGTTGTTGATGTGGTTGTTGTAGTCGTGGTAGTTGTAGTAGATGTTGTGGTTGTAGTCGAACTGGTAGTTGTTGTAGTAGTTGTTGATGTGGTGGTAGTCGTTGTAGATGTAGTTGTTGATGTGGTTGTTGTAGTCGTGGTAGTTGTAGTAGATGTAGTAGTCGTTGATGTGGTTGTAGTTGATGACGTGGTTGTAGTTGTTGATGTAGTAGTCGTTGTTGTAGTTGTAGTAGATGTTGATGTGGTTGTAGTCGTGGTGGTTGTCGTTGATGTCGTTGAGCCTTTCGTAATCAATTTTTCTGTAAAAAAAAAAGAGACATTAGTGCTGAGCCTAGGTTAGGTTAGGTTAGGTTAGTGGTAGGTTAGTGGTAGGTAAGGTGTGTAGGGTTATGTTAGGTTAGGGGTATGGAGGGTTATGTCAGGTTAGTTGAGTGAGGGATTAGTAAATATACGATAGGTTGGGTTAGGTTTGGTTAGAAGAGAGATAAGGTTTGGTTAGGTAGATTAGGGTAAGGAATAGATTTGGTTGGGTTGCGCGTCCAGAAACTGATTGTCATACTCGTAGATTATCAACTTGATACTTCCTAAAGAATAAAGAAATTTTCTATTAAAATTTAGTATTAGAAGCAAAAGCCGTTTTCAAGATTCCAACATATCATAAATTTGGTCGTAAAATATACAAAGGCAAAAATACTCCTTGTATGATTTTTTATATGATATACTTGTGCATCCTCTTCAGTATTATTGTATTTTGTGTGTGTGTGTGTGTCCTACAGAATAAAAGTGAATGGATATAATTTTTGAAGGAAATTAAATGGTGTCAACTCACTTTTGACGCAACATTTGCATTTCTTGCCTTTGCAGCCGTAATCAAAAAGTTCTCCGTAACATATATCCCTCGGGGTGACACAGTAGCCGCCGTAACTAGTGCAGGAGGGCAAGGTCTGACAAGCCATGGCAGCGCAGCATACACAGCCTTTTCCGGAACAACCTCCCTCGATATGCTGGTACCTGTACTCAGATTTGCAAGACTTTTTGCAAGTTCCTCCGTGATGCAGACACTTTTCATTCTCTTGCCCCCGACATTTATTACCTAAAAAAATCAGCTTATATATATAAGTAATTACTTTTTAAAGAATTTCAACTTCTAAATAGTAAAACTCATCATAAATCCCAGTTAAATGGTAAAAAAAAAAGGCATATTGCTATACACATTATTTCTATCCAATTTTTTTTATAAACATGACATATTCTCTGGGCTGTTTTTAAATTTTCTCTCTCTCATGTGTGTGTGTGTGTGTGTGTGTGTGTTTGTGTGTGTGTGTGTGTTTATCAAAAGTCCATAAGATTAAGAGGATAATTAAAGCAGCGTGCACTTACTGGCGATGCAGCAGAAACACCCCTTTCCTTTACACCCCTTCTTTAGTGCTTTGCCGTCGCAGTCATTCTTGGAGTCTACACAGTGGCCGTGACGCCGCTTGCACGACTTCTTGGCCTTACACTGTGAAGCGCAACACTTACACTTCTTACCTTTCTTGTTACAACCATCCTTGATCTCACGTTGCTTCTTCCCACACTTTCTCTTACACTTTCCTTTATGGACAGTGCATTTTTTATTGTTTTTACAACCTGTCGGAGATAATTGTGTTATTATTGAACAGATAAATGACGTTGTTCTTGGGATTTCATTGTACAAAATATCAATAGCTTCACTGTCTCAAATACCTGTTGTTAATTCTCATATTCTTACCTTTACGCGGCTTCTTGTTATTCTCCTTATCGTTATCTATTTCAACGCCATATTGATTCTTTTTATCAGAAGTGAATTTATTATTTTCTTTATTCTTCTTTATCTTATTTTCTTTTTTGTTTGTCTTATGGTTCTCAAGATTATCGTATTTCTCTCCATTTTTCTTGTCATTCTTCTTTGCATTGTTTTCCTTCTTGTTCTTGTGAGATTTTGTTTTATTTTTGGTCTTTTCCTCATTTCCATCTTTATTGCTCAGTTTCTTATTCTTATTCTTTCTCTTGCGGCCTTTTTCACCTTTATTGGTTAATTTATCGTCTTTTTTCTTAGTTTTTCGTATATTTTCTTTTTCCTTGTTCAACTTCGCATTCTTTTTCTTACTCCTTCGATCGTTTGTTCTGTTTTTGTTTATCTTTGCTTTCTTTTGTTTATCTCTTGTGTTCTTGTTTATATCTGCATTCTTCTTGTTTTGTTTATCTTCTGTTTTCTTGTTTCTCTTAGCATTTTGCTTCTTTTGTTTATCTTCTCTGTTCTTGTTTATCTTTACATTCTTCTTTTTTTGTTTATATTTTCTATTCTTGTTTATCTTTGCATTATTATTCTTGTTTTGTTTATCCTCTCTGTTCTTGTTTATCTTTGCATTATTCTTTTTTTCTCTGTTATTTTCTATCTCCTTACTTATCTTGGTATTCTTCTTATTACTCTCTCTTTCATCATCTTTGCTCTTGTTTATCTTCGTATTCCTTCTCTTATTCTCTCGTTCATTTACTTTCATTTCAGTGTTCATTTTATTATCCTTCCTTTTTCTATTTATCATATATTTCCTCCTGTTGCCCTTTTGGCGCCTTTTTATTTCATCTTCCTTCTCTTTCTCTTTATTTTTCATTCCATCTTTGCCGTTCCCCTTCTTCCCACTGATTTCTTTGTTTTTTCGTATTTTCTTATTCTTATTTTCGTGTTTAATTGTTAAGTTCTTTTCATTCCTTACTCTAACATTGTATCCCCTTAAATTCTCTCCATTTTCTTTGGTGGAGTTTGTTTTATCGTTGATTTTGTTGTTTTGGTGTTTGTTTATACGCTTATTGCCAGCTAAGCCATGTCCTCCTCTCTTATTTTTATTCTTTTTCCTCCTCTTTGTGTTTTGTTTGCCTTTATTCTCATTTGGTTTGAGTTTTCTTTTATTTTTAACTTTTCCTTTGTGCGTTTTGTCTAGCCTTGAATTTGGTTTCGTCCTCATTCTTCGCCTTTGGCTGTTATTTACGTTTTTTCTGTCCGTCGATGCTGTTTTAATCTTACTTTTGTTTTTCTCATCAGTTTTTAGTTGTTTTTCGTTATCAACTTTCTCTTCGTAACTCTCCGATTTATCTTGTTTTACTTTCTTCTTCAATTTACTTTTTAACATCTTCTTTCTCCTGTTCTCTCTACTTTTACTACCTTTTCCGACCTTCTGTCTCACTCTCATCTTCTTCCTCTTTTCACCCCTTTCATCTGTGTGTGTGAAATTTCTTCTCTTGTATTCTCTCTCTTCCATTTTTCCATTACGAATATTTACCTTTGTCATTTGTTTGTGGTTTTCTGCCTCAGTGCTGCGTCGTGTGGCTGACGTTAGTGTAGGTCTTGGTGCCTCCCGACGTTGACGTTCTCTGCCGTGGTCGTTGCTGCCCATCGAGTTAATTGCCGTATTAATGGTCGAGTCTTGTACACCTTCGTCTCCCTTCATGTTGCTGAGGGTTTTCTTCTCGGCTCTCCCCAACTTTTTACCCTCAGGTCCAAGGCGTGTTTTCCTCCCCAGCGCAGAGTTTTTCCCGCCATCCTTGACAGTGGCGAATTCCCACCTTGGGTTTCTAATTTTCTCTGGTTGTGATGGAAAGTAAATTCATCAGTAAAAGTTTCATCGTCACTTGCAAATTCATATTACACAACATTAGTCACAACATAAGTACGTTCGTATGTAAATTAAACAAACTACCGTCCCTTTTCTGTCAAAATGATCGCCAACATTATTAACTTTAAAGAATGAAGTCGGGCAGGAGAAAGATGAATCAGGAGGGGTCGTGTCAATTGACCTTCCGGTAACTGGACAGTTAGGCCATGGTTTATATAACCTCCAATCCTAATGGTCCCCAGTGCTAATGATCCTCTGAGCTAATGGTGCCTAATCTTATGCGTCTTGGTTGGATTAGTTTGAGACCTATTAAAACTAAGGACCCATTTGACTTACAACCAACCTACCGTGTGTGGAAGACCAGCAGCAGCGGGCAGGGGGAGGGCAGAGGGAGTCCTGACACAGTAAAGTCTGAGGGGGCTCCACTAGGCACCGACCTCCTACCTTCTGGCACGGCCCTTCATCTGTTGAGGAACGCCAGCCCCAGCCTTGGCTCACAGTCTGCCGGGTCAAGCGAGTGTCCAGAGAATCCATTAAGATATCAACAGACGATCCAACATAATATAAATACAACATCTGCAGTTCTCAACTTCCTCGTCGCACCCAACACGCTGAAGATTTCAAATGCACTTAGGAGGATATTCTTGGTTAAGTTAGATTCAGCATCCAACGCTGCTATAATATGAAAGGTCAGTCTCGATCTTTAGTGACCTCTAAGACGTTTAATGACATCCTCAACTGTTGCTTTATGGCAGTGAGAAACAGTTGCTACTCGGCCGAATACCTTAAATAATATTGATACATTCAATATCTGATGGCTAGGAAAAACAATCGCCCAACACCTGGCAGATGTGTCAATCAGGGACTTATGCTCCCCGTCCTCTTAAAGGAGTCGACTTGTGAAGCTGGTGGCGGTCACTTAAGAACTGTCAGGGCCTTTGCAGGTGATAAAAACACAAAGAGCGTGACATGTCCTTTTGGAACCTCTCCTGCAGGGAACTGAATTACACCAACAATGTGGTCTCTGTTAACAACTTTAACATAAGCTCATTCTCGTCAGCTTGATAACTTCTGAGGTGAGAAATGTTCAGTAATGTCTGGAGTCTCGTCAGTTACTCAGGTGTCATCAACCTGGTGATATATGGCCCATGTTTTCGTAATCCCATTTGAGCAGCCTGCCAGTACACCTCTACTCTTACCTCGTCATTATCGTATTAACCCTCTGCTCGGGCACGCATCCTTTCTACGCAGCAATTATTGTATTAAGCACTCTTCGTCAGCAGCTAGCACCTGAACCAATGGGATGACCGTGGTATTTCCGTCGAGCAGAGCTTCCTCCTCTGGTGTCAGACGCTGTTGTACACTACTCCTGTAACTAACGGTATCCTATTTGTATACAGTATACCTAACATAAATCACTTTTGCGACACTCTGTTTATCTTTTGTCTTATTCTTGCCCAGTCTCACAAAAGACAGTGAACCTAAATTACTAGCCACTAATTCCCTACACTTCCACACAGTGAACTAACTGAGGAAGAAAGCGTTATGTCACCGACTTACATCAGGTTACTCAGTGGTGGAAATAATATTGGTGCTCTGTCCAAGACCGAGATCATCTTTATCTTCGAGTTTGTGATCGGCATAGAAGTAAATCACGAAGTCGTGAGTTTATTGGTGGCGGTTTTCTAACAGCAATTGATGTTATCATCCAATGCTATTCTTTTCACTTTGACATGCCGACACTGGTCCACTCCGGCCGCTTCCCTCTTTTCTCACTCTGCCGACCATCTATGTTGACACGATAACCGCTAATTCGTTCTCTTTTTACCTGCCGACTTGGGGGCATTGCCACATTCTAAATTCATCTGTTTGACAGTACTTGCTACTGCACTATTATCAGTGATATATACTGTATATAATTTTGTTAAGGGGATTAGGTCACCCGGGCACAGGTCACTGACTCATATCGGGGCCCGGGGGGAGGGGGGACGAAAATATAATAATAATAATAATAATAATAATAATAATAATAATAATAATAATAATAATAATAATAATAATAATAATAAATAAAAACTATAATACAATTCAAATAAAATGATAATTATAATAAACCACAAACAAATACAAAAATGGAACTGTAATGGAAATTATGTAGGACAAACTGGGAAAGCATTGCAACTCAGAATCAAACAACACAGGTACAATATCAGAACAGCATCTGAAAGCAGTGCCCTGTTCGTTCATGTTAGGAATAATAATCATCCCATTAATTGGGAAAAAAGCTTAGAAGTGTTCAAATCATCATGTGTCACAAAAAGATTTCTGGTTGAAGCTAGTTTGATTAGGGAATTAAATTCTATAAACCTTAGTGATGGTCAGTACAAAATGATAATATGTTACATAAATTTATTTGTCAGTGGCCCAAGGGTAAAAATGCTTTGAAAACCTTGGAGCTAGATGTAGGATAGATGATTATTGGGTCCCATATTTTTTAACCTGACTTAACTTGACTAGTCACGTCGCCCGTTCTCTTAAGCTCCTCTGCGTGTGTGTTGGTGTTGGTGTGGGGATTAGTGGATGCCATGATTATGACCTAACTTCATGTTTAATAAGGTCACCCTGTGTATTTCAGCCTCCCTCCGTCCCTGTAATTCAGTTGCCTCTGAAGATGTCTTGAATAAAGACGAAAGCTAAGGTGCTCCATTGTTTCCCTTTTCCCTGTGTGATTTTATTAAGATTTATCCTATCCACGTTTTCATTGTGGATCTACAAGATATATATTATTGTGCTTTCCTTGGGCAGTTTCATTAATATTTTTTTTTCCATCAAGCTTTAAGGAAAAAACTTGCAAATGTCGAGAGTCATTGTTTGTACCAGCAAGATATATAGTAAAATAAGCTGATAAGCTTGGGTGCCTCATCTTCACGTCCAGTGCCGGATTGAGGTATAAGCTAGATAAACTGTACTATAGATATAGATTGAGGTGTGTGTGTGTACGTACTCCTTAAAAGCACCAATAAGAAGTCGTACCATTTCCAATTTCGTGGGTCAATTCCGCTTCTTGAAGACCCATCTAATTATTCCCTTAATATGAACGAAGTACATTTTTTTATTGGTTCTGTTGACGCCATTAGGTATTATGTTCATTTCAAATGATAATCTTCGCAATTTATCATACAAAATTATCTTATAATGCTGTTACATGTATCATTGATAAAATTAATATAAAAATTTTTTACACACATACGCGCGCGTATAATTTAGGTACTGTGGGTATCGCCAGGTAGTATAATTTCTCATCTACTTTATCTTTGGAAAATATTTAAAAATAATAATAATACTTTAAGTGGTAATGGCCTGGTGGCCTCCCAGGATAACATAGCTTAGGGTCTCAACATGGCTGAACATGGGGCGGATCCAGGAATATCAAAAGAAGCTTTTAGTGGGAGAACATGGCGAACAAAGTGAGCCCACACTGCTGGTGGGTTTTGGGGGGCGCTGTAAGCCCCCCTTCCCCCAAAAAATTCGAAATCTGACCAATATCATGGGCATTTTGAAGCCATATGCACTTGATATTAGAAGATATTCTGTCAATTGTAATTACCCTTGACTGTACAAAAATACCTGAGTACAATACTGCCTTAAAGAAAAAGTATTGGAATCTTCTGATGAAAAGGGAAGGGGGGGGGGGGGTCCGGACCTCCAGGACCCAACCCTGGATCCGCCCTTGCTTAATCCGGCCCTAACGTCATCCTTCGTTTTTACACAGACAGTAACAACATCTGATAATGATTCGTACTTACGGTGAGGGAGTGTCACTTAACGATAACCATACATGATGTAAGACACCCACGTGTAGAAAGGGCCAATAATCATCTCGTGTTACCTACCAAAAATAATGATAATACAGTAATAATTTTGCTGAGTTGAATTTGTTCAGTAGAAAAGAATCATTCCGTATAATTGAGAGTTCGGTAGATGGATTTTATTCTTCCACAGTAAATGTTGTTGTTGTTGTTATTTGTGTTCTCAAGATGCTCCAGCTGTTAAGACCATTAATATACTGTTATACCTAAGATGTAGCACAATATAGTGCCTCTCTAAGACTGGGTTTCAAAGTCATACCTTCTTAGGAGTAACGGCGGAGGCATAGTTGGCAATGGGTAGCGAAACAAGAATAATTGCTTCCAAGACCAGAACGGACAGTAACTTCATTGTACCAAAACCTGAAGTGCAACAATCAAGAGCACCGTGGTGGAAGCTGGCGTCGCGGTGGTTTGGGCAGAAGTGCATCACTGTTGGTGAGGCCATTCAGGCCAGAGCCATTGTTGTTAGACCAGGTGTCGAAAGAAGTTATCACAGGTGTGGATCCATGTTGTGATAAATGTCAAAAGTGGTGTAATATAGTTTGTGTTTATGTGCAACTGCTATTACCGCAAAGACTTTTATGAGAGTGTGTTATCTCTTTGCCACACTTGACTGAAAAGGCAACTATTGTTAGTTATCGGCGGAGGAATGCTATGGCGGCCTTTTTTATCTCCCGACAACACTGCTCTGTCACGTGCTTGTGAAAGTGGGTTCCCATAGACATGACTGCCTGTTAGGGACGGTGTGGATACAGTACACTGTACTAAGCCTTCATCACACAAGAATACAACATGGCCGGTACAGTAGCGGATTATAGCGGGGACAAATGGGGCAAAAAATATTGAGTGGATAAAAAAAAAGGTTTATGTTGTTTCTCTTTTTACAAACGAAAATAGCTGTCTGGACACAGTGTGAGGGTGTGTGAGGCTGGTGTGACGGTATATGTTTGTGAGGGTGTGAGGCTTTGACTTCGTGATTTAGTTGTGTGAGGATGAAAGGCTGTGAGTGATTGTGAGGTTCAGAGGCTCTGAAGATGGAAAGTTGTGAGGAATGAGTTAGGATGTACGTGATGTGAGGTTGTATGAGGGCGTGAAGTTATGTGTGAGGGTATTTGGTTACGAGAGGGTATGAGGCATGGTGATGTGAGGTTGTATGAGGGCATGAAGTTATGTGTGAGGGTATGAAGCTATGATATGGTATGAGGCGTGATGGTGTGAGGATCTTTGGTGGTGCAAAGTTCTTTCAGGATGTAGAGGTCTTGTGTGGGTGTGAAATTTTGTGACTGTGAAGTAATTTATGAAGGTGTGATTTTGTTAGGAAGTGAAGATGTGTGGCCGTGTGAGGGTGTGAGGGTAGTGTGAAGACGTGAGGGTGGTGAGGCTGATGTGAGGGCGTGAGGCTGGTATGAGGGCTTGAGGGTAGTGTGAAGACGTGAGGGTGGTGAGGCTGGTGTGAGGGTGTATACCTGTGACGCTGTATGTTTATGAGGATGTGTTCACCAACATTCGTGACGACATAGTTTTGTTACATCATCACTAGTGACTGACACTCTTACCACCTCTACTGTTACGTAGTTGTGTATTTTTTACCATAACTTGGTTACCCCAATCAACTATTCTAATACTGTATGTACATATTTTCCCAAGTACTGTACTCATTAATATATACTGTACATACATATCTCTTGTGTTTGAACAATTTAGAATGTGAAAATGATTTTGATCTCCAACTTTGGGATGCGATTAAGGATCAAAGGCCAAGCTTCTTTGCATGAGTTCTGTCCAAAACTCACCCTGTGTCTAAGAACTGGGGATCGGTTTATATAAATGATTGGTTTCCATTGACCATATTTTGAGTTTGTCCACAACTGAATACTCTAGTACTAAGGTAGTGAACAGCTGCACAGAACCTACACTAGTGAACTTTGGCGATGAGGAGAATTTTTAACTGCATTGGGGGTACTTAACCACATGTTATTTTTAAAGTACCGGTAGTATTTTATATTATCTTAATTTTGATTTTTAAATTTATTAAACTGTTTGTTTTATTTCATCCCATGCCTGGCAGGGGTCACTAGTGGAGGTTCTGTGCGGCTGTCCACATCTTTAGTGTACAGTTGACTCCGTAATTTACGGTACAGTACAGTACATCAGTTCTTATAAATATTCTGATGAAGGAAAAAAAACGATTTTTTTATGATATACATATATACAAAAGCGTAAACATACAACTATATTCAGTACATACATCTTCATATAAAAATGTGCTATACAAGTCAGTTTACAATACTCATTCTTTGTAATAATTTAACATAATGAAATATACATCAATTCAACATAAATGGTGTCAGCTGTGACAAAAATACAGGCAAAATTTGTGGCAGACCCCTCAACCAGTCTTTATGAATGAACAAACAAGAATAAACACATATCAGAGAGGTAATGGTAATAACTACTGTACTAAATTTACAACTTATCCATTCAGAATTATAAGACGAGGTGAATGAGGAACACACACACAAATGGTTAATAACAATACTCTTGGTTAACACTGGCTGAGGGGTAACACAACTTTTACTTGGGGTTGGAAAGAATAACACGCTCTATACTCCTTATAGATTTGTATGATCTTCCTTAGTAATGAATTCTAAAGATCAGTACTAAAATTAATGAAATAGTTTGTGTATAATGCAGATGTTTCCACTCAAAGCTTTCCACACTGCAGGTGGCTCCTTTGGTCTAACATCTACCTCCCATCCACTCTCCCTGAACTAAATTTTTGCAGTAAATGGTTAGCATTCTTCACACACACGCACACACACACACACACACACGAGACAACCAATACTGCACTATCTTTACAACTGATGACTCTCTTGTGCAAAGAAAATGTAAAATTATACAGCATATTTGCAATTCATCCAGTAATGCACAGCAGATTATACAATTTATGATTTTGAAACTAGTTCACCCATTAACACCACCCCATATTGCACCAAACTGTAAATGTGCTCGGATTAAATTATGTAATCCCATTTGATAACTAAGGAATGGAAGTGAGCGAGTGACCTGTAGACATAATGTACTACCATTAAATCCCTATGTCATGTTCTTTAATGGCAGGTACACCATCCAGTCTGACAGAGCCAACAGGAAATCAAAGTCAGACAATCACTAAGTTTCATGTATACAGTAATTATTATACTGAAATTAACATAAATCATAAAACTGTCACATCATTTCTAGCTGTGTCATCCATCTCTATGAATATCAATCCTGAATGACTGACCAAGAGTACTTTTGACCAGCCTTTTGTACGCACTATTTGTCTGTGAGAATCAAGAGACCCACACATTTGTAACTACAAGTATAAAAAAAAGGGTGCAAAAGCAATTCACTACAAATAATAGTGTCATTGCAAGCATTTTCTTTTTTCTGATGCTAGTGTTTTATACATATCAGTCTTTACTGGTACTGCTGGGAACATTTCAAACTTTCCTCATGTTATTTTTTTCAATACTTCTGACTCCCATAATTTTCTTGTCAATGCATCACAATTTAATATATTATTGTAAACACAAGAGACCATTGGTATTAGCTGTTGTTAACATGTCTGACATGGCATTATTTTCATATTTCTGATTTGTATATCGCTGCTATTTTATTTCCATCAAGAATTTTTCATTTTGGAAATATTCCACTGGTGAGTTGTATGATGACATCCTTCTGTAGGAGAAATTTGGATTGTCAGCAATGAATCTCTGGATGAATTTTTCATATATCATCAATTACTAAATTTAGCAAACTGACATTCAATTACTAAACTGCAAAAAAAAACCAGCCACACAAGGCATAATTCACAACATCTCCCAAGTGAATATAATAATGCCTATCAGGCTTTATACTGATCTGGGCTTGGGAATTTTGTCTTGTACTGTACTGTACTGTACTGTACTTGAATTTACCAGGCATCTTTTGCAACTGAGATGACAAATCAAAATATAAACTTGAGGAAGACATGTTGAAGTTATTTTTATCTTGTTTACTTAGGCAAGAGGGTTTACCTCATAATTTTCTGGCTTAGCTTCTGTACTTAAGGGGTGAATATGATTAAAAAATCATATCTGAGATATCCATCGGGGTAATACTAAATGACAAACACAGCAACAAAAGCCTGTAACCAAAACTGTACCACTAACTATAATGACAAATTTTGGGTTAATACACACACACTCAGAAAGCCCCACAGACAGACTGTATAGATGATGAAAATACCCCTTGACTAACACTTTGCTGTGGGATAAGAGAAATTGTAAAATGAGAAACAAACTGCAAGGTATAAGGGCAATTCAAATTTATGATTACAAAACTGTAAGGTAGTCTCTATTGGTATATTATTATCATCATCATCACTGTTTGTAAGATTTACTATACTCACACATGCATGGGTTACAAACATTTCATCATCTTTAAATCACATTACATTGTCTTATATATATAATGAACCATCGGCTGGCCCCAAGTAGCGGATGGCGATGAGGATGACATCAATGATGGTCCAAACTCCCAGGCCACCAAAACTAAACAGCTTTCCTATTCCTTCTTGCCAATGTCCCAGGTAAAATCTGCAATTAATCAAAGGATAAGGAGATTCACACATTTTAGTTTTTAATGAGTAAATATGGGTTAATGTTGTCCATCTATATTTCAATCTTTGTCTAGTTATAAACTAACCAAACCACATCCAACTTAAATACATAAACCCAATCAAAGCTCAACCTAACCCTAGCCCAACTCTGCTTACCAACTACTAACATTAACACTGAAAGTTCATTTAGGAAAGGCTGGAATGAGAATCTTTTCCTGGTAATTACTGATATATTTTGATTAATATTTCCTTTGCCTTATTACCTGTCTGCTCCAAAGCCTCCAAGTGTAATAGACAGCAACAATGCAGTGGACCACTTGTACCCAGATGTCCAATTACATGGTAACTTCTTTGGAAATATCCGGTTACCAAGGCACAACACATTACTTTTCACTGTACAGTTGGAGCTGAAAAAAAAGGTCATTTATATCTCACATCTAAATGTATACCTATTCATCAACCTCTAGTATTTGTGATTTTTCAAGGGGGTTGAAATCCACACATCTTTGAGAGGGGGGGGGGGGAAGGAGATCATAATCCACAAAATAACATTTATTGTAACAGTACACTGTGGGTAAAACCAAATTAATTTCCCAGAAACTACTTTCAAATTTATCTAAAATCCAAGAATGTAAGATTTTTACATTATTCATTATTCTATATTGCATTAAAGTAAGTTTCCACTATCAATTTAACCTCTGCCATATTTACTACAGGATCCCTCACTATCCAAACATTCGATCTCCACAAATTCTATTTTTCCCTATCCAAAACATGATCCTCACTTATCCTAAAGATAGTCCAAATGAAAATTCAAATAGCTGTCCGTACATGAATCTTTACTCAATGGCATCCAAGTGTTGTGCTCCTTCCTTGGTTTCTCCCACCTGATCTCCACCAGGCTGTTTTAGTGTACCTGCTGTATAAATTCTGAATCTTCAATACAGTACTGTATGGGTAAAAATATCAGCAGGTTGTTTCACATTCCCCAGAACTCTCCTATGTGAAGAATAGGTAAACACACACTATGCCTCTTCTCATTCACAGTGTTCTGGTACAATCTCAGGAGAAAACTCAGGAATTTTCTCCAAGTGAAGAACTGTACATACACTACTTCATACAGTTCACCAGCACACAAACACACATTCAAGCACTTAGGTACAATACAGTATTTTATCAGGCAACTCACGTAAAGGTTTCTCTCGGAGACGTAACAGCCAGGCATTGATCAGTTCCAAGGCAAGTGTGTTCCCAGGAGGCAGTCTGGTAGCAATATCTGCACACCAATGACAGTGTAAACTCTTTCTTGCCCTAAAAGAAAAGTATACTCCTATAACAAAAAACAATATCACATAAGAAAATTGCATACAGTATGTGTTAAAAGAATAACGTCAAAATATTTTAAATGTTATGACTAATATTCAGAGCTACAGCTACAATGGTAAATTAAAAAAAAAAATAATTTCTTAGGCCAACTTCAATGATCACTTTAACACACAGATAGAGTCTATTAATGGTGAGTTAAATTTTAAACTGCAAAATACAATTAGTGCAGTGCTGAAAACTTACCTCACAATCATCTTTTTTTGGTCTGCAGGTAACATTGATCTCCTGACCATAGACACAGCTGCAGTTAAAAGTGCAATCAAGACACTCTCTTCCTAGCTCGTGACAATTCAATTTACTTGGGCAGTCACGGGCGTCGCGGAAAGTGAGATCCTGTGAGCATTTACAATTAAATCTTATTACTGGGTACCAATTAATCTATTGAGCATAAGATAACCCAATGAGCCCCATGTTATAATGAACTCAATTTATGATATTTCGACTTGTGATGGGGTTTTCAGGAATGTAACCCCATCACAAATTGTGGTTTAGCTACCTGTAATTCCATTATACAGTTGTATAAGAAACTGAAACTGAAAAAATATGGCAAATCCTGTAAAAGAAAACCAAACTTCTTTGATTCATTTTTGGACCTTCTGCAAGTATATAAAAGTGTGCTATTCTTCTTCACATTGAATAGTTTTCTGAATTAAATTTCTGTACTGTACATTATACTAAAAAAAATTGTATACACTGAATAGTTTACTGATGGACAGATCACACTAGTGTATGGTACACTTAATCTTGTACACACTGAACAGTTTTCAGGCGTGGTTGGCGGTGGTCGGGAGGTGGATGATGTGGTTCCTGTTGGGACTTTGCCTGGCAGTGTTGTGTTCTTGTTACTCTCCAGTGCCTGTGGTTTGTTGTGGTCTCTTTGTGGGGAATCTGACACACATCCTGAAACATTTAAAATGATCTTATTAATGATATTAGAAAATGAGGCAGTACGTATCTAAAAAAAAAATATATGAAAGGAATCACCACTGATCATAATAATAAATAAATTGTAAATGTGAAATTTCACATAATATTTCTCGTGCATTTTTTGTCAGTATCTTGAGGTAAGAAAGCTTTTATCTTCTATGGAGAAATTTCCTCTAGTTTACTTTAATCTATTTTCTTCACCACTGATTGGTCCGTTAGCTTCTTGGGCGGTCAGTCACGTCTCTGTAACGCACTTCTTGTGTAGAGGCTGAACTACTCTTGTCACGTAATTTTCCTTTATATAAAATTTTCCTAAAGTTGCTCCTTCTCGCAAGTCGGTGTCCCAGACTATTACTAAAACATACTTCTCAACATCTAAAGTACTTGGATATTATTTTTGCTTCGATTATCAGTGAAATCTTAGGAATTAGGTTAGGTTATGTTAAGGTAGATGTCCAAACTATATTTTCCCATGGTTTTTGGTGTGTTTTGAACGATTTGGACCTTCATATCTGTCGGAAATCACATACTTTGATTATCTAAATACAGAGATGACCGGAAATAAAATTTTACTAGTACTTAAACAACAACTATATATATCAGAAGCAAGTATTTCCTGAAAACTTACCCGTAAATATAACACAAAATAGGAGACATCCCCACTTGACCAGCGTTGAAGCTTCTGTCATCATGTATATGGATAGGATATTAACTTCATTGGCTGCCAGTCGGTCATTCCATTACTCTTACTTCCTTCAGTCCCCCCTAATTACTGCCTAAAACACCTCACTTTTAACTAGTCTTGTGTCGTTAAGTCACTGTGATTGTCGAGGTTAATAATTATTGCCGTGTTGTTGTTATTGTCACACTGTTAAGGTCGCTTACTAACAGTTTAGTTTCCAGCGGCGGTAGTTAATATAAATTTATTCGTTCCACTACTACAACTTCTACTTATACTACTGCTACTACTATTACTACCACTACTACTACTACTACTACTACTACTACTACTACTACCACTACTACTACTATTGTAAAATAAAGTACACTAAAGTAAAATAATTGCTATGTCGTGCAATCATAATAACGATTAAAAATGTTACCCCATAAAAGTATTCAGTTTTCTTTTATGGCAACAGAAAATGGACGAAACAGTTTGTTGAGTGAGTGTAAACGATGGAGTTAAATGACTTTGAATGAGATTAAATGGAGGAGTTAAATGACTTTGAATGAGATTAAATGGAGGAGTTTAAAGACTTTGAATGAGTTTAAAGCTGTTATCGTAGTATTAAAGAGATTATCTTTAATAAAATGGCTCACAATAACAATAACAATAATATTATGGGTCATTTGCGAGGGAAACGTCTTAGAAGAAAAGTTTCTTTGAAATATTTGAACTATTGACTGCAAAGATAAAACCTCGAGATTCGGTTGTTAATAATAATAATAATAATAATAATAATATTACTATTATTAACGATAAATAGAATAATTATCATATAGTTAATTCTGGACAGAGTTATATTAAAGAAATTAGAGTTATATTGAAGAAATCAACCTTAGGTATAGAAATTTTAATAACAGTTTGCATAATGGAATTTTAGTCAGTTTTGAAAGATGAATTTTACGTTACAGATTAATAGCAAAAGATTGATAAGAATAAATAAATACGAGGATTATTAGGAACCATAGTATTATGGTTAGATTAGGTAGGTAAGATTGGGTTAGGTTCAGTTATATTAGGTTTGGTTAGGTTAGAATAGGTTAAGTTAGGTTTGGTCACAATAAATAAAGTAGAATTTGTTAAGTTAGGTTTGATCGAGGAGTTGTTAGTCGTAAGGCTCCCAGACGACAGTAATAATCTAAATGACATAGTTCCGGATTAGTCTCTGTGTTGCATCTTTTTGGGAGGATGTTAGATCTTTCTTGAGGTAGGGTTTCCATGCTTATATACAGTAATCCTAGACTACGTGAGATTTATACAGTTGAAGGATCATTTCCCATTGTATTCGAAAGTACGTTATATAATTCCTAAATTTCGGTTTGCTTCTCTCAATACTGCGCCGTTCAGTGAATGATCTCTCACTAGTTCTAGAACTTTCTCCTTATCGACAGTATCCAACAAAGTGCTGTTAACAGAATAAATGTGATTAGGATTGGTGTATGCTAGTCTTGTATATTGTATGTTTAAAAAGTCTGGTAACGTAGGTCACCGCCATCTAGGGATCGTCAGGACTACTAACACCTGAATTAAACCCCTCGTTAGCTCCGTCACTTACTATAGTGTATATCTTTGTTGTCACGGTGGTGGTGGGCGTAGGTCATGGGTACGTGATGGTTAGTGTGAGGGGCTATTCTATATAATGCATTTTGGACACATTTGGAGAGTAAAATGAAGGGTAAGTTGAATGACTAATCAATGTTTAGTAATTAATGTGTGTGTAGTTACAGTTTATAGTATGATATTAGACATGACACTGTCGGGGTGGAGGTTAATGGTGTATTGAAGTTGTGGTAGTTACCTCCATGGCCGAGACATTACACCAACATTCAGAGAACAGATAATTCACCAGGTTCAGGTGGTGGTGGTGGCCGCAGGTTGCGTGTTCCCAGCTCTGAAATCTTTTGCTGGGGTAGTGGGTGACCCACCAACAATAACATCTTGCAGCCATTTTCCACGCTTGTGCTTGAGTGGACTAGCAATGTTGTCACCTGTAGGGTAAAACCTGAATGGGATTCCCTATCCCCCTACCCCATCACCTTTGCAAACCCAGGGAATTTGAGCACAGCTTTGGTGGTTGCCATCAGACATGTTGAAGTAAAGTTTTATGGTTGGATGACCTTTCTAATGCCATCCTACAGGGTGGTAATGGGATGTCGCTTTTCTTAAATTTGAATTCTGTTATACATTGAAAGGTAAATTTTTACAATTTGCCTGTATTCTAACAAATTAATGCGATTTTCTCGAAAACGAATCATTTGCGACGAAAACGCTACTAAGAAAAGTTGTTAAAAATGACGTGATATACACAGAACTGGGCCCAAAAATATTGTGGGACATTACGGGCAACTTGTAAAAAATACCCGTCAAAATTACATATGGATATGTTTACTTGCGCTGGTGATGGCAATGTTCATCCTGACCATTGATTGTCTTGCATATCTCAAAAGTTCTCATTCCTTCCATTTTGATTGAATTTATTTAAATTTAAAACACATCCCTCTCTTGGTGTTTAGTTTTTAAGCTTTGGTCTTGTTTTACATTGCAGATGATTCGGGTGTAGAAGTCCTCCTAAATGCACCACCATTTTTCCAAAAGTTTCAGGAGTTCAGAAAAAAGGTAAGGTACCATATTGTGTGTTATTACAGAACTGTTCAATAGCCGAGATTGAAATTAGTCCGTAATCTTTCCGGGAAAATTCTCTCAATTCCAGGTCTGCGAACAAATGTTCTGGGAGTTCTGAAAAATTGCATCATGCTCTGCCACATCACTATATGCCAGCCATGTGGATGGTAAACCCACTTGGTTAACTTGGGCTAATACTGTCATGTGACTACATGGGATGCCTGTGATAGACTGTTGCACCTCCCAACTTATCACCTCTTAGCTTAGCATCATGATGCCCTTAGTTCATAGTCCTCTGTCATTGTACAAGGTTTATACTGTACCTCGCTTTCTGCTGGTTTTTTTGTAGATTTATGTTCTTCCGTATACTGTACATTACTGTACCAGGACATAATCAGCCAAGCATACAGTATACATAACTGTAATAACTTTTTATGTCGTAACATAAAAAGTTATAACACTTTTGTATACTGTACTGTACATTCAGTAAGTGTGAATGTACTGTACCACATGTACAGTTTAGAAAAAGGGAAACACTGGAGCACCTTAGCTTTTGTCTTTATTCAAGACATCATTCTTCAGGTCATGAAACCCACTACTGTATTCCCCCACCCCGACAATGGGTGACCTGACATTGCATCAGAAGGTCAGTAACATGAGACCACTAATTCCTCACCCCACCTCCATTTCAAGTGTTAAGACGTAAAAAAAAGTGATTATAGTTACGTATTACATTAAACAGAGTGGACAGTGTATGCCTTCTGTAGGATCAAGATACAGTACAGTATCTGCTGATGAGTACAGTAATACAGTACAGTACTGAAGCAGTATACATTATTTGGTTTATTTACAATATATTGTATACAGTAAATGTATAAAGGCGTTTGCACAAATAAAAACAGTACAGCTCCGTACGAGATGCGTAGTTTAGATTCGGGGGGGGGGGGGGACTTTTCCCCAGTGCAGGGTGGAAGATTCCTTTGTCTTGGCTGTGTGATACAGCTCCATTCTTTTACTTACTTTTTACTTTTATGCTCTTCACCACTGACCGGCCCGTTACCCGCTTGGGCAGTCGGTCACGTCTCTGTTACGCACTGTTGGCAAGTACTGGCTATGCATTGGCTCCTGAATGTATCTGAACCTGCTCCAGTGCTGGTCAGGTCTGGTCTTGAAAGAGCTCACACTGGGTGCCATTACGACACCCTCTGGCAGGTTGTTCCAAGAGTTCACAATTCTCACTCCAAAAAAGTTTGCCCTCACAGTTTTCTGGACTTGCGGCTTGCACACCTAATCATATAGATTTTATTTTAACCAAACTTTTAGTTAAATTCTCTATTATTTGGGTAAAAAATGGTGTTTCTAACTTAACACTTTTATGACGGGTGTATTTTTCTACATAGAAAATGGAGCAAATCACGTAAGATAATGTTATTCAAATAATTGTAGAACACATCCTAATAAGAGAGATTTCAATTGGTTGCATCATTAGAAAGCTGAAATTTGTTTTATACAAATTTATATAAATATAGTAAACCCTCTCCAACTGCGGAGATCCCATCTACAGATTCCATGTATCCGCGGTTTTCACTTTTTATTCCATTTTACCAACCACGGCATATAGTTTTATGTATCCCTGGATTAGCGTGGCATCTTTATCCTTCCGCTGTTTAGTGTGTTCCTCCGTAAATGTGAGGAATACAGTGGTCCCTCAGTTAACGAGCACAATCCGTTCCAGCAGGTTGCTCGTTAACCGAAAAACTCGTTAACCAAAACCATTGTTTCAATGGGTTTTTGGGTAATTCGTTGCAGCTCACCGAAAATTGCCTAAATTCAACAAAAAAGGTAGAAAAGTACACTTACTTTGAGGTGTGTATGTAGAAGGCTCCTGGATGATGATGATGATGGGAATTAGAATGGGGGTGGAGGAGAAGGAAGAAGAGAAGGCATTGGGGTGGAAGAGAAGTCACCCCATGTCACCATTTCACCCATAAAATTTTAGTTCTCTTGGTGTATTTCAAGATTATTTTCTTTAAATCAACACTGCACTGCATTATATATTGTCAATATGTAAAATATATTTCAAAATGACTAATAATTTGCTTGGAAACACAGAAAAAAAGCGTTTAGTTGAAGAGAGTCTCAAGCAAGATGTTACCTCCAGTGAAAACAGAGAGAGACTAACGCCTGTCTGGTGTGTTAACAGGCTGGATGGCACACCAGAAACTAGTTTCTTTACCTTCAATTATGTTCAATAATTGTTAAAATGACTAAAAAAGTTAATATTAAACTTTTAAAATTATTGAATAGTATAAACTTCTTGATATTTACTAAAATAGTAAGGAATTTAAGCCCTAAAACCGATTACTGTATTGGCGGACTAATACTACAGCTGGTGGACCGCCAAATGCATGCGAAAACATGTTGAAGTCGGCTCGTAAAAAACTCGTTAATCGAGGGATTGCTCGTTAACCGAAGTTAAGAATCTTATGGAAGGTAAATCGTTAACCGAAATCTCGTTAACCGAGGCGCTCGTTAACTGAGGGACCACTGTAAATAAAAATAATTCCAATGAATAAAATCAAAGAAAACTATGCATTGCCATTTGGCAATCATTTCACTAAGGACATGGGAGACAGGAGCGTGCTCCCCTCTCCCGCTCCTCCCACCCCCTCCCATGATCATGGGCTACCTTCTACGGACGTAAGAAATGTTTATTATCTTTATATTTTTAACCGAAGGATAATTATTTATTTTATTTATTTTGCACATTCTGTATGAATGGTTGTATGTGCATTTAACAGAGTAAAAACAAAAGTAAAAAATAAAATATATATCTAACCAAAAAATATGAGTTAAAAAATAACAATAACACAGCTCACAGCTTGGCCTGGTACGGGGAATATCAAGATCCCTGACGCTGCACCCCTTCCCGCTCTCCCCTTCCCCTCTCACAATCCCGCAGACATAAGACATGTTTATTTTCTTATGTTTTGACCTAATGAAATTTTTTTTTGCACATTCTGTCTGAATGATTATGTGCACATGTAACAAAATAGAAAATGAAAAAAAAGCATTGTATATTTGCTAGAAATTTCTTAAGAATTTTCATAAAAGAATCGAGTCCCCATCATTATATTGTGCCAAAATATTTAGTTTAAGGATATTTTATTGGAACAGTGTTGAAGATAATTTATTCAGGATCATTATGTACAGTGTTGTAGATTAGTGAATAATCATCTTTCCTCTTCCTTACAGGGGCAGTTTGCAGATCTTTATGTAGAATGTGGTAGTGAGTGCCATTTTGTCCATTCATCTGTCCTTGCTGCAACATGTCCACCAATTTGCATTCTTCTTGAAGCTTCACAAGTGCATATAAAGGAGACCTTGAACTGCAGGAGAGAATTTCCCAAATCTTACAACAATGGTATTTCAAATAACAAACAGCAGATGGACCAAACTTATGTTAGAGTGGAAAATGTTAATTCTAACATTACAAAACTGTTTGGTGAAGTAAGAATGACAAGAAGTGATAAGGATTACAGTAAAGTATGCTTTGCATTATCTGTACCTGTTAAGGATGCCCCTGATTCATATGTCATCTTGTCTCTATCAAATCACGAGACTGATTTTTGGAATTTGTCGGTTAAAGGAATTGAACCAGAAGTAATGGGCCTTTTAATTCAATTTGTGTACTGGGAGAAATTCATCATCTCAAAGACATACATCCAACATTTCATCTCCAGATCAAAGAGTTTACAATTGCTTGGGAGTGAGTCAGTTTGTGAGAATCTCCAGTTTGCTATGCCAGGAGAGATAAGGTATGTTGGTGTTCACGATGATTGCAAAACATTGAGTCCTCCTCCCTCAGGTATACCTTGTGCTGCTTACGGCCACAGTACTTCAAATATTACTGATGAAAGGCAAAGAAGTATGAATAAAGCAGGAAGCAGTTCAATTTTACAGCTGGGAAGAGAAAACAAAGCAGAGAAAGGCATTGTACAGAGGTGTGAGGGAGAAGCCCATGCAAGTAATAACAATGTCGTAACTCAGGAAACAGAAATGAACGTTAGGAATGACATCATGATAAGACATGAAATGGATATGAAAGCAAGGAATAACAGGAATATTCTAAGGCAAAGAGAAGCCAAAGCAAGCATTGGTATGCTAAAGAAACTAGAGGAAAGAAGAACTAAACCCAAAATTATCTTGCTTCAAAAACTGAAGTGTGGTTCTTTATCACCAATTAACATAGCTAATGAACAAGGAAGAAAGTTTGTATTTAAGATTGATGGTGATAAAGGTCCTAAAGAGAAGACAAAAGCTAGGCAGGGGACGATTGTAAGACAGAAATGGGATGATGAAGTTGGCAGAAATGCAGCTTCACATCAAGGAGAGACTCAAGGTGGGCATGATGCTCTACTAAGACTGCAAGTGAATGCCGAAACTAGAGATTTATCTCCTCTAAAACAAGAAGAGATTGGAGTTAGCATGTTGTCATCCAAGGAAGTAGTTCCTGGGAGATTAAAAACTGTGGCAAACTCCTGTGTCACTAAAAAGATGAAGGGCCTACAGTCTCAAAAAGTTGTGCACTCTGCTCATAAGAGTTGCTGGTGCTCATGCAAAGAGCAAAATCCTAAAAGTTCACTGGAGGACAAATCAGCAGTTTTGGATTTTACAACTTATGGTACAAAAGATGGTATAATTCCAAATAATATTGCACATGTGAGCCATTCCACACATGATGCATATGTTCAGAAAAAAAATGCACCATGGAAAATAAACCTGAATTTTGGAAAACCACAAGGAATGGAACACCTTTTGGGAATTGTTAATGTAGGTGAGAGAACTTTTGAGAAGGGAGGCTTGCATGATGTGCAAAACTCTGAATTTCTTAAAGTGAATGATGACACTCATTTGTGGCTTAATGATGCATGCGTTAACATGGAAAGTAATACCAATAAAGTGCATTTCCCTGCTGCTTTTAAGGAAATGTATAATATTGAAGAAGGGCATTTTTCCAGTACATCTTTAAACTCCAATATAAAAAACGCCAGACTATCCGCAAGGAATCAGAAGATGTGTACATTTAGTCAAAATTTCAAAGCAAACAAACAAGATGAGAAATATTGGATACACAATGAACAATTTGACTGTAAACAAGGAAGTGCTGCTACATTAAATGTAAAACAATTCGGCAGACTATCAGGCTCTATTAATCCCTTGGAAATACTTCAACAACCTTCCAACATCTGCAGTAAAAGAATACATCCTGGTAACACACAACTATCCAATACAACACTTGGCCCTTACCATCCACGCATTAAGAATAGCAAGAAGAGTTTGACTTATTGTTCTCTTCAAGAGAATATGTTGAAAGATAGATCTACAGGAAGCATAGAAATTCCTAGAATAGTTCAGAATCAGAATAACAGCCAAGACCAGGAAATAAATGTGAGTAAAATGAAGAGACTATGTATAAACAGTGATGTGGTAAAAAGGCCTCAACCTTCCAGTAATAGTCGTAGTGAAGGAAGGTTTTTCCTTGAGCACAAAATGTTTACCATGGGTCAGCCCAGTGGGAAGTGTAATCTCTTTAATTGTACTCAGAATAGCTCACTAATTGTGCATCATAGTAATGTGTGTAGTAATCAAGAGCATAATACTGTAAGCACTTGCACACATGATTTTGAATCCCACAATTGGCAGAGTAAACCAAGTTATAAGAATCTGAAGGAACAAATTAAATATGTGGCTGAACCTCCAAGGGATGTTGAGACTCACTCGGGTGATGCAGAGAAAGATTTTATAGTAGAAGAGTGGAAAGATAAAGTGCCTGAAAACTGTAGGGTAGAAATACACATGGAAATGAACAGCCAACATGAGTGTAACAGTCACAAAGAGAAGCAAGTGCAGGTTAAGATTGTTGGAACAGATAAGGAATGTAAGAATTTTACAGTAATGAAAAAGAACAACAATGAATTCAGAGATAAATGTAAGGAGAATGCACAAGTTAAAGCAAGGCATTATAAAACAGGCAATGGAAATAGAGATTCACAAACAGGAAAAGTTCAGACATTGACAAGATTTTGTGAAAAAGAATTGCAAGAGAACAAGAGGTGTAGCCATTTAATTGATGAGGTCGATGGAGCTGTACGGATTAAAGACATTGGAAAGTATGAACAGTTTGAAAAGAATGGTTTAAAAGGGCAACCGGTTAAAGACTTCACTACTAATGATTCACTGCTTAAAGACATTGATATAAAGTGTCCATCAGGTGAAGATATTGTTGTGAAATATTCACCACCTAAAGACAGTGGTATGAAGGAAACTTCAAATAAAGATAACAATATAAGAGATTTAAGAATTGAAGTGAATAGTTCCTCAACTGGAAGTAACTGTGCTAGTGCCATAGTAGACACAGACAATGGTGTGAATTGTTTGCCAGGTAAAGATCTGCCTATTAGAGACAGTGATGGGAAAGATCCATCACTTGACATTAAGGAGCCAGATACTTCAGTTGAAGGTGATGGCATTAAAGATCAACCAGTTGAAGATGATGGGAAGACTTCTCTAGTTGATGAAAGTGTAAACTATCGACCATTTGGAAACAGTGATTTAAAAGATTTACAATATGAAGATAGAGGTTTGAATCATACACTACTTACAGATGATAGTACGAAACATCTGCCTGTTGATGAGAGTAACAAGAAACATCTGTCTGTTAAAGGCAGTTATTTAAAAACTCCACCAGTTGACAGTTTTCAAAAGAAGTATCTGCCAGACAATGAACTTGGTCAAAATATTTCCCAAAACAGGAACGGTATGAAAGATCTACTAGTGAAAAATTTAGTCTCTACAACTATTTGTGCTGAAAATAATGACTTAATGAAAACACAGCAAAAAAAGCATCCTACTAAAGTGTGTGAAGCTGGGAGAGTTACGACTAAGGAAGAAGTATTGATGGTCAGAGGGAAAGATAAGTGTCAAGATGATCCCATAGTTGAGAACCCTGGTATTGGCTGTGACGGTCATGTAGAAGAGAGAGACTCTGCCGAGGGACAAAGTGAACTGCAAAAAACGCTGATAGATGATAAGGGAAAACATGGTGAGAGAAATATGCAAATAAATGTTGGTAAAGGCAAGGTGGAAGGAACTGATATAGGCAAAACACAGATGGAGGATGGAAATGATCAGGTAAATGGTTATCAAGAGCAAATGCAAATGGATAAATTACATGGTGAAAATGGAAGACAGGTAGAAGGTGGAATGATGAAAGGAGAGTTAAAAAATGCTGGTAACAAGAAGACAGCAGATAAATCAGGAAATATTAGATTGATAAATACCAGTAATGAATCACATATTGAAGTCAGGAACTGTCAGTGGGAAAATAACAATGGAAAAAGAAAGGATGAGTTTGGGTCACGAGGAGTAATGTTAAGTTTAGATAATGACAATGTGGAGAGGAGTTACCGATATAAACTTCATTCAGCTAAAATTCTCCCAGGTCATCATAACATTGTAACAAATACAAAAGACATTGGAAATATTGTACCACAGGAGCAGATAGGTTTAGCTGAAAGAACAGCTTCTTTAGAAAATGGAAAGAATTATTCCATTAATACAAATGGTACGTCTTCTCAAATTCCAAACAAAAGTTATTCGCATGATCCCATAAGTATCGGTAAAAGCTCCAAGATATACCATTTCAAGTCAAAATCTCGGCCTCGGGTGCCGGGAGGTAACACGTCAAGGAGAGAGACGTGGAAGGATTCATTAATGATGAACCACGAGAAAAAAAAAAAGAGTGGACCCGTGGTGGAAATAAACAGGTCTGAGGAAGTTCATCATTTATCAACCAGAACACAAAAGTCACTGAAGAAATCCAATGAGGGTTTTCTAAAGAGAAAAGGAAAGAAAAGTATAAGAGTAAAGAAAACCGTGTATGTTAAGCATGAAAATGTTGATATGGCAGGGGATACTTGCTGTCATACTCATGATGTACAGTTTTCAGACTCGACTATAACTTCCCGTATAGAGTGTATTAAGAAATCTGGGGAGTATATCCAGATCTCATCACCGCGTGGAAGTGGAGAAGATAGTAGAAGAGTTACTGAAGAAAGTTTTATTATGGATGAAGAAATGCTTCCAGATGTTACATGGGGTAAGTTTGAAGATGAAATTGAGTTCATTGTTGTGGGAGATACAACAAACACTGGCGGTATGAATGGAACTCATGGTTATTTATTGTCCAGTAAAATGTCTGCTGCACTAGGAGTTGAGTCAATAGTTAAAAGTGAAGAGTTCTTTGCTACACCAGAGTCTCCAGGCTCACCAGTAAATTTAAGTAATGAGCGTAATTTATGGGAACAAATAAAATATAAAAATCAGAAACATTTTGAAGCACACTTGGAAGAAAGGAGGATTAAGAAAATTAAAGATTCATTTCCAGAAAGTGTAAGGTGTGAAAATCATTCCAACAGAAGTCAAGCAGTGTCATGCAGACAAGAAGGAGAAAAGTGTCCAGAAAAAGTTATTTCCGACACACAGGAATTACACAGCCTGAAGAGAAACTGCGCAGAGGAAGCACCAAGAGGGAATAATCTTGAATCCAGTGACTTATCAATAAAAAGTCTCTCAAATTCTCTTTCAATTACATCTCATAAACAAGGCACAAAGGAATCTAACAGGCATGAAGTGATTTCACATGAGAGAGAAACGGTAAATGAATCTTGGAGTTTGGTTATAAATCATGAAGGTGATGGTCCTGGTTCAACAGGAGCCAAGTTTACAGTTGAGCTGGGGGCTATTTCTGTAAACAATCGAGAATACTCGTTAATCAGTCCTCAACAAGATCAACGTACATCACAAGAAGTTATGAAGTTTGATGTCCTGAATAAGAGCATTAGTTTGCAGGACACAGAGCAATCATGCAACATAGAAACACAGCAAGTTAATGATGAGGGAGTTCAGTGCATTATTTGTTCAGACATGTTTGTCACCATTAATGAGATGGTGTCCCACTTCCGAGATGCACATATAGAAAATAGATTCTTTATGGTTTGTCCAGCTCTGAACTGTTCAGCCCGGATAGCAAATAATAAAATGAATTCACACATCAGGAATCATGTAATCATACAGAAGCACAAGTGTCCTCATTGTTCCTTCTCAACATCAGCACGAGCTTCTCTTGGGCGACATCTTACTATTCACAAGCAGCAGGTAAATCATAGTTCATTAATGTTCAGTGTTTTGTAAATTCATTGTTATAAAAATTTTACTAGTTGAAATTTTTATGTACAGTATTTAGAATAAACCTGTAAAAATTTGAACACATAATTTTATGTTTTTATTTGTTATAGAGCAATTTATAAAGACCAGCTTACTATATCATTGTTTATAAATGTTCTGCATACACAAATGCATTTATACACACAAGTAAACATTTAGCAACACACACACACACACACCTGTACAGCCGATCTTTTGGTGAAGAAGATAAATGAAAAGGAAAAGTAATCAGAGACGTGACCGATCACCCAAGCGGCTAACAAGCTGATCAGTGGCGAAGAGGATAAAAGTAAAATATGGCTACTCATCATCACACAATTGTATATGCCTGTACTTACAAGGTCAGGGTTACCTTAGTTTGGGGATACAATGTGTGAATAAAACTGTATTTGACCAACTGTACACATTAAGCATCAATTAATACTTGAATTAAAATATCAATTAAATAGTCCCCTAACCTCTAGTCAGAATGTGGGTATTACCTAGATCCAATAATGCAGACAATGTGGAGGGAATTATCATTGTTCTACAACCTTCACCTTCAACACAAAAAGCTACCATCAAATACACACATAGGATTGGGAGTGACTGTAAACAATGGTGCCAAATTTGCAACAAGTATGGATGTGTGCATTTGTGTATGTGTGCACTAAGAGAAAGATCATTGACCTCCTAAGCTACAGACCACTATAACATGCATCAATACAGAGCTCCCATTCTCTTTATCTTCACCCTTCAACTTCTTTTACCTTTATTCATCTGATCCATCTGACATTTACTCACATAGTTATTGTATCCAATTTTCCTACTTAACTTGGTACAGAGAGAAAATCATAAGAACAATTGGCAATACAGTATTTTAATAAACTTACTGGTAAATAGCTTTTCAGCATTGTTCATAATGTAGTAACATCTTTTTGCACTGCCATGGTCATTGTTCGAATGAATGACACTCCGCCCGTGGCTTATAACAACACTTGGGAGGATATATGTCTATTCTGTCAATGATCCAACTTTAAGAATTACTGTATACCATTGACTAGCTATGTGTGGAACTCCCTGCTATCAATATTTTCCCTGAATCATATAACCTTCAACAGTTTAGAACATATTGTTTTAAATATTCTCATTCATTGGCAAAAGAACCCTGCAGTGTATGGATTTGATAAGGACACTTGTCTAATCTCACTTAACCAATTTTAAAGAAATACCGGTACTGTACAGCATTTTATATAGTGGAATGATTGGCTACCGGTACTTCCATTCGGTCCTTTGACTCCTGTCACACACTTTCTTTACCTTGTATCCATAATGTGCTCGAGGGTCTTTTCTCATGATCAACTGCCGAATGGCTAGTAAGCTGTTAAGTGATAATGTTATGAGTAGCTCACAGTGTGTTTATCCTATTGTAGTGAAACAAACTTAATTCTGCTTGTTAGACTAGGCAAAATTTTGATATTTAAATTAAACAAAGGATCACCACTACATAATTTATATTTTCAGAAGTTGTTGTTCCATAATGAAGTTCAAGAAGGCGACTGTGACACCCATCACCTGGGAAGGGCTCTGAGTAGTGAGTTACAGGATTCTTCAAGGGTGAAAACTGTTTCATATCTATGTGACAATTTTGAGGAGGAGACACCTACAGATAAAGACCATTGTGGTGACACTGATTGTCTTCTCACTTACAAGGAATCTTCTGCCAAGTGTCAGAATCATGAAGGACAATTATGTGTGAATCAGGAGACACAATTGTGTGTGAGAGGTGTTGATACCAACCATGTTGTTTCAGATGAATCTTTCCATTCAGGAAGTGAAACAAAGCCTGTTCATTGCTGTTCAAGAACATGGTCCACAGTGAAAGACCTGCAAGACCACTTTCGGGAGTGCCACATGCGGGATATTCAAAATGTACCCTGCCTAGATTCTGCGTGTCCTGTCAAGCTGTGGGGTTCCAACATGGATAGCCATCTGCGTTGCCACATTTTGCAAGGGGAATACAAATGTCAGTTGTGTACCTACTCATCCAACAAAGCAACAGCTTTGAGAGTTCATGGTTATGCTCACAATAAGGTTAGTCAATGATAGGTTCTACTTCAAGTACACTAATTGGAACCCAGATGTCTGAATTACACTGAATTTTTTTAATTTGCCCATACACAGTGCAGTACTGTATGTGCTAAAATGAAACTTGTCCTACTCTAAAGAACACCTCCTCAGGCAAAGTCCTTGAGGCATGCTTTGTCTTGATGTCCTTGTGCAGGTGGAAGTCGAGCAAGGTTATAAGAATTAAATTGCAAAAAGTCAAAACTGCAATATGTTATATTTAGTGGGTCTTGCGTATAAAAGTTTTTAGTGTATTATAGAAGAATAGTTTAGAAATGGTAAGTGGACTCATGAAATTATAAGGGAAAATGTATAGAAGAAAAGTTGAACAAACTTATAATGAAAGGTTGAGGTTGGATAGTGAAAACATTACTTGTTAATTCAATACCTACAGAATATTTAAAAATTACAATGAATGTGCTTAAACAGTGCTGGTATAAAAGCAGTGGTAAACAATAAGACAAATTGCCCAAGGGTAGCCAGCGAAGGTTATTCCAATAGGATCCTTTGCTTAGAGTTGAATACTAATCAGTAAAAGTAAATCTGGGAAAATAAGTACAGACACTCCCCAGTTTACGGAAAGGTTTCATTCCTGGACCCTATCTGTAAGCCGAATTTCTGTAAACCGAAAATGACCCTTCCATAAGGTAAACATGTGCTGTGCCCTGTACTGAATCACAGATTATGTCTCACAAGGGGATTTGCTCAGCCGCCTTACACATAATCCTCTACAAATAGTGTTGTTACGCCGTACTAGTTACCTTCCGTAATAACAGAGACTCATCTGCAACCAAGTGTTCTGTAACCCGGGGAGTGTATGTATTAGAATTTATGTTTGAATACAACAAATATCTCATTGCACATAGATTATCCGATGCTGATGGATCACTTGAACAATACAACCTTTTGATTAGAAATACAGAACATTGCACTTTTTTCATGCTGTAGCTACATCATGTGTTTCTAGTTGTTGAAGCCCTTTTTCTAAGACAATCTCATTTTTCAGGCAAGGATGGTTGACAAGAAATTCCCTTCAAGACAACGACAGAAAAAACTTTTGAAGAATAAAAAACTGTCATCACAGAATTGCAAGAGGCACACATTTTCTGATAAATTGTCTACAAAAATTGCCAAAAATGATGAAAATTTGAAAACATTTCTTAATGATCTCAGATTCAGTAAAATGCTGTATCAATGTAAAAAGAAATGTAAGAAAAGTCATTCAACAACTTACCAAGATGAAAAATTAGAATATACAAAATTTATTCTGTCTCCTAATGAAAGTTTGGATAAAGTGACAGAGAAGTCATATTCTAATACTGGTACCAGGTTAGAAATGGAAAGTAATGAATCATCATGCCAAGATATACAACTAACAAGAACCAAAAATTCACTTTTTCATGCATCTAAATCAGAAAACAAAGTTGCTAAGCCTTTCCCATCAACTCAAACAAAAAGAAAACAAGAAAACTTGTCATCCCAAGATTCAAAGTCATCGGAAAAAGTCTCTTTGTCTTCACAGTCTTTCCAGAAATACAAGTTTGGAAAGAGAGAAAGCCAGTCCTTGACAGATGGTCAAGTAACTGATACGACTAAATCCAGGAAAATAAAGAGCAAATTGAACATTGTAGCTCCATCTGGATGCAAAAGAAAATATTTTTTCAAGAAAAGTAAACTCGCAAAAAAAAGTTATTCAGAAAGCAATAAACCTGTTAAAAATGTCTGCAGAGGTGAAAATAAAGACTTCGGGAGAATAGAAGAAATCAGAAATATATGTACCATTGACAAGTCAAACAGTTCACAGACTATCCCTGAAACTTCCAGTCAGCCACCATGTAAAGATGGGAAGATTTTGACAGAGGATGTAGATGCTCAACAAGCACCACAGTTGGATGGCAAGAGTAATAACCTTGGAAACTATAGTTGTCCTCTGTGTGTGGATTGCTATGAAACACCTGATAAATTAGTGTACCATTATATAAGCTCACATCCATATCACTCGCCCTATACTTGCACGTTTGAAGGCTGTCCTGTTGTGCTGCAGAAGAGAGATTCCTCGAGACATCTTATTGGACATATTTATGAAAAGGCCTTCAAGTGCCCCCTTTGCTCATATTCTCACCAAAACCTACATATGTTGAAGAACCACTTATTTTGTCACTCACAGGTAAGTTGAAAATTTACTGCATAATGTTTGTGTAGAGGATTTTTATAGCTTATTCTTGGGTAGGATGACTCAATTACAGCCAAGAAGTTTATAGTTTAATAATAAATTGGGATCATGAGAAATGTATTGCAACTGTCGTGGAACAGTGTGACTCAACATCCTGCAATTGTTGTGGGATCTGTCCACTAGGGGTTAATGGAACCAATGCTATCACCTTCAACTCCTGAAAGCTCCTCGAGTGAACTGGTGCCATCACCAGTGGTCCAGGAAATCGTCTTAGAATGTGGTAAATTTCCTTCAAATCACCTTACAAAGTCTCCTTTCCTATTATCATCCTTCCAATGTAACTAACAAACACCATGTCTAGTGAGCACAGCAATAACAGTGTTTTATAGCCATTTGCCACAATTGCACGGGTTTGCTTCAATTACCTAATAACAGCTCTCCATGCTCCATTGTCTCTTTCTTGGCAAGTTCTTAACTCTATTGTCATTTCTTACCTCTCCCTATGTGATTCTTGGCCTTCCCCTGGCACTCCTCCCTCTACATTTAAGGTCAGTACTTGTATTATCAACAATATCATCGTCATAACACTCAAGACCCATCTCGGAGCACATTTCAATACCCGGTAAGTCTTTTTTTATTTTTTCAGACCTTAATCATAAACTCATCCCTATCATAAGGCACTCTGAAACCCCATACATAACTATATTATCCTGTTGTGCAAACCACCTGTGCCCCCTTACCCCTGATCAGTCTAATGTGTTGTGCTCTCTCTAACCCCCGTCACCAAGATTCTGGATCTGCTCCAACAGACTTTCCAGTTAATAATTTTGATAGAGAATTACCAGCATGTCTCTTGAAAAGTTTATAAGTTGCTGTATTTACTACTTCCAGGTTCTTGAGAAGCTTCAGCTTAAAGAAATAGTTGATCTACAAATTAAAGGACCATCAGGAGATGTTAGTGTGTATTTAAATGGTGAAACTGTTAGGAAGAGGCTGAAAAGAAAATTGAACAGTAGCATTGATGATCAGAGACCTACCAAACTTCAGAAAGTGGATGATTCCCTTAGTGCAGAGGGCACACAAGACATAGAGGAGCAGGGTGTACTCCAGGTCGATGTCCCAACAGAATGTCCAGTTTGAGGAGAACACAAATGATAATTATGGGTAAGAATTTTTTGCTCTGAATATATTATATACATATATCTTTGATGTTTGGTTCATAAATGTATCCCTTCAAAGGATTAGATATAAATACCTTGTACAGTACTGTACTTTAAATATGTAAAGGAGGAATCCTATACTGTATACAGTGTCTTTTCAAACATACTTCACAGATACGGTATAGCTACACACTGGCATTCACATATTGTTTGGCTTTGTCCTATAAATATTGTCACAAGGATTTGTATATGTTTTATCCATAATATCTGTAACGTTGCTCTCTTTGTCAGGCTATCATATAAAGTGTAAGTACTAAAACTCCATAAACGAGTCAAATTTTTTATTACATACATACTGTACTGTGAAATATTCATTACTGTACAAGATGTCTGTTTTGATGGTCCATAATGATGTACAGTAAAAGTATTATTGAATGTAGATAAAGGAAAAATGATGCCTTCTCATTAAAAGAATCCTCCCAACAAGGAACATGGGTTGCACAAATTAGTCTGGTATTGGGAGGGTTTACTGTATACTTTTAACATACACCCTGTACAGTTGTTTAACTTTAAGTTATACAATATAGAATTTTATTAATGCCTCACAGGATCAAACCTTTGCCAACTGTGGGAGAATTTTAAAGTTCACCTCCTGCAGTTACTTTACTGGGAATTTTTGTTCTGCAGCGTAATAGGAAAATTCTTAGAAAGAAATTTCGTGCAACTCTACAAAAATAAAGTACTGTTTGTTTCTAATTACCAGGCAAAGGAGGAGGAAGTTTACAAGACCAAGCAACCTTGATGGAAAAGGGTAAGAATGTAGAAGGAAAGTACAAGATGATACAACAAAGGCGATGGACTGTAAACCCGTATATCAAGACCAGTGGTGTGAGAAATTACCTCGGGCCTTTGTTTGGGTGTATAATTTATTAGTGCGGGAAAACAAAATGAGTATCTTTAATTTATTTGTTTGAAAGAAAACAAAATGAATATATTTAATTTATTTGTTTGAAAGAAAATAAAATGAATATATTTAATTTATTTGTTTGCAAGAAAACAAAATGAAAATCATTTCATTTCATATGTTAGCCAAGTTACTAGTTTATTTCTAAATGTTTGCTTACAGTTGGTAGTGTCATGATTACCAACTGCTACATGAATGGTCTAGTATGTATCAGCAGCCTAGTTATATCCAGGATATCCCCCTTGTTCTAAACTGGACCCCTCATTTTAAAAATAAAATTGTTTTTGAAGGAAACAAGTGTTGTCCTTCCAAGATCACAGTTTCCACCCCTGACTGTGCCTCCACCTTGCCCCATTCATAGAAGAAATTATTAGATCTAACCTTCACTTTCTATGTTTACTGCACTTGTTTGTTGATATAGCTGCTGGCTCCATGTTCCCAGTTCTAACACTAACTATAAGGATTCAGCTAAGTTTCCTTTCTGGGTGTTGATTAATAGGTAATAAATATTAGGCTGAGCAGTCAACTCTAGTTTAATTGCTTTAATTATTCGAAAAAGCTGCTAAATCGTGCAAGAGATATCCTTAAATCATATATTGTAACTAAGTAAAGTTTAAGAAATATTGCTCCAGCCAGATTTGAGTTGGAGTTTCAATATGGATTGACCTGAAGTTTATGGATTTGGAATCAGCATTAGACTTTTCAATACACATCAATATTAAGTTAAAATTAAATTTTTCTTATTAAATTTATTTATTGAGCTTAGTAATTTTTTTTTTGCTCCATTTTAAAGTACTTAATCTAATGAAGAAACCAGTCATGGCATTACCTAGTTGTGTGCTAAATCAAGATGAATGAGGATTGTGAATTGGGATGGCACTGGGTGTGAGTTCTTTCAAGACCATACTGTTGGCAAGAGCTAGGCATGCATTGGCTCCTGAATGTATCTGAACCCGCTCCAGTGCTGGTCAAGTATGGTCTTGAAAGAGCTCACACCCAGTGCTGTCACAACACTCTCTGGCAGGTTGTTTCAAGAGTTAACAATTCTCACTTCAAAAAAGTTTGCCCTCTCAGTTTTTAGACTTGTGGACACTCGACTGAGTAGTGCCCTTTGAGATGTTTATACACCTCAATTCGGTCACCCCTTGCCCATCTGTAGTATAAGCTAGACAGTTGCAGGTGCTCTAATCTCTCTGGATAACTGAGGTGCCAAAGTGCAGCCACCAGTCCAGTGTCCATTTACGACCCACTCCAAGTCATGTAATTTATGATCTGAAGCCTCGGAGGATTCACATCATTCGAAAATCTAAATACTTACTCATGCTCAAAGGTCACAGATGTAGAACTACCAACCATTCAGAAACAGGTCAAGTAACATTGCTCGGAAATCTTTGAATCACACTGACCCCATGGCTAACGATACTGTTTGGGGGGACTGTACTTACTGTAAAATGGGATATGGAGACTTAAGTCTTAAAAGAAATAGTCCAGTACACATGTACAGTACTGTATGTCCATAAGAGCCCTTCCATTCCTCAAGTCTCATCGATCACCCGCTGCTCTTTTGAGTACCTGTATTCAGTAGTGTGTACCTGAACAGTAATAATCCCACGTGGACTTAAATTAAGCATAAGTTTCTTTTTAGTGTGTATGGGCGAGTATCCTGTATCATATATATACAGTACTCTGTTGTAAACTGCATATCGAGCGGCTATCACAATCCATGTATTAAAGCTGTATCTACATGGAAATAGTTTCATCTTTGGGGTCAATGAGACAGACATGCTTAGCAATCTGTTCATGATCCACGGCCAGTTTCAAGGCTATGTTCTGAGTGCCTTAAAGACATCTCACGGTGCGTGTTACCCTTTTCAAGCCCCATTCCACAACCAGCTACTGCACTAACACACATACCAGGGGTAAAGATGACATGCATCATCCCTCTCACACCCCTCATCAACAGTGCTCCATCGTCTTAACAGATGGAGTATCTCCTGCCTAGACTCCACGGACCTAACTGAGCCACCCCCATTGTTTATATTTTCTAGCAACATTGGGTGTATTAAATTGGTTACTGTTGATGTAACTCTTAGAATATCTCAAACAAAATCCATTGCAACCATGGCAATTGTAGATCCTTAATAAACCGTGCAATGACCCTCAACTCTCGTCTCCTGAATGTCGCCAGGTTCACAGGTAAGGGTGAAATTACAAGATTTGAAGCTCAGGAGCTCATCAAAAATACTTTATTTTGACCTAGAAGTTTTGTCAGAGTGCTACAGAAGAGCTGATGAATATACTATGTCCTCATCTAATACGAGCAAAAAAAAATTATAGATGCTTCCAAACATAAATACCCCCTGTAAACGATGTGCACGGTATTTGCAGCGTGTCTTGATCTGAAAGTCACAGAGGGCAAGCATTACAGTCTTTATAAGGAAAGTAATGTATCGAAAACACAACTGCTAAGGAGTGTGATGTAGCTGTGGCATGGCTATGAGATGATCTTGGACAGTACACCACACTACACTACATGCTACACCACACTATACTACATGCTACACCACACTACACTACAAGCTACATCACACTACACATTACACCAAACACTACACCACACCACCATGCACTACACCACCACCACACACTACACCACTCCACCACATGCACTACACCACACCACCACATGAACTACACCTCACCATCACACACTACACCACACACTACACCACTCCACCACATGCACTACACCACACCACCACATGCACTATGCCACACACTACACCTCACCATCACACACTACACCATACACTACATCACACCACCACACACGACACTACACCACACAAACTACATCACACACTACACCACATACACTACACCACACCCCACACACTACACTATACCACCACACACTATACCACACCACCACACACTTCTACAAACCACACTTCTTCCACAACACCACAGCATGCACTACACCACACCACAACATTACATCACATACTGCACCACACATCACAACACCACAGTACCACAGCTGTCTGGTCCCATATTGATTGTAAATAAACAAATCGGTTAATTTTCTAATTCTGAGATCTAAAATAAATTATAATAAGAACCAGTAATTTAACATTTCTATACGAGGCAATTATCATCCTGCAACCCCTAGTGCGCCCAGCTGTGAATTGGTACCTGGCTTTGCAGTTAGGGGAAGTGATGGCGGTTTTGTGTAGTGAAAATATATGTGACCTACATAGAAGAGTCTGTTCATCTCGCCAACCGTCTCGCCATAACTATTTCGGTAACGAGAGAAATTTGGGAGGGAATGAAAGGAGAGTAACAGCATGACACCTATGCCTACGATCACCCACTCGTACACTCACATATTAACTTTTACTCAAATTGTTATTTTCCAACTAATTCATGTTATAAATATGCTGCTGTAAGTTCAACTCTAAAATTAAATACAGTCCCTCAAACAGACGTTAAATACAGTCCCTCAAACAGACGAACCACTTACAGTAATACCACATAACGCTCACTCTCCCATATAAAGAAGAATTTTCACATTTATGAATAGAGCACCAGAGATAAATATCCCGTGTGGGCCACAGGTTGAGAGTGTGCCGGTAATAGTCTGTGTATCGGTTACTGGGTGACGCTCCATGACGGCCAGTAAACACACAGTTGCCAAGAATTCTACGCTAGTTTCATTCCTAATTTCAGTTAAGTGTCTCGCTTAATCCATTTTCATCATACCTTTACTAGATTTAATATTCATCATTAATTTTATTTTATTATATGTATAATATCTTTTTCTCCGAATAGGGAGTTATAATAAGAAAAATACGAGTAGTGTGTTCAGGCAGCAGAGAGCGAGCGTTAATCTACTACAGGTAACAGGTGTAGTGAGGGTCGCGGCTCTTGGCATTCCGTCAGACGATTTGAGGCGGGAAGGACAAGCCTTTAGTTAAGGTAACTCTTTGGATATTTGCCAGTAATCAAGTCTCAGCTTACTGTGGTGACTCCCAACGGGGTAAGTTTCCTGTTAGATATTCTGTTTTAAAATTACATAGCCTGTTACATGCAAACGTCTACAAATTAACTACAGTAATTTAATTTAAGATTATTGTTTCCAACATTTACGGTAGTCTTGTCGAAAACTATTGTAGATTCTGAAGAATTTCATTCAAACTAATCTTATATAATCTGAAATACGAGTCAAATGTTTCCATAAACTGCATGTAACAGATCTTGTTCATAAATAAAGGAAATACATTATCTGTCAAACTGTTGTTAAAGCATATAGGGATGTTGTCTCCATACTAATTATTTAAAGAGCTATGCTAATTTTTCATCATCTGGAGCAACGCGACATATCCTTTGTGTTATGTGATCTACTGTGTGAGCAATGTAAATAAAATCACAAGGAGTAATAGAAAGTGAGAGGCCTAATTACATTTATTTAGCTCTTTAACAGATATGCCATTATTTTCAATCTGTTGTATATCTTTTATTATGTGAAAAGCTTGAAAACGAATTACTGAAGTTGTCCTAAAATTATTGAAGTGATGACCTTAGAACGAGTGTCATTGGATTACGAAAATTTATTGAAAATAACGACATATTTTGAATATACAGAAAAATACAGCTGTGCACCCCCATACACTTTTTACTCAAAAAAGGAGGAATTACATGGGTTCATCCACCAACCTGTTGCAACTAACTGCTGTAAAGGTGGCTGGTTCGATCATGGTAAAGCCTTGAGTCCATCCAGGTATAATTGGTTAACTATTTTTACAGATGGTGAAGTGAAGGCAGTAGAGTGCGGTACCGGCCTCACTGCCTTTTTGTATACTGAAGGCTAAGTATACAGTGTGCTGCATCCCACACTGTAAACAACAGACATCCGTGTTTAAATGACTCAATTAGTCACTTCAGGGGAGGTACGCATGACAATATGCCCTCTGAAAGTTGACGTAAAATAATTGACTTATTATTAACCTTTGACTCTAGTAATTGGTAGACGCGGATGTCTAATTTGTTATATTAAGTGAGATAAGACATGGATAACTGCCCTATTTCTTCACCAGGATAGTTAATCGTAATACAGTTAAAGTAATTGTCTAACCACTTGAAATGACACTTGAGATTTGGGTCAGGTCGGGTAAGGGTAGTCCAATTCCTCACGAAACATTGGGTTGGCACGGGTATACAAGGATTGAGAAAGATAATAGATGTTGCTATCGCTATCGTTGCTCTATCTTACCGATCACCTTACACCACGTATAAGACATTACAGTATGGTGCAACGTGACCTTGTGGTGTATCGTCCTTCATCTGTCTAATAAATATGAATATTTTCACCTTACTGCATGACGTATCAAAACAACGTAAAAACTGACAAATGGACGGGAAAAATCTTATGTTTTGTTTTTAGTTTTGTTTTTCCAAAGTGGATACTCAGTCACTTCTCGAATACGGCCATGAATGACCCTCGCGTTGCCATAGTAAGCACGTTAGTTTATATGTGTGTGTGTGTCCTGTTAATCGATGGCCTTGCTGGAGCACACACAGCTAAGGCCAGACTGAATAAGTAAGTCGAGGTGGGAAGAGAATGACACTGTCGTAGTTCAAGGTAAAATTATGAATGAAAAAAATTAAGGCAAGTGTAGATACAGTATATTAAACGTTACAATAATTACTGACAAAAACAAACTATATTTGTAACGGGGAATAGCGTGTTAATTCGTGTTAGGGTAAATTATGTGAAAAATAAAGTATTATGAGTGACTGAACAATGACTCGAAGAAATCCGTGGTTTTGTTTGTTTTTTGTTAATACTGTAGTAGTTTGCTATTAGAAATATTAATGCAACAGGTAAAAAAAAACAGATAAAATAGTGATGGAACAATATATACAAGATCTGCCGGGTGCTTTGTTGAGAGAGAGAGGAAGAAATATGTCGTATGTAAAAAAACAAAAATAGATTAACTGAACAGGACGAGGCTACATGTAATCCATCCTTCCATACATAAATACATACATACTTATGGCAGGATCTTTTTTCAGATTTATATGGGGAGTGAAAAGGGAAAAGTTGCCTTACACCACAGGCAGAGCATCACAGTATGATACAATGTGACCTTCTGGTAGTGTGTTGCCCCTCACTACTGTACTGCCTTATTGATCTGAAGAAGTTTACCTGTTGATACGCGTCCCATCTACCCCTTCGTATATAAACAGACATATCTCTTACCTTGTTCAGCTGACTTAACCTTCCCTAACCTAACCTAGCCTAATAATAAGATAAATTGAGGGAAAAGTGTAATACTAATATAATATGGTTGATGACACAGACCTACGGCGTGCTTCAACAGGTGTGAGGAAGGAGCCAGAGTGTTGCAGAATTTATTTACCTGAAGAAGGCGCAGCACCCATTATCATGACCCACGCCGTGTTCATTTTGCTGCTGACCGTTTATCATGCCCTGGGTGAGTGTGTGTGTGTGTATAATGATAATATTAATAATTAGCGGTTTATTGAAAGAACCTGGCAGCCGAAAGCCTAAATATATACAATGAACAGATGATAAAATTTACATGAATGTGGAGAGGGTCACTTTATATCAACTCTCCCTACAACCCCCAGGAGCAGCAACAGAGAAAGTAGAATGTTTCGCTGATCTTGGCGGGGACAAACTTGACCCAAACAACATTTACACCTGCGTGACGCCTGCCAAATGTTGCCAGGAAGAAGGAAAACCATCATGCTGCAGTGAGAAGGCTGGGTCTGTGGCAGGCTTCGAGCAGGTGAGAAATATAGACAAACAGCCAGAGAAAATTTTATCTCTCATTCCCTGGTAATCTTTAAGAATAAAAGCTTTAGTGTTATAATTTCTTCTTAATTTGACTTGTTGGGGAAATACTCCTTCCCACTATCCTGCTTCCAACACTCTTTACCTGTATTTATCTTCTCTTTTGGTTCTTCTAATTCCTGTAACATTTTGTGTCATTATTGTCGCCAGGCGCAGCTGTGGGGAACGCTGGCAGGACTAATCTTGGTGCTGGCGATTGTCATGTGGTATTGTCGTCATGATGGAGATTGTTGCGGGAACAAGAAGGGCGAGCAAGGGTGTTGTTGTTGTAAACGTAAGGATGGAAACAACGACCCTGGTGACGAGATGTAAGTTTGTCTCTCTCTCACTATGAGCCAGCAGAGGTACAAATACAAATAAATTATAAAAGATTAGTTCCTTTTAGGCTTCATATTAATATATCCTGAGACATGTTTCTTTTGTTTACAGTGAAGAGGTGAAGGTTCCTCCTGCAGATGACAAGACCGACTCTCCTCCCGTCATGGAGCAGTTCAGCGACATATAGTAGGCTTCCTTAGGCTCTGTAACCCCCCCTTCCTTTCAACCTACCACCCACTGCTAGCATCCTCATAATTAATAAGGATAGATTTCTCCCAACTATAGATGTAAGAATGCAGAATTTAATTGGTTTGTGGCGCTGTTTCAAGATTCTCAGACCAACCTGTGTACTGGACTGTCTTATTATTTTAGGCACGTTCATCCGGTAATAACATGATGTGCTAATGCCTTTTGACGTGTGTGTAGTGAGGTATAAGTGTTAAATATTAATGGAAGATCTAGTTTGCTATTGATAAAGTATATCGTAGCTGCTAATATGTTGAATAGGAGAACGATAGAAATTTATATTTATACCAGCTACCGTTGAATGTCAAATTACCTGTTATCGTCAGCGTCAGTTCCTTAACGATCCTGACCAGAGAAACACAACACTCACCACCTTCAGTATAAACCGGCGATCATGGCGGGGCTCACCAACTAAGCTCCACCATTAATTCCTGACCTCCATCCACATCAGCAAACCTTGAGTATCAATTTATATTTGTAGGATATCCTAACTTTATACTTTGTACGTGGTTTGATGTAATATAAACTCCGACATTGCCACTTAAGGTAATTTACCCATTTCGAGTGTTTATTAATTTTCGTACAGCTTAATGTAAATATTTCTTGTCCTGATATCAACCAACTCAGGACAAAGTAAGACTTAGTGGTCCGTTTTTTGTTGTTGTGAACAAAGGTTCAAATTGTCATAATGTTTACATTTGATTTTAATAAATATTGATTAGTAGAATGTATCACAGCTCCTTCCTTCTAAAAATTGGTATCTCAGAAAATAATTTATATACTGTGCTCACGTGCCCAATCCTCTCGTGTCTACCACGCTAACCCTTTTAATGATAGCAGTTATACTCTAAATAAAAGCCTGGGTGGTGGCAGTCTACTATGTAAGTATAATAATTATACTAAGGTGTAATGTAAGAAAATGAAGTGGTTTTCCCAGGTTATTCCGTAGAATTGAATATAACTAAGCACAGCTGAGACTTAATAAATAAAGAAAATAAAGAAACATTTAAATAGTTAAAGGAAGATATAGAAATAAACAATAAGTAAAGAGAAGGAATAACAGTACTGTATTACTGAAAGAAAGGCTTAGAAAATAAATAATATAAAAGAAATATAACAAAGAAAGTTGAAGGTTATATAAGTTATAAAGAAAACTAGTGGCAACGGCCAAACAGAACAGTTGCCCTCTTACAAATGTTCATCAGTTGGTAAAATTAATAATATTCCCTCTCTTACAACGGCACCGAACTAATATATTATATTTGATTTTAGGGAGTTATCACATGCACAGTTGTAGCACCGTTCGCGTATAGCCGTCTGATTGCCTGAAAATTCCTCAACACTGCATTTCTTCACTTTATTAACAATGAAGTTTCAGAGTCACTTGTCCAAATAATTTGCTAAGCTTGAGAATCCATACTTGCCGCGATCACTGGATGTAATCAGAAGTGAAAAGAAATTTTCATTTGTATGTATATATACATTTACGTTAAGATTACTGAAAAATCCTTATGATTTGTTTTAATAAAATAAATGCATTTCAATTATAAATGTAGTCAAAACTTGCCGTACTTTCCGTTTTCCTCAGATCTTAGTCAAGGTCTACTATAGAAGAGCTTCTATAGACCTAGATCAGGAGAAAAAATATGACCGAAAACGATTGAGATTAGAAGGCAGGTACTGATCTGTTTTCAAAATGCCGAGATTAATCTCGGCATTTTGAAAACAGATCAAACTAACAGAAAACGAATAATTAAGGATATTGTAAGCACGAAGTATATTTTATGGCTAACTTGTTTATTCGTGGAAATCTGCAAGTTACAGTATCTATATTTTATTTACCATTTCGCCACTTATCAGCTTATTAGCCATTCCGGTGGTTGATCTATTCTTTGTCATGACCTTTGTTCACTGTTAGTATAGGAAGAAACCGGAAAAACCTGCCATGATTGGTAGGGTCACACTACAATACCCACCTTTATCCCGGCCCAAGATTGCACCAATAAGAGAGAAGCGAGGTACTCCAGTTTCCTCCTGTACTATAACGGCTAGTTGGCTGATAAATGGTACAATGATAAATAAACAGAAATGACCCACGTGAACAACGACAACTAAACACACCAACAACGGTAAACATAAAGAGAAGTCACGATGAGTATTCCATAAACATGTGTTAAAATGAGTACACTGAACAGACAGGGTGTGGAGATAGATGAGGCTGGTGAATACGTTACAAATAAATGATAGTTCTATGATTTAATAATGAATGGTGATAATGATATGGACGTGGTGGCAGAGAGGGTAACTTTGTCTATCTTAGCAATAGTAAAGTTAACCAGAATATTATGTTGAATGTGACGATCAAGCCTGGCAGGATGATACGCCTGTAGATAGTGATAAACTTGGGATGGGAAGGCTGTATGGACTCTGGGGTTAATATCACCGCTCCTCCAGCAGGGCGTACGAATAATGGCTTTTTCTTGAATGCTTCGTCGTTAGGAAATTCTTCTTGAATAAATATGTGGATTATAATATTAACAGACAGGACAGAGATGATAAAGAAAAACCAAATATCGATTAGTTTTATGGCCAGAGTCATCGGCATGGAGCCGATTAATGTAAAGCGTAGTGTATAGAAGACCAAGAGAGCAGAAACAGACACCATGAGACGGGAACTAAACGCCTCCCACTTCACAAACAACGATGACCAACTTATTGCCAGCAGAAACAAGGATGGGATGAATAGAGATAACACAATAGCACTCCCGTGACAGTGAAGCTCAAATTCAACACTCAGGTGATATTTTCCTGAATCTGGGCCATAGTGCACGTTGAGTACGGAGAACATGGTTAATTCTTGAGGCCCAGTGAATGTTACGTCTCTCATCTCTTCTGATAACTCAACGAAATTTTCATAGGTAGACGGCAGACAGAGGTTCAGAGTGCAGACGTGGATATCAAACGGGTAGGTGTAGAATTCAAACGGACAGGTAAAACTGGCGATGTAATCCTGTGTTATGATGAGTTCGTTGTCACCGCCAGGGTACACTAGATCTTGGAAGACGGAGAAAAATACTGTTAGAATATCCATTGATAAAATATTCTTCAGTCATTATTTCTTAAAACTGGGTTCTAGGTGTTAATAATTTGAAAATGTACCGTAGAAGAAAATATCAAAGGCTAAGGTTATATGAAATGTATGGTTGTTTATTAAAAAATTCATATATCTCATAATCTCAACAAAATTTAAGAGATTCTTTCCCTATAACTCCCTCATCTCCCTTCATGCTGTGGAGTACTTATATCTTGTTCTAACTTCTTGATATAATTATCTGTAAGTACTCTTGCTTCGTACTCACAATTATATGTATTACTTACTCTTTGTCCAGTAAAGGACATGTTAAGAAAAATATGAAACTACTAACCCATTTTCACATTGTTGAAGTCTGGATGCTTCGGGTGTCTCGCTGTGGTGATTCTTACAGTCTCTTCTAGAAGCTGCAGATGACCCCCCTTCAGGTTCGACAGCCGGTACAGAGGAGTCCAGATCTTCTTGACATCCTCTCTCGATAAAACGGTTCCTTTGTTGGTGCTCTCCAGGTGACTGAAACTAAGTCTCTCGTCAAGCCAGGTTAGTTTCACTTGGAACTCAATAGTGACGGTCATGTCTCTCTCATCGACGGCCATGATGCGGTTGATGGTAATGTTGGGCGTGATAATGAGGGAGGAACTATCAGTGCCCGGGGGTGTAAGGTGGCGCCTATACCCACTAGGCAAGTTCACGATATCACAGTCATCTTCATCACTGCCGTCACTACACTCATATCGCATGTTGCAGCGGTGTTGGTGGGCGATACACTCTCCTGAACGACACATAAAGTGGTGGCCCAGACAGGGAGAGACGCTCAGGTTGAGACTCGTACCTGCATGAGACCCACAAAGTAGATCACGCACCAGCCAGATTTTCTGACCCAGCGGATATTCTTCCAAGTCTGAGGGAGACAGAGAGGCTAGAGTAGTATTGGCTGTGTTCCTCAGAAGCCATTGTGCATTTTCGTTGTCCCACATAATAAGGAGATCATAGAAGCCACGTAACAATGGCCTCCCGTTAACATAATCAGCCACACGGAACCTAGTTTGTTGTTCCTCCTCGAAACACAAACCTCGTAAACGTAAAAACTCTGAAGGTTTGAATTCACATGAGCTACATTTTTTTATGCTACACTTAGCATCGCCCCAAGTGCCGTCTGGGAACAACGCAGCACAGTTTTCTACAGAACCCCCATAAGGGAAAGGGGACACAAAGTTTTGAAACTCAACAAATTTCTTTACATTCATATCAACCCAGACGCCTTCCTCGGCTTGGTCAGTAACACCCAGCCACAGCTTCCAGGGAGTGCTGCTGCAGTTGTCCATGAAGGGCAAGAGGACCTGCTTGAGATAATCATTGTCCTGGATGGAGCCGGGGACTGACATTGAGGCATTGAAGAGGTGACACTGCACCAGCGAGGCCGACACACTCCGCCTCTCTGGCAACAGCATGTAGTGAGGCAGTGACCTAGAATACGTCGCACCTATTATAACTGATTACACAAGTCTGCAAATAGTACAACACACAAACACTGAGTAATAGTCTTTCCTCTAGATTATTTTTATAAAGAAATAATGCCCCTGAAAGGAATATTTTGAGGTCAAATGTGTTTAATCCTATATTTTTTCAAGCATCTCAGAATAGACTTTAAACTAGGCATGTGAAGTGACTCCCACCACAAGAAACAAGTGACGTAATTACCGACAAAGTTCATTATGACGGACAATGTCGAGAAGCACGTCGCCCATCATCTTGACGTCGGCAGTGTCAAGGCTGAAGACATTGCCGCGACCATTGATCCGACACGCAGCAAGATCCTCCACTTCCGCCGCCGACAACACTCGATCCCAGAAATTAAGCTGAGTTATATCTCCGTGAAGAACCTGCAAAGTCAGTGATGCCGTCAATGTCAATATAGTTTAGCGCCGTAGTGTAACCATTAATGTACGTACATATACTGTACTTTAGTTCAATTCTGTACACATCTACAGGAAGGACGGATGGTACTTAAGGTTCGAATCACCTGAAAAAATCTACACCCCAGCTCATTTCACCTGAAGATTAACTACCCTAACACTATTTTCTGGGATGAGGTTAGGTTAAGTTAGTGTCAGTGTGATCAATCTTTTGATGTAATAAGCTGGGGTGATGATTCTTCGGGTTTGTGATAGAAAAACGTCACAAGGAGACGAGTTTTGTAGGCGTGTGAGCGCGGCCGGTCTAGACGTGTGAGTGAGGCCGGGCTTTATGTGTGAAGGTTGCCGTCCACCATCACCACCACCACCTGACCCTGACTTTACTTTCACGGCAGAATCTTTAAATGGCACCACACCTTCTACCTCTCACATGGAAGTCTGATTCCTTCACTCGCTTTATGACCCTCTGTTAGGCTCTTATTTCAAAGGACGATTAATCTCACATTTTGATTCCGATTCAGAGATGCACATCACCACTCACACCACGACGAAAGTTACAATTATGCCTCGTATAGACATACACAATACTAATAAAATAAAATAAATAGTACATAATAGGTAATTGATTAAACCATACGAGTCAAAGTAAACCTAATCATAACTACTTACACAAAAGAATAAAGCAAAAACGATTACTTTGTATTTACATAGCCTAGTGGCCATGACCGCAAAATATCATTCTACACTCCCTGCATCGTCTACTTGCCCGTCAAGTTAGTTCATGCTCTGGGCAGTCAAAACAAACAGTGTGCTTAAGCATCTAATACCTTTAAGCACTAAATAAGAAAGACAAAGAATGATCGAAAAGTCCCTGTGCACCTTTGATAATAATCAGCAATACCTACATTAATACAAGCAGAACAAGGTACAATAACAATGGCGTCAATGATCACAACTGCACAGGGACTTTTCGATCACTCTATGTTTTAAGGTACTTGACTTAGCCGATACAATTGACTTACTTGAGATACAGCGAAGTCTCCCGCGTATGAATCTTGCTCCTGTCCCACTATAAGTGTTCCATTCATCAACAGGGAGCCACGCATCCCAGACGCCCGGCCGTACCTCTGTTGGGATACTCCACATCTCACAGCCTCGACCTTACAGTGCATTTTGTGGCTAACTTAAATCCTACAGGTGATAGGTAATATACAGGTAAGTGATAAAGCGGATCACCATAAGATTAGGCACCCCAGATTATTTCATCTGATGATTCAAAACCTTAATGTCAACCTAACCAAACCAATCTAACCTAACCAAACCTAACCAAACCTAACCTAACCAAACCTAACCACTCAAGTTATGTTAGGGTGTTTAATCATCAGGTGAAATAAGCTGGGGTGTCTAATCTTCAGGTGCTCCACAACAGCTGTATACGATATGTGTGTGTGTGTGTGTGTGTGTGTGTGTGTGTGTGTGTGTGTGTGTGTGTGTGTGTGAAATTGTGTGTAGGTGTAGAAGTGTGTGTAGGTGTAGAAGTGTGCAGATAAAGAAGGGGGTGGGGGCAGCGAATTAGATAAACAATAACCAAGTGTGAATAAGTGCAATCTTTTCTTTACCACCGATTCTCCATAACAATTTACTTCATGCTAATCGTAAATAATATTTGTTTGAGTTAGAAATATCTATGAAGGGATAATAATGCTTTGTGTTAATATGTTAGATTAATTAAGCTAACATTTTAAATTTCTACAGACCGAAAGAGGGCGTTTGTTTTATTATAAGATATATATTTTTTTTACGAAGACTAACCATAAAATGTGGAAATATTTAAAGGAAATTTGATCGGTGTTAATAATTGCTTTGTTATTTACGGGAGACAAAGTATAAAGAATTTCTCCCGCAGTATTGAGTTGTTTTCACAGTTGCCAAGCGATGGGTGTTATTTTAAGTGTGTGTGTCAGTGTGTGTTGACCCTGAACATTATCTACACACACACACACACACACACACACACACATACCAATTACTATCCACCATTCCACCCCCACCCACTCACACAGCCAACCATTCTCACCCACCCTCCCACCCAAGGTCTGCTTTTGAGAACTATTTCATATATGTATGCAAGTTCCTGGAAGTATAGCTAATGGACGTCACGCTGGGTACACACTGGAGCAAGATTACGTAAGACATGGGTAAGGACTGACAGATAAAGCATGGGAAGGGAAAGATAGAGGGGATAAAATAGACAGGAGACAGAAGCAGACTCACGGTAGAATGGTATGTGATTTTTTTTTCTCACGAATATAATGTCATGTTTGCAGCGTTTACTTACAGTACAAAATCTATCGACTCCATGTTTACGTAGTGTTCTTTATGGTGTTAAAGTAAATGATTCAGAGAACGCCATAACATCACAGCGCCAAAACAAGACAGCGGGAGTAAGTGTTACTAAGTGCTCCATTTAGGTAAAGTGGCGAAACCCAACACTGCATGATAACACACTACGGTAAGGGCTAAGAGAAAAGTAACGAACAGAGAGAAATAATTCCGACTTCAGGATGAAATATTAAAAAGCAGATATACAGAACAAAGAGAATAATTACGGGAATTGCCAGAATGGTGCAAGGGAAGGAGGGGAAGGGTGGGGCTTTTTCCCCTTGTTCACTACGCTATACAGAGCTTCGCGGATTCATGTAATATCACTTCCTGGTACAGTAATGATAAACACATTCTTTATAATTTTGTTCTCAAAGTCATGAACTATTAAGAGAAAGTCAAGCTCAAGCTCTATTTCAAGCTTTACTTTGACGTATGAAAAGAAATCTCCAGAAAAAAAATTAAGAAAATAGAAAATTTTAGTCAGTAGGTGAATGAAATATGGAATTCATCTCATAATGACTACACAGATATACTGGCGGTCTGACTTACACCATTTATTTCATTTATCAATATCAGTAGTTACAGGTAAGATTACAGACATAGGTAAGGAGATCCAACTTATTGATAATCTGATAATTCACGAGATACTTTGATAATCTACTGTACATAAGATATTTTGATACTGGTATTCAAATTCGATACTCTGATAATCTACATATGATACTTTGTTTTGTTTATTTACATACGATACTCAGGCCTTGGTGGACTCGTGGAGATGCACTTGCCTTGCCTTGCCAGTAGAGGGTGTAGGCTCCTGGCTCTAGGACATGGCAGAAGTGGTTCCAGGTCTCGGGGTAAATCTCCAGGGGCTCTGTAGTGACGAGCGTCTGTTGCAGGTTGTTCACGTAAGCCAGCATCTGAGTCGCCATGTTGTCTGAATAAAGGTAAGATTCATTATTTTTAGCATTAACTTATCATTCATTTATCCCATTTTAACATTAATTAAGCAATCGATAGTGTTAATGAGGGTTAGTGTGTGTGTGTGTGTGTGAGAAGCATTGAATGACTCACACAAGAGGAGGGAGTTGGCGTCCTTCTCGCTGGTGGCGTAAGAGAGGTGAATGTTGTAGTCGGCAAACTTCTCCAACCTGAAGTATACAAATATGTTCTTAACTCCCATTATAGTCTGTTCGTTATGATAGTATTCTCTGTGGAAGCAATTTGTTTTTTTAATCTACATCACTTCATTGTTTTCTTAATGGCCAATCTCATGCCAAGACTGCCAAGTCATTTCCATAATAAAAAGACACAAAACATTTATTAAATCCTTCACTTGTCAAATATCACTGTGTGACTCAGAGCAACATGTATATTTTTGCTTGGTGGTGCAAGCAAAAATAAGACGATTTTCTTTGACATTTTCTCTCATTTTACCCATAACCGAGGTACGTGGTTGATAGCAAAAAAACAAACCTATGAAACCTTGCCTAGACCTGACTGAATTACTCAGAATAGGCAAACTGTACTCCAAGCTTTGTCAATAAATTTGTTGAACTAAAACTATATAAAACCTAACCAGTCGCCTCCGCCTTCCAGACCCGGCGTATTAAATATCTCGGTTCTGGGTCGTTTGCGAGGAAGCGTCATGGAAAAATGAATGAGAATTGTCTAAATTATTGTTTGCCTAGGAAATCACGAGATTCGGTTGGTGGCAACAAATGCAATAATACGTAGCTTTTCTAGTAGTTTTCTGATTTTCAACTCCCGATATCTCAGTTGTGGGTAAAATTCACCAAAGTGTTATACATGAAATATATGAAATATCTTTTGTCATAGTTTTATAGTCCTTAAATACTGTTTCGTATACAAATTAATTTACGATTGCTAGCATAATATATAACAACGATACATTATATACATTCCGGTATGAATGTGTTATGAAAGATTTCATATACTCTGCAATATAAACCTACTTTGTAAACAATCTTATTCCGCTGACCTGATCCTGTAGCAGACGGTGAGGTGGGTGACGGGGTTGAGATCGACTGGGAAGTTGTATCGGAGGTAGACACTGGTGGAGGGTATCGTCCACACCCCCCGCTGGAGACTGTACACCCGAACCTCCTGCTCCTCCACCTCCTCCCCTCCTGACGGCGAATATAAAACACTTCCAGGAAATGGCCAGGTTCGCGGATCCTGTTTCCTCCAGATATTTTTATTGTAAAAATGAGTTGTTAGACGTTAAGTTTCCCTGAATGATTTAGTGTCACCTAGAAACATTTGTATTGAAAAGCGTGGAATATCGGTCCTAGTATATTCTCTTGTGGAGTACGGCTTGTCTCTCTGTGTGATACATATGATTCAGGGCCACTAATGCCCTAACCGAACCTAACCCATGCTAGCTGTTCCTCTATATACTTCGTCATTTTAATATAATTTTCAGCCTTGAGGTACACTGAAATACCTCGGTCTAGCTCTATGTACAGTATTAGCACAACGTTCTAGGATGTGCGACCAACTCTTCCGGTACAGCAGCTGTGTCAACCAGTGCTTGCCGAGATAGTGGGCAGAAAGGATTATTTGTTTCTTGTTTCATAATGCCATATCAAAGTATAATTAATTCCAATGAAATCGCATGTTATGGACTACAATTTATGGTGTTAATAAACCATAGTATAATGCATTACTTCGTCATAAAATATTTTATTTTGCACAATACCCGCTTGCACCGCCTGCTAACTCTATATTAGCGCCATTAAAGTGAACATACCGTTGTGTTATCAGTGGTGCCTTTGCCAGCAATTATTCATCTCGATGCTGTTTATGTGTTCATGAATGCTTAAGATTTAATTTCCTCGTAAATTTAATTCGTCTAAATTGTTGCAGCAGTTCCGGGTAATTCAAGATAACAAAAAAAGCTAAGAGAAAAATATTTACAGTAGAATGGTAACTCTAGGTAGCAGCAGCTGCGCCCGTGTGTGTCTTGTGTCGAGTGTAAACTTTATTTAATCATGATTATAAGCATTATGAGACACTATGCTTGTGTATTTTGGTTGTTTACGTTTGCTAACTTAGAATTTATCAGTTGTGACATTAAACATCCAATATTTAACGAGAATTATATAAAAAAAATCGTTACTAATCTTAGGAACAGGTTAGACTACTCACTCTGGTTATAGTGTGATAATTTCTTCCATATGAATAAAGACTTACGTTGTGTTCAGTGTTAACTTGCCCTACTGCCCTATACACGATGCCTCACACCTCCAGACTTCACACCGTCCTGCTTCTACGCCGTAAAATTTTATGTGATTCCATTATCTTTTAGCCTAGTTTAGTAGGGCCACATTTTTCTCCCAACTCCTGAGAATTGGACTATTTTCGTGTGCTGTGGTCATTAGTTGTGCCGAGTACTGTACCACTACGCTCGCCACGCCAACCCTAGGACTGCCACGACACTCAAGCTTCCAGTAATCCAAACCTGGGAATTTATAATCGGGAAAATATCGAACTCACAGGATCTTTATTGTCGTTTCAGTGACCCCGTTAGTAAAAGTTTAAAGCTACGGGTCAGTTGATTGAGGCTGAGAGCGTATTGTGGGGAAATTATTATTATTATTATTAGATAACTCCACCTGACACTCACAGACAGTTTTCCGTGGGCTAATGTCCCTTAACTATTATTTATTTGCTTTTGTTCCGTATTTAATGAAAACAAACAAAAGTGACGTAAACAACAACAAAAATACCCTTTAAAATCATTTTCTTACCTGTTGACAGTGTGAGGAAGCAGAGGAGGAGGGCGGGCAGCGGACAGTGAGGCATGGTGACAGCAGCAGCGTCAGGAGGGTGTCAAGATCTTACCGCCCCAGCCACCTTTATTCACCCTCCCCAACACCACACGCCCGAAATCGCCCACTGCTCGGTTCTCTCAGGTAACTCGTCATATCACATAAACAAGTAAGTCACAGATGCCCATCTACTATCGACCGCATTACACTAGGACTGAGAAAATCAATACTCCATCTTTTCAGGAAGTGCAAATGCTTTTTACCTGTATTTTATTAATAATTGTTGTTTCGAAATGTTGTGCCACACGTAGATGAACTTTGCGTGATGTACCGCTGCATGAGAAACACTAACGTAGGCAATGTCATGCACAAGGTTGTCTCTTTTAAACTCTTAATTAAAAAAGAAAACTGATATAACTTGACGTGTCCTTTAAACCTAACCAGAGGAGGACTCTCTCTCTCTCTCAGTTGAAATGCATATACAGGGTATACCATACAAATCAATGAAACTTCCTTAAAACATTTTCCTGTGTGCCAAGATGCAGTGGTTGTAACCTTATTAGTGAATGTACTGAACAAATAACGTGTCTTTATTACAACGCCATAAAAAACAGAAAATCTTAAGGTTAACTACATAAGATATGAACAACACGACGCAATAATTGGTTATGTGATGCAACATGTTACTATTACTTAATTTACCTGTGACATGAGCAAACCATTTCATTACCAACACCTGTCATGTTACCGTATGATCTATCCTCTTATCAATTATATCATTACTTTCCCTCAAAAAAAAAAGTATTTTTTCACATTTTTCTCTCCATGAGGACACCATAAATGATCTTAGTTGGGTCACATGTTAGGTTCTGTCTTCACTATTAATAACCGCACCTGGCCACCACGACGGACATTGACAGACTGGTGTGGTAGTGTGGGCAGCCCTACCTCCTCGCCCGCACGTGGGAAGGCCATGGACACCAGATCAATGCCCATTATATATTTAACATCATCGGCGGCATAGCATTACATTGCCTGGGTGTTCGTGTTTATTCTCTATATATTTAACTTTAGGTGTAAATTACTTGGAAAATGTGATCAAATGATGTCGTGTTGATCGTGTGTTGTGGTTACGAAGATGTCAACAACAGGACTAAAGTAGAGTAGACTCCGTATCGGTGGCTGGATGCGTGAGTGATTCGTAGAAAATAAACTTGACCTTTAATAACCGGATACCATTTCACAATATGTCATGGAATGTCTATTGAGTCAGAAATGTCAAAACGTTACATCCAAAAGTCATGTCTATCATGGTGATTCAATTTTGTCGTCTAGCTCCAAGTGTACGTTGGTCGCCCTCCCGCGCTCACAAGCTGTGTTTCTTGTGTCCATCTTACCTGGAACGGACTCATCTGCAAAGTTCACTCTTCCAATCCACTCCAATTGTTTTCTGATGAATCAACGTAATTACTCAGTATAATGATGATGACGTGGCCTTCTCATGTGTGTATACGTGACCATTCATCATTCAGAGTTAGTATGGAACCTTCTGCTTATGTCACTTGAAGATTAAACACCCTAACGCTACCTTGGGGGTTGATTAGATTAGTTTAACATCAAGGTGATTAATCTTCAAGCAAATTAAACTGGGGTGTCTAATATTCAGGTGATCTAAATAACGTATTACATATTTAAAAAAAATCAGAATTTAAAACTTTAAATAAATAAATAAATACAGAAAGGAAGAGAAAGAAAGAAAGAAAATGTAGGACATTTCTGGAAATGTGAACTTCCCATCATAGTTTCAGCAGTCGCGCGTACGTTTATATTATCACGTACAGTACACTACTGACCGGTAACAAGGTGGGGCTCATACACACACCCCATCCCCTCCATTATCCCAACTCCACCTGTAAAACACGGATATCCTGACCTAAAGTCACGGTGGGAGGAGTTTTCCTGACTGTCCTCTGCTCTCAAACGAATGCATGTCAGTCTCATGAGTTCTATTTAAGCAAACTTTACTATCAGGGCTAAAGTTAAGCTCTAATCCTAATATGCTTCAGTGTAAATGGACCTTAATCTTCACTGTTATGCCTCTCGTTACATGACACCGGCACCGTCGCAGGTCATCATATCTAAACTCACACTCTCATTTACTTAGGTACACACAGACATTTACAGACACACACAATATCGCAATTCTATCATTTATATAAACAAAGCATTAGTTAGGTTATGACTTTAATTTGAGGTAACATGATCAGTTCTCTTAATTAGTTAATACATCAAACTTTCGTGGAACATCACAAGTGTTTTGGGGGAAATTTTCTCAGTCTGATCTAAAGCACTGTAGATCAATTATATTATACGTACTGTCTCTCGTGCGGTGCTTTAAAGAAAATCAATACCACGCGTGCGAAAGGTCCAACACACAGATATCGTTAAAGACAACTCTAATAATAAAACATTGCCGTGAGTTTTGTAGATTTAATAAATATATGTTATGTTTTTTTTCTAATAAACCTGTAGAATGGGTGTCGAAAGCCAGTAATCGTTATTCTTTGAGATTATCACAATCAAAGAACTCATCCGGACACAGTTTCAGCTGAGCGAGGGTAAACATGGGAGTGACGAACACCCAACAGCTCACCCCACAGGTTCCAGTTACGAGTTAGCCATAACTGTGTTGTGATGGTCGCCGGTCCCTAATGCTATTTCTTGGCTTACCTATAGATCTTTGCCATATTTTCCGATTTCATCTTAAATGTTCTCATTGCCTTCATATGGTGCAACGAGTGATTGTATTATTGTGCCACCAGACCCGATAGACTTAAGGTATTTCCGACATAATCAGAAAAAATCTTATGGATCGAATGACAATTGAGTTTGAAAATTCACTCGGTGTCAGTTTAGTTATGGTGATGATGACTTAAAGACTCGGCAGGTTGTTGTCTACTGAGTCTTTATTCTCTAAAGAATATTCTAATACCTATTGATTATAAGTTTCCACGAAGCAGCAGCTTATAGCTTTATGGACGAAACGTGAACTCAGCGTCGAGTGGGTGTGTAGCCTCTCACTGGCAGCTTTATAGTAAATGTTTGTGTATTTGTGCCGTTTGACAGCTTTACAAGACAATGGTAAGAATAAATTAAGAGTTAATTTCACGACAAATGTGAATGAAATGGAGGCAACCATTATTACATTATACTGTATAACACATAAAAACTTCACTGATAGACAGATAAATGACTTCTTAATTTACTTAATCGTGGTGATTACACACAAAAAGCATACTTAGCCACGCTTTTTCCTCCTAGATATTACAATTCTTTCCCAGACAAACTTAGATTTCTTTTGGACTTTTATCAGGCGACAGTTATATATGTATAGACCTATGAAAAAAAATTAATAGATGTTGGTGATACCGAAGATCATACTGTTTATAGTCCTTGGGTGATACAGCGGTAATCCACGTGTGTCAACAAAGTGTCAAGGGTTCGAGTCCTGCTTGACCCGGAAACACTTAAGACTAGTGTGACCCTCACTAGTCGCGAGTCACTACTAAACATCGCAGGTTTCCCGGACTCCTGATTCCTTCTGCACTAGATAAACCAACGAGCCGAACATCTACTTAACTTGTAAGTGGTGAAATGATAAATAAAAGAACTACTAGATGACTTAAATTTGACTGTGACGAACTGGAAGAGCAGGAACATACTCGATCGTTGTCATTTGATTGAGAGTGTGTACAGTAGTGGTCGACTGGTAGTGTGTACAGTAGTGGTCGACTGGTAGTGTGTACAGTAGTGGTAGACTGGTAGTGTGTACAGTAGTGGTAGACTGGTAGTGTGTACAGTAGTGGTAGACTGGTAGTGTGTACAGTAGTGGTAGACTGGTAGTGTGTACAGTAGTGGTCGACTGGTAGTGTGTACAGTCGTGGTCGACTGGTAGTGTGTACAGTAGTGGTAGACTGGTAGTGTGTACAGTAGTGGTAGACTGGTAGTGTGTGCATTACAAGCAATGTAAGGTCACGTAGGCGAAGTGTGCTGAGGCATTGAACAGTATGTGGGGTAGTAACGTGTTACAGAATGTCTATTATTTTATTTTTGTTCGTTTATTAATTTTTATTATATTTTCGCACCCCCCTCCCCCCAGGTCCTGATGTGTGTCAGTGATCTGTGTCCTGGTGGGCTAATCCCCGTAAAACAAATGAAAAAAACACGTGTTGTCATGGGGGACACTGTGGTATATATACAGTATGTAATTTATTGTATATCTGTTCAATCAATTCAAACTTGTATATTAATTTACTCAGTGTCTATCTATCTGTGTTCACTGTGTTCCTTCCCTTGCTTGTAATGAAAGCTTTTGTTAAACACCCCTCTCCCCCCAGGTAACTATGCACTAAATTATTTTCCCCATTGGCTACTACACCTTTTCAATAACCCGTTAATAATTAATAATATTATTACTACACAAACACACACACTGTCAGTTATCAAGGATCTGTTTACATGTACCCTGGGCCGTCACCACCTCTAGGGACAACTATCAGAACACGCGCACTCCACTACCACTCATGCGCGTACTTACCACTCTACCATGACCAGAGTGGGTTGTTCATGACCAGCGTGGGTTGTTCATGACCAGCGTGGGTTGTTCATGACCAGCGTGGGTTGTTCATGACCAGCGTGGGTTGTTCATGACCATCACTACCCGATCAGGATGCGTGTCAACACCGCCTCACAAGGTTGTGTGTGCTGCTGGATATTATGAATTACACATTAATAGTGTGCTACATTGGTAATCACAGTGCGTATTACAGTGGTAGCCATGGTACGTATTACAGTGGTAGTCACGGTACGTATAGCTGAATTGTTATGTACAATCAAAGACAAAAGTCGTGTCGCGGTTTTGTCCGAAGATTTAATATAACTCGTGAAACATTATGAGAGCCCCCTACCATAAGGCAGAGAGCACCAAAAGTTTTTTTTAGCCCTTCTTCCTTTGTTTTCACCTAATTTCACACGACTTTTGTCTTTCATTGTACACTCAGCCTCTCGGACAAATCACGCTGAGTCGCACAGATCGCCAAGCCGATTCTTGTGAGTGTACTGGAGGTATCATGGTGTTACAGAATACACTATAGGATTTATATTTATTTCTCTCATATTTACAGATATTTTCCTTTGGTGGTGTAGGAATGGGTTATATCTAGTTAAAGGATTAAAGTTTATAGAAGATATAGGGTGATACGTGCAGGTTTAAGGGTTATTAATAGTTTACCAAGACGACTAAACTTATCCGAAAACTCAAGTGTCTCGGGCTTAAGTTTGAAACATAAATATTCCGCTGTTTTTATTATTTAATTTTGGGGGTTAAGAATTGTGATTTGGTAAATATATTACATGCACACATGAAAAAAAATCAGTGTGCTTTAATTTAAACGTAATTTCTCATCAGTTTACTCAACGACGATTTTCAATATATCCCATTTACTTGTAATATGATAATTTCTGATTGTTAATATGAATTATTTTAAGACACATAATATTACTGTACAGAGTATAAGCATATAGTTTGAGTAACTTTATATGATGAGAAAACGAACGAAGTAGAATGAGAAATATTTATACCAGTGAAACCCCTCTGGGTCTCCGACTCTCCGTTTTCTTTCTCAAGGCCTCAACCAACTCAGAGCCGACTCTCAGTACTCAGTAGTGGCTTGTGACTGGGTAACGGCGGTAACGTGCTGTCTTTCATTTTGATTACTTGAATTGTGAAGTAGAATTGGTGTACAGAAAAATAAGAGTGAATTACACATTGTGAAGGAGGAACACAATCCAATTATTTTCTCGGAAGTTCGTGCAAATTTTTATAACAACTTTCCATGATCTAATAAAATAATTTTATTTCCAGTGGACGTTACCAAGATTTTAAACGATAAAGTTTAAGTGAGAATAAACTGAAAAAACCCAGATAATTAATACTAGTAATTAAAACTATTTAGTATATGCTGCAAAAATACGTGAAAGAAAACGGAACGTGTACCACCTTGTGGGGTTGGGATATCAAGGGTTGCTGGTCAGACGCATTTCTGTTATCATCTCACGGCCGTAACCTGCTCCAGGAACACCATGCCATCACGAGTAGCAGACTCAAGGGAGGAAGAAGCCAGAGGGGAGGTGCTACTGAAACCATCCTCAGATATCGTCACCTTTCAAGCCAGCAATGGGTGAGTATTTTACAAGGACACCTGCCACTGAGACATCCGCCGCTACCGCCGAGTCCCTCAATTATTTCCTTATATTCCTTGAGCCGGGTTGGGAGGAAGTTGGCGTCCTCTATAATTCCTTCATTATTACTGATGTCTTTGTCCCTCTGTGGTAGTTACTGTTACTGACCTGTTCATAGTTATTTACGTTTACCTTTGTCGACGTATTCATTGTTTTCACGATATAATGTCACTGTTTAGGGAGGTGTTTTGTAATTGTGTTCATGCTTAATGTTATTTATTTATGTGGTGGGTATTGTTATTTGTGTGGCTTAGTGTTGTTTACTGACATGTGTATCAAGTATTTTGTCAGTATATAATTCCATTGTTCGTTTTGGGTTGGTGGCATGATCCTGGGTTTAATGTTTCCTCACAACACGATTTTATTTATTTTATTTATTTTTTTAATATGTTGGGTGTTGTCTGGTATGGACCTGTTTACAGTAAGAGCTGTTGAGGTGTAAAGAGTTTGAGTATATAAGCAATATGGATCACACAACTAAACCTATTTCACCTGAAGATTAACCACCTTAACACTATTTGGAAGGGATTAGATTAGGTTAAGGTGGTTAATTTTTAGGTGAAATGAGCTAGGGTGCAGATTCTTCAGGTGATTCCCTATTTACCCAGTCCCAATTGCGCTGTAGACTCTAGACTAGACGGTAATGATGTTTACTTTGTATGCAGTTAATTCTAGTTTGGGTGGCCATTGGGTAACTAAGGTAAATCTAGAAAATAAATCATTCTGTACTATTAAATTAATATAGTTACCCATGCGCATGTAATATAATCTGGTGAGACGATGATGGGTGCTGCACAAAGTGATTTTATTCGGGTCATGGTCTAAAACGCCATCGTGACTTGCTGGAGTTTTATACAGTACTTACGCAAGCCATTGTTACTCAGTGCTACCTGCGTTTAGAATCATGGACGAACTCAACTCTTCTATATATGAACCGAAGCTGATATTATAATGGGTCTCCGATTTAAAATTCTTTCCCGAGTATTGGAGTACCGCGTGACGTCACAGTTTGTTTACATAGCAGAGGCGTGGTTGTGGAGAGAAAGGGGCCGACGCTGACTTAACGTGTTTGAGTTTTTTTTTTCCATCATGGTTAATACCTGTGTGATTATAGGCTATACATAAGAAACTATCTCAAACGCTGTATCAGTTTTCCCAGGATCTTATTTTTGTATAAGTTTGAAAAAATATGATTGTGACCGTTCATGATCAAGGATGCTGCTGTTTCCCCTACACTGGTTATGACACCGATGACACATTAAAACACACACACACACACACACACACACACACCCTTTTCCACTTTGGGCAAAAAATGCAGTTACGTTATTGCAGACCTATCCCAAGCCAGCCATAGAAGTACAGTAGACATTAGACATACCCACTCACAATATAGACATACCCACTCACAACATAGACATACCCACTCACAACATAGACATGCCCACTCACAACATAGACATACCCACTCACAACACTCACAACAGAGACACACCCACTCACAACAAAGACATACCCACTCACAACATAGACATACCCACTCACAACATAGACATACCCACTCACAACATAGACATACCCACTCACAACATAGACATACCCACTCACAACATAGACATACCCACTCAATATAGACTATAGACGACTCCCAAAAAGTAGCATCAGACAATTATTTTAAGTCGAAGATCCATTCCTTGATAACTAGGAAGATTGGATTAGGTGTCAAAAATTAATTGTTCTTTTATTTTAATCGATTTATTTATTTTTGAATCTTGACTTGATAACCAAAATCCGTATAAAAAAGTTGTGGGTATCTAACCAGTACCGGGTAAATCATGTTTTCGTATTTTACCCGTAATCCCATCACCCATGACGTCACTTGTTTATCTGCATGATTAGAAATATTGATGTGCTTGATTTGAATATTCTTAACGCGTTGTTAATGTGTCTGGCTTTTAGGTCGTAGATGTGAGGTTGTATGTATGATGTAAGGTTTGTTCGCAAGCTTTATTTGATAGGACATGCCTGCACTTAACACGTGTCGACACACTGCACACTCATGCTCTGACGTCGGGTACCGGTGCACTGTGCTTACCCCTACTGGTGAAACAAACAACTTTTTCATCACTGAGTAAATACTGTCGCCTGAATCAGCAATGACTTGATTAATCTGTATGTATAAACGTTTGAAATAAGTTAGATTTATAAGAGTGAGCATCATTTGTAAGAGGAGTGAGTATTTGACAAGGAACTCATTTGTAATATACAGCAAAGTACTATATAAGGAATAACAACACCAGCTGTTATATGTATTTCTATAACAAACATCAATGGTATAACTATGTCCCATGGTCAGTACCCACTTGTGACCTTTTTTTAAATCTGGTACACTACTCTGGTATTGTCTCCGCATATTCTCACCAGACTCGACACTCACGCAGTTAGTTAACTCGTAGTAAACTGATATGATTGACTGGCCACGGAAAGATGGGGATATGAGTCTAATTAAGAACCTTATATAGTGTGTCGTCGCTATTGGAGTAGGGCGTGGGTGAAGGTAAGCCAAAACTGAGCATTAGGTTTGTGGCAGCATCTACTCTAGTCAACGTTATCCCTTCAAAAACAAACCCGGGGGTGGGGGGGCTAATTTTCAGGTGACACCCCCAAAAATATTCTACAAAGTACACCCCCTCCCATTACTATTTGGATCACCTGAAAATTATGCTGCCACGTCGACCATGCAAGGAGTGGCACCAGTGTGTATAATATGTGGTAAGTAGCTCTATCACTATATAGTACTCTAAGATACGGTAATATAATGCTGTACCTTATAAGGATACAGCTACTTGTACTTACTACCCATTTACAGTATTCTTCTCCTTGTAGTGAGGATGGAAGTAGAGGGTGAGGGGAGGCTCATGACGACGGGTCAGGTGATGGTGCGCATGTCAATAAGCGAGGGAATGTACTGCAGCGTGGGGTTGTGAGCCGGGCACAGCAGACAACAGACTGACAGTCATATTACTTCGTCAGTAGTTATGGGATGATATTGTAGTTGCTGATTTAACTTACTATAGTATAGTATAGTCTAACTTGATGTAACACAATTCTCAGCTTAACCTAACTCACCTAACCTAACCTATCTTAACCCGACCAGACATGGATGGGGATATGTATTAGAATATTATTTGGTGATTTACCACGTGTGTGTGTGTGTGTGTGTGTGTGTGTGTGTGTGTGTGTGTTATGTATTCCCCTTGTTTTGAAGAGAAGATGGTGCTGAAATAGCTGAGAGAGGTGCTGAGTATACTGTTCAGTGGCACAAAGCTGAAGGTTTTTTTTTTTATTGGGATTAGCCCACCCGGGCACAGGTCACTGACCCACATCGGGGCCTAGGGGGCGAACATGTAATAATAATGATACTTTAAAAATTCATAATAAATTTTATGAAAAATTCAAAATTAAAAAATAAATAATAATATAATAATGATAATATTAAATAAACGTAAAGAAATAAAAGCATTAAAAAAAATTATCAAGAGTGAGAAACGATATACTGTATGTACTGTAAATGTTGTGTTGACGGTCGGAATTTTTTCGTAAGATAGCAGGTCTATGGGTAAATAAAACGCTTAAATTCACTATGCTAATGATATTTTAAATAAATTGGGCTAAAACGTGTAATAAATAAGGGTTAAAGTTACTAAAAAGTCAAGCGACTGCGAAAAGCTCTGTGATTGGTTGTGACGTCACTGGTTGGGGGTGAGCTTCCCATGCAGCATTGCAGTGGGAGGCAGGCAGCTGTAGTTGTCCAACCTTCTCGGCCGATCGGCTCTGTATTAAATATTATTGGATAATTAATTGTGCTTTACTGTGCAACACAGTAATAGCATTTTGAATATATAAATATTACTAAGCACATAAACTAATTCATTGGATATTAGCTGCCCATGCAACAAATTTTCTTAGTATAAACATTCCAAACAAAATTGGTATTATTTTGGTTTTGGTCATCTGGGGAACCTTAAGATTCTAACTATGAGATTAAGTACTTTAAACAATAAGACACATTATCTCTACAGGATTTCTGTTGCAAAACATTTTTCGATCGCATAAGAAAATACAGATCATAGGTTAGGTAAGGTAAGGTAAGGTAAGGTAAGGTAAGGTAAGGGTATGATGAGTTACAAGGTTAGCTTAACGTACACCGGTAAGGGGTGATAGTAACTCAACTCAAAACTAGTGATTTCCGATAGAAATGAAGGTCTAAATCGTTCATAACACATCGCAAACTACCGGAAAAAAACATAGTTTGCATGTCTAAGTACAGGAATGACCAAAACTTAAAATTTACCCAATATAGCCCATCTCGAATCTAAACATCAAAATATTTATAGTATTTAAAGTAAAATTTTACCCATTAATAAATATAAATGGTGATATATCCCAGTGGTTCATAAGTGAATCATAACAGGACTATGTTATGTTAACTAGCACCAGGCATTCTCAAAACAAAGTCCAGACAATGCCATTATTTCTAAATTAACTCGTATCTCCATCTAGTACTGATATACTCTAAATGCACTGAAAAAAGTCTACCAGGTAAGCGTACATGACAACTGAGCTGGTGTGAACATGGGAGTTTTTTATGTCCATAAGAATGGAGGAAACTGCAGCGGGCCTATTGGCCCTTACTGGGCAGTGTCATTTACACCCAACCCCCATCGCTCATATATCCATCCAACCTACAGTATGTTTGAAGCTGCTCCTCTCGACACATTTCTTCACTTACGAAATGTCCATGACTATGACCATAAAAAAACGGTGGACGAAAATAAAGTTCACAGGAAAAAAGTCACATGACTTGTACATCCAAACACTGATGATATATATCTAGTTTATCATATAGCCTTAGGAAGCTGTTTGTATATACCCCTGTATTATATTTATATTACATTCTTATGTTCCCTAAACCTTTGGTTTGGCATCAGTTCAGACATGGTGATCTTGATATGTCGTACAGTGTGTGTGCACAGATACTGTTAGCTGGTTAGTTATCCATCACGTGTAGAATGAAGCCGTTTTCGGCATTTTGGGTGTCTGTGTGATTGATAACTGCTCCTGGTCAACAGTATGGCAAGGCGGGGACAAGCCCCTCACTCTCATATAGCCACTGTAACTACGCCAGAGTAAAACGAAAACAAACTGGTGCTTCGTTTTCTGTAGGGAGGGGAGTGGTATGACTAAGGCAGCTGATTTCATCGTGTTTGGACTGGCTGCACTTGACATGTTTAGAGTCTTTTAGAGTTTTGTGTGTTAAGTGTTGAGCGCAAAGCCCGTCGCTAAAACATAAAATATTGCGTTGGGGATATAGTAAAAGACGTTATCACACACATCACAAAAGGGCTTCACTAGAAATTTATTTTGCTGTTGTACGTCACCACATCAACCGGAAATCCGGAAAGTTTCAGTTTCCAGCTGATAAGCGTCACGTACAGTAGTCGTCGGCCTACAGCCCTATACAGTACATACTTTCCTCCAACTCTTGCGTCAGTGAGCGACGGAAGATCAGAGTAGCTGCCCATCGCTGTACAGATAGACCAAGGATTGAATTATACTTGAGGAGGTCCTACACTTCACATCCCCTATTCTATAGATATTTTACACACTTTAATAAGAGAGCTCATAAATGAATCTTCGTTTTTAATTTGTTGTTTAATGCTTAATGTTCCATTGATATTTGTTATTGACATTGAAACAGTTTATTTAGCCAGAAGAATATAGATACAGAGTAGATAATATTAACAACATTGACATGGCTCATGGGCCAATTGAGCGCCTGGGCCCTGGGATAACCTGATATATACTGTACAAGTACTGTACATTTATCTCAAGGAAGTATTATCTAGTTCGATTTGTTATTCCGAAAGCTAGCAAAGATACCCGAAGCCTTGATCTTGTGTGGCCCACTGGTAAACTGTGTAATAGTTTGTGGAAAGCACCGAGTCAGTTGATGAGTATTTCCCATGTCCTTTGTTCACTACTGCCAGCGAGCCTCACGTGGTGGAGGAGCGGTCATTGCGTCATCTGAAATGTTAGTACATAATTTTCTTACAACTTTTTTACTAAGCTATAGGAAACAATATCTCTTTGTTTTTTAAGTTGTTTAGTGTAGATAACATGACAATCTCAGTTATGTGATAATGCTGAACTAGTTATCTAAATACACATGATCTGAATTATAAAAGCAGACTCACTGTTATCGTCTCTTGGGAACTGACTGTCTTACCCACTAACTCAAATAAGAACATAAGAAAATAACACATTCTGGATATCTTATAAGAATTGATATAAACAAGGTATCAAGCTTTACTGACACACCTTGGCATTATCTTGTTGGGGGATAATCCAGGTATATTATTGTTTAATCCTGGCTGTCATCATTATCAACATTCTCATTATTATTTCTCTCCCCCCCCCACACACTACCATTACTGAAGCTCCCTCTCTTCCTCCTTCCACATTATAGTGTACGTGCTATTACTGAAGTGCACTCCCCTCCCTTCTCTACCATCTCCCCACACCTCCCCTTCCCTACTCTTACCTTCCCCTCCCAACACCTCCCATACCCTACTCTTCCCTTCCCCTCCCCACACCCCTCTCCTACTCCTCCCTTCCCCATCCCAGACCTCCCCCTCCCTGCATCTCCCCACACCTCCCCCTCCCCACTCTCCCCTTCCCCACTCTCCCCCTCCCCACCCACATACAATCTATCACAACTCCGATTCCCTTTCTTCCCCATAACACACATGGCTTACCAGGACCCCACCTTGACCTGTGGATTAACTCTTCAGCTTCGCCTCTCCCTCCCTCAAGCACTACAAACATGAACTTTTAAATTCCTACTCTGGTCAAGGCTAATCCTCTTATGCTCTTTCAGGGGTGGAGTGGCAGATCATTTGTTTGAGGAGCAGGAACCTAATTGGGTTTTGGAGACATTGGCAGAGAGGCAAGCTCGACGTCGTTCGCATTATGTTATTTACCTCACCACCTTCGTCATGTCTATAGGCTTCTCCATTGTACTGACGGGGGTGTGGCCTTACTTGCAGCAGGTAAGTCATCTTTCAGGATCTTATGGAACTATTCAGAGTCTAATAAGTCCATTTTGTATAGTAGTATAAGGGCATTTTAAGGAATCAATACCAGAAATTAATAGTAATGTATGGCAAAAAGATACCGATGGACAGCAATATTCACTTGAAGCTCTTTATTTGCCAATTTGTGTTCTTGAAGAATATTTGTAATGAAAGCTCTTACAGGTATATACAGTCGACAAACACCCCTCACCATACCAAAAGATTAATTGCTATTTTTTTGACCATGGTACTCTTGTTTATACTGTTTTGTCATACTGTAATTAGGTCTTAACATTTTATTTTTCTAACTAGATGCCCTTTGTCAGATGGGTTTCATTACTGTCCCCCGCCAACGTGATTGTGGACTGGTGTTATGATTACCCATCCCCCCTTGCCATATCCACCAACCTCAAAAGAAAGAGAACAGATCCAAAGGCAGGGTGTCAAATAAACCTTTTCAGTATATACATGATAACTACCTTCTATAGGGATATTATGATAACTTAAGGTTAACAAAATAATGGATGGTAACAACACTTTGAGAAAAACAGAAAATAAAACTTACTCAGTGAAAAAAGTACTTAAGAGAGTAGTCTGGTCTGTTAGGGAGGAGTCTTTGTGGAATTCAAAGAGTGATCCTTCCTGGAGGTGTTCTTATTTAGTAATAATTCTGTTTGTGTTGATTATCCCTCCTTATTGTTGGCTGGATAATAAATATATACAGTTTTGTGTTTTTTAATTAAATATGTGTTGTGTTAGTAATAGAATATGTTTGGTGTATTTTAGTGAACTTTATACAATAAGTTACACATTAATTAAAGGGTATTTTGTTATTATTAATGAAATTTGTTAACACCACCTTGTATTTTCTTGTACCTTTCCAACAAGAAAAATTGTAGTTACTTAAAGACTAATTTTCTCTGCATCTCTTATAGCTTGATCCTGGATCATCAAAGGTATATTTCGGTTGGGTGGTCGCTGCTAACCCTCTGGGACAGATGCTGGCCTCACCCTTACTAGGATGGTGGGCCAACAGGGCGAAATCCAACAGGTGAGGTACGGAGAGAAGGGTGAAAGGAGTGGGGTGGAAGAGAAGGGTGAAGGGAGTGGGATGGCAGAGAAGGATGAAGATGGGAGTGGGGGGAAGGAAGAGTGAGGGAATGAGGAAGAGGGAGGGAGCGAAAGGTGATGAAGAGAGTGGGGGGGAGAAGGGAATGGAGTGGGAGACAAGGGTGAAGAAGGGAGTGGAGGAAGGAAGGATGAGAGAGGGAGTGGGGAGAAAAGGTTAAGGAAGGGAGTGGGGTTGGGAAGAAAGGTAAGGCTAGGAGTGGGGAGGCTGCTTGAAAATGAGGACTAGGGAAAAGAGGGAAGATTAGAGGGAAAAAGAAGAAGTAGAGGGAGAGAGAGAGAGGGGGGGAGTAAAGCTGAGGAAAAGGAAGAGTGAGATGAAAAGGGGGAGGAGAAAGCAAAGATGAAAGTGAAACGAGCAAATGGAAAAGATTAATGGTGTAGGAAAGGTTAAGTAATTAAAGGATAATGAAGAAAAAATAAATTGCTGGAAATACAAATAAGATAAACCGAGAATGTAAAAAGTGAAGATGGAGGAAGAATGATAGAGAGAAGATTATTAATAATGAGAGTAATAGATTAAGAAAATAATTAAAACATGAATGTGATCCTTCCAATATTCGTGTTCAGGTCTCTCTCTCTCTCGAGCCTCTGTCCTGAGTGGCAGTGAGAAGTGAAGCAACCTCAGTGTCAAGGTCTGACTGAATTACTCAGAATAGGAAAATTATACTCCAAGCTTTTTCAATAAAGTTGTTAAACCTAAATCTCTTGGACACATATACAGTGTATCAGTTAGTATATTACTGTGTAAACTATTCTCATTTCTCAGACATGATAATCTGGATTCTTGTTGAGTAATTAATTATCCTAAAAATATTCTCTTGTTCTTTAACTTTGCCATTTTTCATGAAGTTATTATTGTCTGTATTATTATTATTAGCGGCATAGTTCACTCTCTAAGACGGCTGGTTAGTGTTGTCATATTACCTGATGTTTGTTAAAAGTTTTGATTAATTTATATATTTATCTATTTATCATTTCACTATTGATTTACCATTTATATATTGCTCCTTCATTAATAGAGGATACTGCACGCAGACTTTCATGTGTGTGTTGCTGTAAATAATTGCTACTGTATTTATTGGTGGTATTTTCTATGATATTTAAACATTGACGTACATTTCTAGGCGTTGTTTCCAGCTGTCGTTGACCGTCTTCGCTATAGGTAATGGCCTTTATGCCATTCTCAGTGTGTTTGGGTCTGCAGCACTACCTATCATGTTCGTCTCCCGCTTCCTTGTAGGCATCAGCTCAGGTACGTTATGTTCTTTGACTCTAATATTACTGTATTAAGACCATAATTAAAGGTTAGTGGAGTCTGGTACCTGTCTCTGAAGGTCCCCAGTTTTTTTGTAGTTTGTATTTATTAGCAAAGCTTTTCCATTTCCCTTACTGCATGAGTTGTTTGAGGGAGGTGTCTCTCCTCTCATCAGAACTTTCTTGGTGTTTTATGGTGATAGATATTCCTGGAGTGCTCAATGTCAGGGCAGATGTTCCAGCAGGGAATAAGGCAATACAGTACCATTACATTAGACATTACATACCGGTACTAATCCGTTCTCTTTGATTTTATTGCTGGGAATCTGTCCGGGGGTAGATTCGTTTGCAGTGTCTTATAATTGGTGTCACTTGTTGATTATTTGATTCCACTTTCAGTCACTGCAACTAGTGGAATTAGGTTTATGTTTTCCCTTCTTTTACTTCAATGTTATGATCTATATTAAAACTGAAATATTTCAAGGGGACCTTTTCTTTGATAATCCCATTTTTAAGGTTCTGTCTGGATAATGTTTTGGGTGTGGAAGATCCTGATTTTTGAGGATGGTCTTGTTTTACCAACTGGCATTGTTATTCAACTGCTTTTTGGCCTTGCAAGGTTTTTCTACCAGGAGAGACAATGGACCTTTCTTCTTGATTCTTTTGGGTCTTTGAACTCTTGCCTCCTCCCAAGAAGTCTGAGTAGATTAAAGACTGTTTGATAGGGGAGACCTTCTGTCCCACAATGTTTTCATAAATGTGTTGTGTTCTCTCATACAAGGTGCATACAGTAGTTGTAAAGTATTTATAGTTGTTTACACCATTTCTTTTCTTGTATCTTTAATGGCTTTTGTATTCATAATTATCTCAATCTAGACAGGCATATGTTATAGATGGGGATTGATTATTATATTGTGGTTTGTAATCAAACCTAAATAGAGTAACTCACCTTCCACCCTCCTTCACTGCAGTGTTTTTCTCTGATCGATGGGGAATTGTGGATTGGTATTATGATCAGTTTGTTTTTTGGACCTTAGTTGGAATAGGTCATGTATGCACTGTGTAATGTCTTGACTCAGTAAATCATAGAATTACAGTTTCCTTCCTACTGGTAATTAAAGACAAGAGTTGGTTGAAGGTAATAAGTTATTATTTGGGTTATAGCCCCAGTGTACATAGGGTAGGATTCTCCTGGGTTCCTAAAGCCCCAAGCTATGGTAGGCATATTGATGAGTCCATTCTCTCCAGGCTTGATTAGAAACCAGGACTTCAATTTCACTCCTATTTTTAGGTTGGGAGGGGACACTCTGTTGCTATTTTCACTGCCTTCTTATAAGGTTCCTTGACTTCACCAACTCTTTGCAGCTAACATTGCCATTGTGCGGTCTTATATATCCACCTCAACCACCACGAGTGAGAGGACAACAGCTGTGGCATTAACGTCTGCTGCACAAGGCCTTGGCTTTATCATCGGTCCTGGTGAGTGAGTTATTGTTTGAGAATGATACAATTACATGGTTTTAGCTAATGACAATCTAAACTAATTTCTTAACAATGAATTATAGTGTTCATATCTTCTCTGCAGCCATTTAATTAGACTTATTGAGATATTGATAACACTTAAATTTATTTTCTCTCTCAGCCAAAGGCCAAATGTGTACAGAAAAGCTTTACAGTATCTCTTATGTCATTTTGTGACATACTGTATTTTGATTTAATGTGACAATATATATCAGTCTTCATATGGATGTGCTGAACCAGACTGCAAATACAAAAATGTTTTTGAATCATGTGTTTTTATGTGGCTCATACAGTAGCAGTTGGTATGATGGATGTATTGCTGTCATCATCTTGGCATCTAGTGTTTGGATTGTCTGCAATGGTGTCCAACTGTCAGGTTGGATTTCAGACTGTAACTTTAGTTCTATTAATCCTTACCTTCCAGACATGGTCAGAATCACCCTATATGAAAATGAAAAACATTTGTTGATCTTGGGTTCAAAAGTCATAACATTTGACAGGGACACAGTTTTCTAATTATTATTTTTTTAAGTACATTTTTGATAACTGTCTTTTTCTGTGTACAAATGCAGCTGTTCAGACTGGATTGACAGTTATGTATTCGAAGTCCCCTTTATTTGGCAATAATATGGAGTCTTCAGTACCACCTGTGCAAAACAAATCAGGTAGAATATGTTGTTCAGTGAGAGCTTGCACAGAGTTCGCTGAAGAATATCTTCACTGCACTGTATAATCCGGTTTCATTGTGCAATTCACACACTGTTTGGTGCACAGACTAATGCTTTATCTAGCATATGCTCTTATTATGAGTCATTGTGAGTGTCCTGTGAGAACACTACCACCTTATCACCTTCTCTGTGCCCTTCAGAGATGACATATTCAGTACAGTAGTTTAATGGCAGGTCCTGGCTCACAAGGCTATATAATTAAAAATGCTACAAGTGGCACTTTTGACGCATGAGCTACTACATCATCAGACTCCTGGAAAAACATAAATAAAAATGGTGGATATGTCCAGATCATATGAATTTGCAATTTTTTTAACATATTTTGTAGATTTAAAAGTAAAAAGGCAAGAGTTTTATTGGAATCCACTTTTAATGGGGCATTACTGTATTATACTGGACTAACCCTTGATTCATACTTAGTCATTGAAGATTCATTCACGTACAAATATGTAGATACAGTTGAACCTCTAATCCAACAACCTTAAGACATGAACACAGCCATATTATGAAAAATTTCAGTTTATAGAGGTTTTTATAGAAGCTGTAAGATAAATATTACCTAGAGAACCACAAGACATGGTAACACCTTATCTTCCTTGCCCTCATTATCTTCATCATTTAGCACTTAATGTATATACTGTATTTGCTTTATATCATATAGGAATGTCTTTATGTTTGATTTTATTATATATTTACTTGATATACAATGCAGTATATGTAGGATTTTTCATTTATGGGTACAATGTTTATAAAAAGATCTACGTACTGTATTTACGTAACGATTGGAGAATTTACATGGCTGCATTCCCAAAAACTTATTACTGTATGCTCATAAGATAATAAATTCCCCCAACACATAGGAGGGCTTAATGAAGGATTGGAACCTATTCCCATATAAATCTAACTCTGACTATGAAAATATCCACTTGATTACTGTAGGTATAACTCTACTGTATATACTGTATGGTATTTAATTCCTCATCTGCACACTTTGATGTGGATGTGATGCATGTTTTTTTTTCTGTTTTTTGCACTGGCATTCCTTTAATACTGTGCACCTAATTCTGAACTTGGCAAGTACAGTATGTAGTTTAGGTGTACAGTATATGTATAAACTATATTATGTAATGGGTTATTTTATGCAACAGAGTAATTAACAATTTTATTATGTATACATTACAAATCTGGTTGAGCGAATATGTGGAAATGTGAAATGAACGAAATATTATGAAAACAAACTGCAAAAATCCTGCACTCATGACCATCGGAGGTGTCGTGTCTCATGTTTGATTTCTTTTCAGTAGCACAATATTGTACTGTACTGTATTACGCTACATTTGTTATTGTGACGTTCAACTAGTAATGGTTCATACAATAGTTTTGTTAAGAGTGTGGCCATGATTTGGTTGCATTATATCAATATTACATTTCAAACAAATCTAAGCTAAATATTTTGTAATTATGTGAATAAATTATGTGGACAATTTGGCTGGTTGGTTGAAAAATTATGTTCAGTATAATACAACAAAACTGTTACTTTATGTTTTAATTTACATTGGTACTGGATAAACACATGATTGTCACGAATTTAGTCGGATATTATGAGCACGAATGTATATAAACTGCTGACGTGGACTTCCAACGTCATCAACCCACGAATTTTGCACTTTTCATGGTATTTCGGTCATAAACTATTGTATATAAATGTGTACTGTAGTTCATGTAGAATACAGTAATGTTGTTTCCCACTCAACTCCATTTGCTTCTTAGAACTCTCCTGACCTTCATTACAGCTGTCCAGGCTGCACTGGCTGTAGCATTTGCACACACTTCCCCCAACTCCAGTAACTCTACCCTGACTAATGGGACAATGAGTGAGACACTAGTAGACACAGATGCACCAACAATTGAGTTGAACATGTATTCAGCAACAGGATGGATTGGTGTTTTTCTTGGCGTAACAAACCTCTTCCTCTTCTTCCCCTGTACATATCAGGTTAGTTTACAGTTGAAGTTTACAAATATCATTAATTTTATAATGTGTTCTCCACCAACTGAATATATGTTAACCAAGAACTTTTTTAGCTGTTCACTCATTCTTGGTTACTGTACTTATTAATGAATCTAGTGTGTCACAATGACTCCAGAATGCATCTCTACATATCCTAATACATCTGGATTTTCTTGTTGTTTGATACAGTCACTTAACTAGTTTGTGGTCCTGGTGTATGTTGTGCCAATTTTTACTTTATCCTTTTCGCCACTGATCAGCTCATTTACCGCTTAGGTGGTCAGTTATGTCTCTGTTACGCACTGTTGGCATGTATACTTGTTCCAGAATGTATCTGAGATGTAGATGAAGAATTAACTCAATTTTTTAATATTCTGTAATAAATTTTCACATACCAGTCGCCCTGGGACTCAACCTCTTAGATGTACTACAGTACTCACTATACAGAGCTGTTGATTCTGACTTGGTTATATTGCTCAAAGAATCAATACACCATACCTCATAATTTTTAATCTTTTACAAAAAGTCATATAATTTTAGGATCCCTTCTTCCGTATTATTATTAATTTTCAGTTTTGCAACGAAATTGATGTATTAGAGAATTCTACTTACAGTATATAATCTATTGTTTTTAAAATCATTTCACAGGAACATCCCATAGCAGCTCGAGAAGCCCAACTTCAGAGGAGACTAAACAGGGATGAGAGCACAAAGCTGCCAAAACCAGATTATGTTCCTTTGGTTGGAGTTATTTTCTCTTTCTTTAATTTCCTTTTTATTTATGTGTTATTAGAAACTATTATTGTACCCATGTGTATTGATCTGTATGCTTGGACAGATGAAAAAGCTATAACACTTGTAGGAATTGGTCTTAGTGTGGCAGGAGCATTTTCTGTAGTTATGTTTGCATTATCGAGTATTTTGACGAAAAGGTACGATGAACGTAAAGTTTTAATAATTTTAGGGATAATACCACTGATATTAGCTAATTTAATTCTTTTCCCAATGGGCAGCAATTATCCTAAAATGAAAAACTGCAGCACAGATGATCCACTTCATATTGAAACTTTCAGTAATCTTACAACTTTTGCCCCACAAACTACAGATTTACTTTTAACAACTTTACCGGGAGATCTGCCGGTTAATATAGTTGACATGGAAAGGAGACTTTTAACAGCATTAGCAGGAGAAATAAACATAATCAGTGAAGAAAATACTACTGGTACTCCAATACCATCAGTAGAGGAGGTAACTCTTCTCAGTGAAGGGTTGGAACCTTCAACAACCATACAGGTAGAGCTGATAAGTACTGCTTCTGAACCTATAGTCTCTCCAACACCAAGAGAGAGACACATTATACCAGGTGAAATGTACTTCAATAATTCAGAAGCGAGAACTCTGTCAAGAAGACGAAGACATGCAATTCGTCGGGAAACATGTGATGATTTGGGGTGTCCACCAGAACAGAAATGGTGTCTTTACACTCCTATTATTGAAATACCACAGCTAATTGTCGGAACATTTATGGCTTCAGTTGGCTACCCAGTGGCCTTCACATTAGCAAGTTCTCTTTTCTCCAAGTTGTTAGGTCCTAAACCTCAGGGAGTTTGGATGGGAATTCTCACCAGTGCAGGCAGCCTATCCCGTGTTACTGGCCCAATATGTGTGTCATACATGTATACTGTATTAGGCACTAGGTGGACATTTGGTGTCCTTTTTTTACTTATGATATTAACATTTATTATAAATCTCTGTCTGTACAGGAGACTAGTGCCCATGAAAGTAGTAAGAAATTTAAAATGATAACTGTACAAAGTTATTTATTATATAAAGGAAGAGTGAAAGTGAAGTATTGAACCTAACATATCGTTCTGGCAGAGGCTGTACCCAGGCAGCTCTCATGATAAAAGGCTCGTTGTTGTAGATTTTCAATACAGTATTCAGGTGTCTCCCTTTATTTTTGGCTAGTCCATTATTATATGATTCACAAATGGGAAACATCTGGATAGTATATCTTGAGTACTGTACACAGAAATGGATATGTGGATAGGCAGACTTTGCCATACTCTTTTCTCGTGAAAATTAGAATAGATTACCACAAATATGTCACATAAAGTAGATCAGACCAAATAATACCCAAATTATTCAAATGCAAGAGGTGGGAATGGTCAGTGATGGGGAATGTAAGTCACTCCTTAGTGCCTGGCTTTAGCTTTTGAGTCTTATTTTCTGCCTCAATCCTTTCTTCCAGGTGACTTAGGATCATAAACGCTGGATTGTTTCTGGAAGTCCTGTTTTATAACCGAGTTAGGATGAGGAGACTCGAGAGTCCTCCCTCTTATTGGATATATACAGCTTGGTTAGACTGATGCTCGGTCATGGATATCAATTCAGCCAATGATAAATAATGGAAAGCAAAATTATGGAGGTTTTTGTTGTACTGTACCTAAACTTATCAACCCTCAGCCTTCTGTGGTTTCTCAGGCCCTTGCTATGGTGCTTCTACTAATTCTTTGTTTAGTGCCAGATGCCTTGAGTGTGGTCAGCTGGTCATCAAATGAGCTTCCTGACTATGGAGTGTCTAGTCATAAAAGCCTGATATGATATCTGAATTACTCCTGATAAAATTAATGCAATTCTTAGTAATATATTTTTAGGCTATAAAGCAGTGGTCCCCAACCTGTCGTTTGCAAGCACCATGGCACCCGCGAAACCATATTATGGAGTCCGCGAAGGTTTATTTGAAAATTGTGAATTATTTGGGATTCTTTGTAAGCGTTAAATTTATGAAAATATGTAATAACTTGGTACAAATTTACAGTTTGAGAAAGAGAGAGAGAGAAATTGCGTGTTTGTCCTGAGTCTATCGTGTACAGCCTTCTCACTGGGGTAAATACACACGTCCTGTCCAGAGTAAATGTAAAAAGTTTGTTAGTTCGTGTAAAACTGCAAATAACTGTACAGTATATATGAGATTTTATTTTCTTGAATGTAGATCCAAAGTTTTGGCGCCCTCCACTTTATTTACAATGATAAATGTGGCCCAGAGTCTACAAAAGGTTGGGGACCACTGCTACAAAGACTAACCATACAAAATGTTGCTATACTGTATGCAGTGAAGCCACAAATCCAATGTTTTCTTTTGCAGTAGCCAGAGTAAAGTATCACATAGTGGTCTTTTGGAAAATAAAAGAACACAGATTCAAAATGGCAAGCCAGCACCTTATTTTTTCATATGAACTCTCACATAATAAAAAAAAAGCCTGAATTACAAATATGTTTCCTTCATATCAGGGAGCTAGTTATTAGGTATATTTGTGTGAAATCAGTTTAGGTTTGATTTAATACATAGGCTCTTCAGGTCATATTGGTGGTGATGTATTGTTTACAGTACTGTATACAGTACGGGCACATAAAAACTTAATTAAAGTTGTTGGGGTAAATTAGACCCAAGTACTGTACTGTACTACTCTCCTGTGATATACCAAAACAAATACACTACCAAAGCATGAAGCATACCTATAACTTCATAAGAGAATAAATACAGTAAAAATAATTTGTACAGGTGTAACTGAAGGAGGGTTGTGATAAATAGGAAAATACGAGTACCTGGTTAATATATTTTGGGAAGTTTATATGTTAAATGTAATATGTACTGTGCAATGAAGAAGAAAAAAAGAAGTCTATGCAGATCTCTTATAGTCTGTCTATATTGTTGTAAATAGGTATTAATTTTTGTACAGTGTCTTGTTGCCTAAAGATAATTTGTGTAAATATATGAGTATCCAGTAATGTACTATGTGAATATAATACACTGGCTTATGTAATACAAATTGCAGCATTTGTAAGGTGCTTCTCAACGCATACCAGATTATTATGGCTTTTCGATCACAGAGAATTGTTTGCTTTAATAGTAGAACTCTGTATAATATATTTTGGAAGAGATCTCAATTTTATTCTGTACAGTAAACCCTCGATAACTCAGAATTTCATGTAACTCGGCATGGATATGGTCTCGGAATGTATTATAGTACAGTATAACTCGGGAAATGCCGAGATATATAAAATTATATGGGAAAATCTTGGCATATCTGGCCACCTGCATCACCTACCATGCCTCTTTGTCACCTACCATACATCTGTCGCCTAACATACCTCTGTGTCACCTACTCTGATGCTTCATTCTTCGCCTGCAGTGCTGGTAAGTGTTAATTTTTTTTACATTCAGTAATTACATGTACAATGAAAGACTAAAGTCGTGTCGTGAAATTTGGTGAAAACATATGCCGAAGGGCTAAACTTTTGGTGCGCTCTGCCTTGTGGTAGGGGGCTCTCATAATGTTTCACAAGTTATATTTAATCTTCAGACAGAACCGCGACGCGACTTTTGTCTTTGATTGTATGCATATATGGGTCAATAATTTATTTTATTTTTATTTTTGTAGGAGGGTGGGAGAGTGTCTCGATTAGTCGGAATTTGGGATAACTTGGCAAGACCAGAGTCTCATATGTGCCGAGTTATTGAGGGTATACTGTATACAGGTGCTCCTCTACTTACGAACGAGTTACGTTCCTGAGGCTTGTTTGTAAGTCCAACTTTACTCCTGTAGATACCAAACATATTGTAAAAAATGAAAAGATTATGGATATTTAGTACAGCTATACCCTTTAATACAGCCTTAAAACCTGGCTCACTCTTCTCCTCTTAGGTAATGTTTGTTCTATATGAAATTTTCTTCAAAATAATCCAGTCTCATCCACATTAAACACCTGTTCTAGCAGGTAACCCCCCGCAGTGATGATGATTGTATCTCTGAAAGTTTGTAAGTTGAACATTCTTAAGTAGAGGAGCACCTGTATACTAATATAAGACAGGTAATTGTATGAATCTTCAGTGTTTACAGATGTATATATCAAGTTAACTATGTTGGTACATATTGAAGAAATTTATTCATTGCACTGTTAACATATATACGTACAGTACAATGTACTGTACTTACGGTACTTATTATCATATGTATACACTATATGTTCTTATTATGAAATTGAATAAATAAAATACATACACATACTGTACTGTACACCATACAGTACAGTATACAGTCATCCCAAATAGAGCGAGTCCTTTTGTTCATTGTTTTGTTAATTAGTCATTTGAAATACTGCTGTATAGGTAATTAAATTAGCAATAATATAATAATAATTCAACTATGTGTACAGTTTGTCCAATTGTACGATATATCTGTGTCCAGCATACCATTCAGTGGTTCTGCCCAGTATAAAATAATTCTTTGTGGCAATATCGGATTCGTTAAGTGGTCGTTAAATTTTACTGACAAATAAAAATTTTCTAGTTATAGTTACAACGTACTGTATTTTGTATTACAATTATTTATAATATATTTACAAATATCCTCACTTAAAAACGTAAGAGAATTGTCACAAAACATTTAAACATAAACCCTGGCTATTTCTTTGTTATGTCACACCTCCAACACGAGAGGACACGACTACAAGTTCACTAAGTTATCATACAGAACAATACTATAAGTAGGCACTATCTTGCATCAGTGAGCGGGTGTATCAGTGCTAACTAAACCATTAATGTCTAATTATTTTGTAACCATATACAGGTATGTTATACATTCGTATTATTGTACTGTATTACTAATTACACGTACACTGGAAACTAAATCAACAATGTTTTATACGATTATAATAAAAATACTGTAACAACTGTGCCTTTTACCTCTTTATCACCTCTGTGCATTTGCTGTCAAGTTTACATTATACACGCTCTGTTCTTCTGGCTCTTTGTGTCATGGCAGAGTACCCTGAGGTTAGGTAGCTTAGGTTAGATACATTTGAATACAGAGATAAGAAAATGCTCCTTCAACTGTACACATCTGAAGTACGTCCCAGTCTGGATTATGTACTGTATACAGGCATCTATAGAAGATGGCGTGATTCCTGGAACACTGGTCTTATCTTTCCTGCTTATCTTACTGAGGAAACACAACATCCCTCATTTAACACCTCCCTCCCCTGTCCTTAACACCTCCCTCTCCCTTTCCCTATCCTTTATACCTCCCTCTCCCCTCCCCCTCCACCACCCCATCTCTAACACCAACCCCCCACCCCCCTTTCTTATACCTCCCCACCCTCTAACACCCCCCCCCATCCCCAATACTTCTCTCCCCCTTAACACCTCCTGCTATCGGAAATGCTTTAGCCTGTGGTTTCTGATCTGCTCATAAACTTCTTCAAGGAGATAGTGAGTAGTATTTGATAGCACAGTACGTGTGGTAGTGTGTGGTAGATCTGCAGTGGTAGTATTTGATAGTACAGTATGTGTGGTAGATCTGCAGTAGTATTTGATAGCACAGTACGTGTGGTAGTGTGTGGTAGATCTGCAGTAGTAGTATTTGATAGTACTTGTGGTAGTGTGTGGTAGGTCTGCAGCAGTAGTATTTGATAGCACAGTACGTGTGGTAGTGTGTGTGGTAGATGTGCAGTAGTATTTGATAGCACAGTAGTGTGGTAAATCTGCAGTAGTATATGGTAGTTATTTAATCATTTGTAATAGTACTGTAATAGGGTAAATCATTGTCTTCCTTGTTAGAGCACCTGTCTTGTGGTAACTAAAAATATCGCTTAAAGGTCAACTCCAATCCTATCATTTTCTTTTTTACTGAGTTATTGTTGGTATTTTCCATTTTATTTTTTGCATCCAGTATTTTAACATACAACCCGTTTAACAAAAGAAGTAATGGAATAATTGTGTAGCACTTTACCCGAAACATACCGTCATTGTAGGCGCTCATCAACAAGTAACAATACAGTAATTACTTGGCGTTTTATGATGAATTTGCTTCAATGCAGTTGCAGATCTTTGTTTCAATGGCTTCAAACGACGTAAATTATGTGGATTTTATGCAATACTTCATGACTTGAGTAAAAAGTATTGAATAGTTACTGTAAAAGTCATTTATTTTATACATGCACACCTTTGGAAGTTGAAGGAGAACACACGTGGCCACGACCCCACACACCCGGCCACACCCCACACACCCGACCACGACTCCACACACCCGGCCACGACCCACACACCCGGCCACCCCACACCCGGCCACGACCCCACACCACACCCGGCCACCACTCCCCACACCCAGCCACACCCCACACACCCAGCCACGACCCCACACACAGCCACGACCCCACACCTGGCCACTACCCCACACCCAGCCACGTCCCACACACCTGGCCACGACCCCACACATCCTGCCACGTCCCCACACCTGGCCACTACCCCACACACCCGGCCACGACCCACACCCGGCCACGACCCCACACACCCAGCCACGACCCCACACACCCAGCCACGACCCCACACACCCAGCCACGACCCCACACACATCTAGACAACAGTTCCTAACCTAATCTAACTATGGTGATTGCAGAGCCAGATATTTCTTCAACTTCAATTATGATTTATTTACATTATCTAAGTTAACTGTTCTTGATTTATGCTATTTAATATACGAGTTAAGTGAGGGACATGGGACAGTACACGGCCATCTCCTAGGACACCTACACCTTCCCTACCTCCCTCTCTCCCCATCCCATCTCCTCCCTCCCTCCCCCGTCCTTAACACCTTCCTCTCTTCTTCTCCCCCATCCATTCCCTCCTCCCCGTCAATAACACCTCCCTCTTACCCTTCCCCATCACCTCCCTCCCTCCCTTCCCCCCATCACCTCCCTCCCTTCCCCCTTCCCCCTACCCATCCGGCCCGCCCCTAATGGAAGAATAGGAGAGAGTGAACGACCATTGACAAGAGGAGCCTTTTAGCGTCACTTACAAAAGCACTGCTACTCTTCAGCTGTGTTGTAACTCGTCAGATGTTTGCTGTTATCAGGTGCGTCACTTCAGCGTTAATGATAATTGCACCTACCTCAACTGTCACCTCTACAGTCACCTACCTCTACACTCATCTACCTCAACAGTCACCTACCTCTACACTCACCTACCTCTACACTCACCTACCTCAACAGTCACCTACCTCAACAGTCACCTACCTGAATACGTCACATACTCACTTAACCAATTTGTATTTTCCAATTAAATTTTGTTTTATGTAATGGAAATATCTGTCATCATATCGCACTTGAGACGTGTGTGTGTGTGTGTGTGTGTGTGTGCGTGCGTGCGTATTGTGTGGTGTGTGTGTGTGCGTGTGAGGACATAATAATATGTAGATGTATAAAGTAGGGTCTCGGCTTGCATACTCACTCCATCCTGTACACACACATACACACATACACACACACACACACATTCCCTGATAGAGTGGCGCGTCATGAAGAGATAAACCAGACACACACGTCCACCATACTCGTCCACCACACATCCTCCACACACGTCCACCACACATCCTCCACACTCGTCCACCACACACGTCCACCACACTCGTCCACCACACACGTCCACCTGATAATTAAAAACCCTAACGCTACCTGGGGAGTTTAGCATTAGTGTTTAAAATCATCACATGAAATAAGCTGGGTTGTCTAATCTTCAGGTGTGTATGTATGTTTGTGTGTGTGTGTGTGTGTGTGTGTGTGTGTGTATTGGGGCGATCGAAGGCAGCGGGTGGCCAGGGTATAAACAATCCAGTAGGCAGCAGTTGACGTCGACCTTCACTGCACACAACACGGCCTCACCCCCACCGTTTCCACCTTTTAATTTTTTAAACACCTTACGCTTATATTCCTCTGCCACGGCTCAAAATCTTTAAAAAGTCCATTATTAGTTTTTTTTATTATACAATCTGTTAATTCACTGAAGCGGCTGCAGCATTCCATAGGTTATTTACTTTCGTGTTAGGAGAGTCATATATACCTACTTTTTACTTTTATTTATATACTTAATGTCTCCTCGTGTTGGTGGTGCGTAAAATTACGAAAAATTGGCCTGGATTCATATTTTACATCCATATCAAGAGTTGTTTGTAATGCATCTGTGAGATCTGTCTTATTGTGTGACTTGTTTGAACGGTTGTTAGTCCCAAGGCCGTCAACCTACTTAGATAATCGAGATGATAAAGTTCAGGAATCATCTTAGTCGCTGTGTTGCACTTTTTCTGAGGATAAATCTTTCTGGAGGTTGGGTTTCCATGCCTGTATACAGTAATACAGGCTGGAACGTAAAGTCGAAGGAGTATTTTCTTATGTTTGTATACGGTTAATAATTCCTAAATCTCGGTTTGCTTTTCTTACTGCTGTTTCCATTTGTTGCGCCGCCTTCAGTGACTGACCGATCATAATGCCTAAATCTTGTTCCTTTAATTAATATCGTTAATGTACTGTAGATCCAAACCGGGTGGGTCCAAGGATAGGTCCTTGTGGTGCTCTACTGAGATATCCTACAGTATACATACATGCGGTACATAACTAAGGCGCATGAATTAAAACTGCATGGAAAATGAGAAAACTATACTCACAATTGTATTTAAGTAATATTTTCTAAGCATCCAAATTAAGACCTTCTTCCGGAAGACGGTGGAAGACTTTGAATCCGTACATGCATGCTTTACTTGCGTTATTATCTATCAACCTGCAACCTGTGTTTTATCAACATTTATCAAAAGAAAGTCATTATGGATTTACGTTATGTTGATAAAATATTGACGTAATATTTACCTTTCGTGGGGTGGCTCTCATCTCGTGTACAGTAGTAGCAGTAAGACCCGCCAACAGTGCACAACAAAGCCGATATTTGATGACCTCGTAGAATTCAGCTAGTCCCACACGTGATCACATGTGCCAACACCTGCCAAATCTCAACACCTTCCATTGAGACCTACTAAAACTTACCACACTATAAAACGTACAAATGACTACCAAGGCTTTCCACTGACCACATACCATGAGGTCCTATGTATGGGTTCTAAATACCTCATACCAAGTTCCCCACATTACATAAGGGTTCTACATACCACATACCAGGGTCGGTGTGGTTTGATTGCGCATGAATCAATAAAGATGGTGTTGTAATGGTCTCGGTGACCAAGGGAGTGTGACGGAGCCTGTCATGTTAGGTTATGATACGCGTGCTGTCTCCCTGCCTGCCTCACTACCTCCCTCCCTGAATTCATTACGTCCCTCCCTGCCGCACTATCTCCCTCCCTGTCTCACTATCTCCCTCCCTGTCTCACTATCTCCCTCCCTGTCTCATTACCCTCCACCCTGCCTCATTACTTCCCTCTGCCTCATTACCTCCCTCGCTGTCTCACTACCTCCCTCCCTGTCTCAGTACCTCCCTACCTGCCTCACAAGTCACAACCTCCCTCGCTGCCTCCCTACTTGTCTCACAACCTCCCTCCCTGCCGCACTATCTCCCTCCCTACCCTTCACCCCTTACCCTCCTCTCCTCACCTCCCTCCTCTCGCTTGCTTTAAATTAACTGTCATTGAATTCCACGTTCAGCATTGTGAAAGGTACAATTTTCAGCAACGTACTGAAGGCGTGTTGGTGATTCTATTTACTGACTCAGCATCTCAATCAATTCACTTTGTTATTCGGACTTATTCCACTTTCTACTCGGGGTTTTAAGTGTGTCGTTTATAGTGTTAATGGTAGTATTTAAAAGGTTCAATAGTTTTTTAACGGACACTCACTAGAATGTCTCACAGCATCTCAAGGTTGACGACTGCAGTACCAACCTGTAGCAGCAGAATGGGGAGCCGCAGGGTGTACGTGACGGACTAAAGAGTGATGCTACTAAAGCCGAGTCGCTATAAGGTATATATATTCATAAGTAGTAATTATTGTTTTATTGTACATGTGATTTATTATAGATGTTGCAAGAAAATTACGATTATAGCAAAAAAAAAAATTAATGACGTAAAACAGATAAGATTATTATACTCAGCAATAATAAGTTGTTTATATCTTGAACGCCGATTAGAAACAACAGTCCTTAACATAATTAAAAAATTTAAGTAGCATTAAGGTTTGATGATACAGAAGGCACAGTAAATAACATGCCTGTAGTCATAGCTAAAATACAAAACGGATATCCGCCCGAGATAATATTAACAAGGGACTACAACGTGGAAAGGTTAATATACTATGAAACTGAATTATCGATAGCGTTCCTCTTTGGTATTGTGATGGCGTTCTTCAGTGATACCTTGAAGGTGTTTCTCAGTAGTACCATGAAGGTGTTTCTCAGTGGACCCCCAAACGTGACATACCACTCCTCGGGGGAATCCCCTTGAAGTCGTTAGGTCAATACAGACACTCCAGCACTGATGGAGGCAGGAGTCAAGATGGGAGAGAGAGAGAGAGGGGGGGCAGGGTGAGAGAGAGAGTTCTGGTGCAAGGAATATACGGAGAAAGAAAAATGGGAAAATTAGAACAAAAAACAATGGAAAAGAGACTGGAGTTTGGTGGAAAATAGAGAAGGAATGATGAGCAAGTAAGCGAGAGGTTCAGTATGTGTTTGTTTACCTAAGAGCGGTTCACATGTTGTTTCTTAATATGTGTGGTCTAAGCCTTACTTCTAGGGATAATATGAATGTAAAACAAAATCAATATTTATCATACACTGAAGACTTTTTTTCGGCATTCAATAGTGATTTTATATTGGAATTTTTTAAAGAAATATCTAAAGCCATCTTGCCATACTCAGGTATTAAGATCGGTAAACTGTTACTTCTAAGAAAGCCTGTTTGCTAATGTGCGTTTTCTGTTTTATAGCAAAGTGAATATGATAATTATTGACTTTGGCCGATCTGAAGCACTAAGTTAGGATCAGTGTAATAAAGCACGTACCGGATGATTCAAGGTGATTGTAGATAGGCTGCTATAGCTTGAGGGTCTACACGGATATCTGTAGTATCTTGTAGACCGCACGCTATAGTAGCACCGATTTTATTTGGTTCTAACAAACTACGCCCATTCTTCGTACACTGTTAGTAATAAATTTGGCCTCAACTCTCTCTCCTATTGCTCCGAGTTATAGGAAGTTCTGGAGAGTTAGGTGAAGTGTCGACATCCTCTCTGGCGTCTTGGGTCATCAATATTTTTCTTCTTGGCTTTTTTTTTGTCCTGTTTCTTGTTTGTCTTTCATAACTCAGGTTCTTGAAGCGAGAACTCTCCCCATCGTTCACCGGCTACAGTATATTCAATCATTTAATTATATAGATAAATATTAATATGTATAGGAGAGCGGACTTACGTGCACCAGCTCTCAGGCCCTATAGACAGGTACAAGTGATCGCGGGCACGTTCATGCCCTTGTGAGAGTTTAAACGCTCGAGACAGCGTACAGCGAATGAGGGTGTGCCAAGTCCGGAGACTTGTATGGTTAATTAGGGTGCGCCAAGTCCGTAGACTTGCATCGTTTTCCATCGTAAATATAATTGTTAATTAATGCCTTCCTAAAGAAACCATCGACATGGGACCAGGTTTGTTCCACTCTACGAATTTTTTGCGATTTTTTCACCAAGTTTGATGAAAAACGATTGTGCAGTTTCGGCTGCCCAGAGCGCACACACACACACACACACACACACACGCCTAGCGCTATAGTATATTAGATTGCGGGCTGTAAACACCATGTGTGCCAGGTGATGGGAAGAGGGGAAGAGACAGGATACAGGATACTACTCCTCTAATTGTGCTCTAACTATCAATGAATGGGCAGTGTGGGCTTTATTACAGCATTACACAACTTATCTCATGGTCCTTGTCATAGGTGAGTGAGAGCCACAGAAGGTCGAAGTACCTGTACCTGGACCAAGAGGAGTAGAGAGTGTGTGGATGCAGCGTATTCCGGGAAGCTTCCAAAGAGAGGGCGTCGTCAGGCAAAGATCAGCTGAGGCAGAACACACACACCACGGTTTACGCTTGTCTGTAGTCTAGTCAGTGCTGTGTGGTCTATAGGAGAACATAATGTCTAAACAGAATAATTAATCTTCAAGGTCTTTTATCAGGAATACCGTTCTTTAGCGCTGTTGTCGTCGAGGCCTAAGACCAAAACCAACAAATACATATTTTTCTATTTGTCAGGTATTTTAACTTTTCTTAATGAAGCAGTGGCAACATTTACGCTCCTTTCTGCTCGTGACCTTATTCATATGGCAGGACACGTCATTTGCATGTGCAGCTGGGTGATAGTGCATTAAAGTTACCCTAACCAAACATAATCACTCCAGTAGTACCAATATTTATTTATCCAAGTGAAATTTTTCAGTTTAACAACTCATATTCCCCTGATTATTTTGTAGATATAATTAAAGTTGGCAATTCTGCATCAAACTATTTGTGACCGAATGGAGTAGATCATTGACATAAGGAACGGAGGTCACACAGCTATCATTCATTAAAGCTGAGTTCTGCTTCAAGTTTTGTAGTGTATGTTCCCTTTCTTCCGATAATATAAATCTAATCTCTATCTGGGCATTTTCATACAGCTAATATTGATAATAATGGATCTTATATAATTATGTATTTGTACTATTGTGTACATATATTGCACATAAGGCATTATTCTCCAAATGGAAATGGGAAAATCCATTGAGTATTCAGTAAGCATTACGATTATATAATATAATGCCAATTTTTTTTACTATTATATTTTTTTTTTCATATTGTTCAACACTATGTATGTAAATATTGACATTATTATTAGTTTAGTGATGGTAAGATAAATGTTTAGCCTGGTGTCCGGTGGTAAACAGTCATTGGTAGTTCCCGGAGTGGCCACCAGTGTCGGGACTCACCAGCTTGAACCTTGAGTGTCGCCTCCTCGCCTTTGTACTTCTTATAACTCCTTCTTATTATCTTCCAGGTATGCAGATACATAATCAATAATTTCTGTAGTATATAATTTTCCCCCCCGCAACTGTAATGATAGTGTAACTTTATCCAGAAGTAAGGAAATGTGGCAGTGTTTGCTGAAGCCCCACCCATTAACGTCTAGGGAAAATCGTTGTGGCAGTCAGCTGATAACGGAGTGAGGCTTTTCATCTTATTTTTCTCAGGGACTCATCTCCTTCTGGTGAAATATCGTTATGTTCATGTATAAGAGGAATTCCTTCTTTTCTATCATATATCTGTGCCTTTATTTCCCGGTGTTTGATGAGGTGAAGGTGGGTGGATGTAGGTAGTTGGGAACGAGTCCCCCTAGAGTGCCGTGAGTCGCTGATAACAGAGATTGAAATCGCAGTATAATTTAGCGTTGTGTTCATCAAGGAATGTCTTAAAGGTAATGTGGGTTAATGTGCTGGTAGTTAATGTCTGCTTCCCTTCACTCTCAGGCTGTGGGTACAGATCCTGCTATCACTAACCTTTACTGAGAGGCAAGAAGGCACTGTCTGTGGGCAGTATACACAGCTCTGGCACATGTGAACTAATTCAGCTATTAAACCTTTCATAGGAAGTGTCAGTCTTGTTAGGAACCTTTTATATAGGCATTTATTATAGCAGACGTAAGGCACCTGTCCTAACCTGGCCGTGTTTTACTTTCAAGCTTTATCAGTACAGAATGCAGCATGGCATAATTTTAGCTCAAAATGCATCATACTCATCATCCACAGTATCTGAAGGACCAGATCTTACATTTTTCTGTGCTTAAAAATGGGCTCCATAGGTATGACTTTGGCAGTGTGGCCAGTACTTCACTTGCCCACCATCACTTCCCCAGCATGTAAAGTTAGGTAGCTATTTACAGCTGGGTGGATTGGGAGTGCTCCAGGATTGAACAAGCAACCCTTATAATAGGTGATGGGATACAGGACTCAGATTTTGGGGAGAAAATTTTCCACTATAAAAATACTTAGTTACCTTAGCTCTAATTAGTAAAAAGCTCTTGATTACATGACATGTAATCAGGACAGGGTTCGGGTTAGCTTGTTTTATATTAATGATAATTCTGTATTTTTTTTAGGATGTGTATACTGTTCGAGGGGGTGATAGTGCTTGAGTTTAAAGCCAGTAGTTAAACTAATTACAGCATTTAATATTGCAGATTTAACACAAAATGGCTGAGGATGATAATATAGAGATTGAGCCTGTGGCGGAAGAAGAAGAACAATCAACAAACTACAAACCCCCACCAGAGAAAACTCTGGAGGAGATGATCAGCAAGGATGCTGACGATGAAAGTCTCCGCAAGTACAAGGAGACGCTTCTGGGGAGTTCTGTTGCTGGGGCCTTAGTTCTTGGTGGGTGTGCCATTGGATTTTTCACTTATTTTCTCCCCCACGTAAATAGACATAGGATGCAGAGAATAAACAATACAGAAAGAAATAAGATAAGGAATTAAAAAGGTGTGGGGGCATATAGTAGATCAAGGCCTAGGTGTGTGATGTGGATATATATTGAGAGAATGTGAAGTATATGATTGTGAAACAATGTCTAGGTCAGAGGTGGATGGAACTTGACATAAATATCCACAGGACGTAAACTAACACATTGGTAAAATTGGGGTTAATTTTACTTTGCTGAATTTTACTAATTAAGCTTGAAGATGTGTCTGTTTAATGTAAATAGTACCAGTGATCAGTGATCAGTGACCAGTGAGTGATGCTTTTACAGAACCAGATAATCCAAATCGTGTGATGGTGAGGAAACTAGTATTGCTAGCAGATGGTCGACCTGACATGGAGTTGGACCTTACCGGTGACCTTGATAAACTCAAGGAGTCCTGCTTTACCATAAAGGTCAGTCACTACATTAGTACAGTACAGTACAGTACATACAAGTATAAAATGGAGTAAACTGCTTCAGTATTTTGCCCACTTCACTGTGCAGTCAAACTACTGACTGTTTTATGCCTGTTTTAGCATGAGATATGATAATTTAAAAAGAGAGAGAGAAGTTGAAATATGTAAGAATATTGTGAGAACAGGAAGTAAGGGTGTTGAAAAAAGAGGTTATAATATGTAATGATTACTTTTATTTTGTTGCATATATATTTACGGTAATAATTTTTTCAGGAGGGTATAAGCTACAAGATTCGTATCGACTTCCACGTGCAGCGTGAGATTGTGACCGGTATGAAGTATGTCCAACGAACTTTTAGGAAGGGTATTCTTGGTGAGTATTTTTCCTTTTATTTCCTTAAAGTTTGGCATAATAAGTTTGAATGCTTTATTTGAGGTAAAGGCAGTGTGCAATAGATGTAACATTTTAGTATAACACTAAGGCCAGACTGGTATAAAAAACTAATGGAATGAATGAGGAAATTGGATTGAGGTTATCCATGTAGTTAGTTGGAAAGGAATTACACCCAGGAAAAATTATTTAATGAACAGATGTGATCATAAACTGATAAAGAATGTGACACTGAGAGAAAAGTCTTTGGTTATCTAGAAAGATGTATGTGTGTGGTCGTGTGTGTGGTCATGTGTGTGTGTGTGTGCAACAATGAGTGAACTTTTTTAAATGTGTCTTATATATCAAGGAACAATATATGTTAATGAAGAAACAGTGAGGACAGAACACATGTTGAAAAATGAAACGGGCGTACAGTAAACCCTCTTGATAATGGATGACTTTTTTCCCCGATATTTGAGAAACTTGTTTAGACTCGGCCATGAAGTGTCAGACAACACATTGGGCTTATGTAAATTTTTAAGTGTCATTTAACACATTAATATCTCCTGTAAACACTTAGTATACAGTACAGTATATTATAAGTTATCAGTACAATTCTATAATATTTTATAAATCTGCAGTATATGAAAGAGGGTTTGTGTGTCTTTGACAGTTAATGCAGTACGGTACGTCTACATATACTGTGCAGTACGTTACATTAACGCAATAAATAAAAACCCTTGTAAACACTGCTATTTTCCTTAATTGAAATAGTTAGGACATGTGACAAAATAATTATGTGGTGACTAGATGCCAGTTTAGTATTGATTGATTGATTTAATTGGGAATTTGTCAGGTGCCGTACAATTAATATGAACAACTATTGCAAGTAAACACATTATTATTATATTATTTATTATTATAATTAAAAAGTTACCAATATACTGTATAGTGTACAGTACAGTATGTGAATTGAAAATAGTGATTTATGAAGCAGATAATTTATAGTATTTCCTCTCAAAATACTAACCAATTGCTGTTATTACATCATCCAGTGAGTGGGCGTTGATGCAAACATGTTGATCACGCTTTCAACATGCACGGATAGTCTACCGAACGACCAAATTTTCCTTATTTATTCTAAGTTGTGTATTACTCTATTATCTTTATTCACATCTGTTAATTAACTAGAGCTGAAGTGTTGAAAGTGGAAGGATGAAAAAGTGGAGGTTAGAGTCAGCTGTCGTATTCTTATGATGTTTCCTTAGTAATTTTCTTTATTTTTTGTAACTTGGCCAGGTGTCTAAATATTCCATATAGATTCTCAAATTGTTACATAGTTATCAAAGGAAGCAGAGGTGAAATATGAGTTACTTGTGGTGGGAGGGGGGGGGGGATGTGTCTCTGATGGTGATGTTAGACTATATAAAGTGGCAGGGAAACAAGATTTGCAGTCTCATTGGGTAAAACATCTACAGCATGAATGACAACAGGTGAATTGAGAATTTGTCAATATATTTATTTATTTTTTATTCTGGTCCTCCTGTTCACATTGTGTTTGGTCTTGGCCCATTATATACAGTATACAGAATTACTAATCTACAGCATTATCAAGCAAATATCTCCCCTGGACTTTCTCTTTACACACCACACCATTTATGATAATCATCTTTAATGTGACCCCTTTTCCAAACCTTTGTCGTGTGTATGTGATTCATTTTTCTAACATTTTTATATTGCCTTCCTGAAATACACCTCTCACTTTGGTTCTCCGAGTATGATTTGTTATATTTACATTGCCTAGATTTGAGGACTGTTCTGACATGAATTCCCTAATCTCAAGTCCCTCTCATTTTTTTTTATGATTTTTTTTTTTTTTTTTATCAACATTTTGCAAATATAAAGGATATAGTCTTTATAGCCCAATCCAATGACATATCTTTGGTGACTTTTAATAAGTTACATTAAGTTTTTAGCTGTTGCTGAAGCCATGGTTGTCAGTGTGTTTGGCAAGCTGTCAACCACCTAGTTACAGCTGTATCTACTATTCACTCCTCAGGTTGGATACTATAATGGACACAGGCAGCAACATAGTGTCTACTAGTACTACAGTACATGTAGTTTGATACTGTGATAAACCCTAATTATGAAATAAAAACAATATAAATAGGGAGAAGGGAGTGAAGGCAGGTTACTTCAACACTGGCTTACTAGTGAAAAAGGCCACAACAGTGATATATCCATGACACCTGCTGAACTACCTCAGCGATGATCCCCATTGACAGGCGAGTTTATTGTCATGTGAATGACGCCCCAAGAGCAAGTTTTTCCTCATCAGAAATGTGTCCACAACAGTTAATTACCAAACTCATTCTGAATGATAAATATCAATCTGTTTTTAGTGTATTTTACATGTAATGCATCAACACCCCTTCCAGATGTGTGTCAATATATAATTTATAGGTAACCCTAAATTTTGGTGCTTGACAAAAAAGTTTCGAGAAGCACGTGATTGTTCATTAGTAACTTTACCCTAAACCCTAATCAGAAGATCCTCAAAGCATGTGTATAACATGACTCATATAATCCAATTCATAAACCAAGTATAAATTTATACTAACAAAATTTTATATTAAATATTTGATAACTTCATTGACTATGAATTAGTCAGTGCCTTAACATCTCACACTAAGCTGGCTGGTATACCAATAAGCATTCTGTATATTTCTCTGCTGAAGAATGAGGGATACAGTCTCTATACTGTATATCAGCTCTGGTGTGTCCTCCCTCACTCTTTTTCTTGTGCAAAAAGCATTCATTTGATGCCAATCCAATATTTATTTGAACTCGGGGTCAGTCTTATTTCCAGGCCTGCATTCCTGTTTAGTTATTTGGCATTGTTTATGCTTTATTTTGGTGTTGCTGCAGATGGAATTTTTCTCTGTTGATAGTGTGAATGATTGGGTAACTCTCATAACAACCACAAAAAAAAACTCACTTGCTAGGATTTTTTTTAAATCATTTTTATTTTCCTAAAATATGATACTTTTTTCATATATATACAGCTAGTGAAGAAATACACTTATAAAATAACGAATAAAACGCATAAATCTGGAGGGAGATACATATACCTGTATACAGTAATATCACCGTTAGCCGGAATCCCTCAAATCCAGAACTCTCCGATAGCCAGAATTGAAATTTTCCGAGGGGCACATTTTCCAGAAAATGGCGAGAAAATTTTTGTAATACCCGGAAAATTCCGTGGATGAGGGATATTTATCTGGGTTCGAGAGAGTCGTCTTGTTACCCGGAAATCTCTCATTCCCGGAAGTGCTCTGACCCAATTGTTCCGGGCAACGGGGATGTTACTGTGCATATAAAAGTGATATTTCTGTAGCAGGAATAATTGGTGCAGAGCTCTTGGATGAGCGATTTCCGGGTAACAAGTTGACTCCCTCAAACCCGGAAAAATTCCACATTCCCAGAATTTGATTTTCCAGATATTGCACATTACTATTGTATCCTTGAAATTTGTTCCCGGACCAGGAACAAAAAAATTGGAAAGATTTTCCAGAATTATAAATTACAGCAGGTCCCCGACTTACAAACGCCTGCTGATACAAGGGAAGTTAAACTTAAAATTAACGGTATTTTATCTACCAGATGACTTATTTTCAATTTAATTTACAGTATTTTATCATTCCATTTCTTCTTTTGTCTTAAATTAAGTGATTTTAGATGTACTGTATATAAGGACTTAGACTATGTAAGATTTTAAACATTATTTTGTAAGTGCATAACCCGTTCGTAACCCGGGGACCCCCTATACTGTATTTCATCATTTGAATTTGTTTCCAGATCTGAAAAAAAATTGGAGAGTTTTCCAGAATTCTTCTCATTATTTTCCAGAAAATACGCTTGATTTTCAACCTCTGAATTTGCTCCCAGACTCGGAAAAAAAATTTTTTGTTGAGATTCTTTCTGAATTTTCTTGAAATGTGCCTGAGTTTTAACCTCGGGAACTTTTTCGCAGACCTGAGATAGAGAGCTTTTCCCTGAAAAAATTTGAGCCAATAATATCCTCATATTGATTGGTGAGTGATAAATGTTTGCTTTTGCAGGCCATGCACATTTTAAACCCCTTATAATCAGCCTCACCCAATCAAATTCCAATATATTGTAAGAGAGCACTGTGAGGGCTGTGTCAGGCACAATTGCATATAACCATGACTGCCTGATGCAGTAAACTATCCCAGAACTATAGTGGCACACTGGAGTAATGCCGGTAAATGGTTATTCACCTTTTTATGTGTGTGTGTGTTTATTTTAGGTAAATAATGGTCTTCTATATTAAGTAATGAAATTAGCCAGCTGCAGCCCACCTACAGTATCTTAACCACCTTGACCACCACTGTCTCACAAATCTTTAAAAGATGAATTTGTCTGTTGTTACTGTAAATTGTGTTATTTTGTAGTGAATTTCTTAAAAAGTATTTCTTTTTGTTTGACAATGTCTGTTTTAACTTAAACTTGTGATTGTGGAAAATTTTTGAGTAGTACAGTACAGGGCGACCTGTGGTGTAATGGTCAGCATGCTCGCCTAGCAAACGAGCGGACCCGGGTTCAATCCCCGAGCAGGATGAAACTGTGGGTAAGTTTCTTTACGCCTTTTGCCTCTGTCTACCCAGCATTAATTGGGAACCTGGATGTTAATCAATTTGCAGATCATATTACTGGCTAATGGTTAGCCAGTGCAGTTGGCGAGTTGTCCGGTCTTCTCGGATTATTCCTTGACATTGGGTTATGCAGCTCTTTAACTTAGGATGTGGCTGTTGTGTTGGCGACAGCTTCTACACCTTAAAACAAATTCACGCCTAGGTGGCCCTTGGGCCGGCCATCCTCGTTACACGAGAGGCAACCATTAGTTTCATAAAGTAGTTGTGGGTAAGGGGGTCACACATATTCAAGGCTCCATGCCTATCTGGGTTAAATACCACACCAGCACCACTAACTACTCTATCCAAAAGTATTTACGAGCTGAGACTACTCTCTTGAAATGTAAATTATTTATAGCCTTCATAGGTAATTTTCATGAGCACAAGTTGGTGAGGTAAACTCCAAGCTCATAAATACATCTTAATCCAGATTTACAAGTGCACCCCAGTGTGTTTACCTTTTTATGCTGGTGTGTGTTGTGTTTACTTTGGGTTGACTGACAGATTCTTCATATGTGTTTTATGATAGATATATTTAATTAATACAGATTTTGATCGGGAAAATCTTGAGGAACCATTGTTTATTGTATGATTTGTCTTATATGAATGTAACTGTTTTGAACAAGAGGTTTACAGACTGGACAACCTTATAAACTTACTCAACAGCTTAATTGTAAACCCTGGATGCTTGCTGGGTAATTCTATCTCATGTGGATTGGTTAAGGTCACAATAAAAGACAGAGTGGTTGAGAGGCTGTTTACTCTGGGGTAACTGTCTTTTCATAGCAGTAAACAAAATCTGTGTCTGAGTGGGTTTTCATCTATACCAGCCCAGAGAGGGAGGGTGGGGGAAGTGGGTTATATGCTTTAAAACTTATTATTGATTTCATTATCCGTGGGTTAATCAAAGTCACAGTGGATTATATATATTTCCCAAGTAAACAGAGAATTTTGTGCTTTATTGTACAGTATTTGGATAATCAGTCTAAAGGTTTTCATTTCAATCTAACATTGTTCCATCATGTTAGTAATATTTGAGAAATGCTATACAACAAAAATTTTTGTTGACTTAAATTGGTTTTGGAAAATATTATGCTTCAAATTTAGCATGCACCTTTTATACCCTTAATGACTTCACATTTGTATGATTGTATCCATTGTAAAAAAAAATAACTTAAGTTTTTTTTGGGGGGAGGGTTGTAGTATCACATGTGAAACCTAACTTGTTTGTTGAAAAAAAAAGAAATCCTCAAGTTGACTGCATGTGTATATTGAAAAGCTGTGACACTTTTCTTCCATACATTGAAGTGAATATGTAAAAGAAATATTTATAAATAATCATTAAAAAATACTGTTATGTACTAGAAATGGTTTTAGGCACTCACTGACAGGTATAAACATTAGGGTGTTGTCAGTTTATACAGTGAAGGCCAGCAGAACCGTAAGTATTGTTGCTATGCCTCGTGAGTCATAGCTGTAAGATAAGCTGTTACATACGAGGGCTTAAAAGGAGAAAGTTTTGTTGTTTATGCTAAGTCCAAGGAACCAGGTAGAAAATGGCTTGATTTTCAAAATTCTGCTTTTTAAAAACTTTTAACATTTGATTCATTACCAGTATCACAAAATACTATAACACTAGTTATTCCTTGGAAACTGTACGTGGAAAGCTAGAGCACTACAGTACATTGTATTACCTTCTTTTACGATAGAAAGGTCAGAGTTCAAATATGACTTGTGACAAGCAATTTAAACTAATATAACAATATTTTAATTATTCCTGGACTAAATTAATAAAACAAGAAAAGTTGAACAATATTTACAATATACTGAAACACTGCAACAATCAGTGCTTTTTGCTTTTACTTGGCAAAAATAATATTTTACTCAATGTATACCGTCTTGTTTCATGATGAAAGTTAACAACATTGGACTGGTCCACTTTCTGCATTATCCACTATTGATCATTGTAGGGCCCTGTAATGAGAAAAACAAATTTCATCATTGCATTGTTGTTTTTATTAACAAGAAGAGTGGTTGGATGTAGCCCTTAAGGTGTACCCATTTGCATAATCTTGGAGGAAAATTTTTACAAGTGAAGAAAATTTATTGTGGTAAAAGGAAGAGGAATCCTTTTACCTTTATGTGAATTTGCAGCCTCCTGATTATTTTCTTGAATGATACATAAGTAATAGTGACTCCTTTCATACCTGTGTGTGTAGCATGCAGCTCCTGCTTGTCAATTACTTTTTTTTTCTGGGTTTATAAATATATAGAATTGGGGGTTGGATTTATGGTATGGTACTTTGTATTATATGTGGTAGTTTAACTTTGTAAGTCTGTCAAAAATATATCTAGTTTACATGTAAATATAAGTCTGTATCACAGCAGTGAAGAGAAGATTCAATGGGAGCAACATTACATAAAATGGATTGAGGGAATGGGATCTTCAGTACTTTGGTCAAAATTATGGATAATGATGTTCACTGAAACAGGTCTTGAGAAAGGAATATTGTAAGGGTTAACTTGCAAAATGCAAACGAAGGATGTCATATTAATACATACTGTATTTTACCATTTTGTAAATGATTGATATGTCAGAAAGGTCTTAAATGTATGTTTGCCTTAACAGTGGACAAGATGGCTCACATGGTTGGCTCTTATGCACCAAAGGAGGAAATTCAGTCATATACAACGCCCATGGAAGATGCCCCTTCAGGATTAATTGCTCGTGGACATTACACGGTGAAGTCCCTCTTCACAGACGATGATGGCAACGAACACCTCAAGTGGAAATGGGCCTTTAACATCAAGGAGAACTGGAACTGAAGGCTCGCCTAAATGGTGGGCGCTTAATATGTAGGGCATGTGAGAATGGAGCGTAGAGGACTGTATGTTCATAGAGACACAAATAATGGTGTTCAGTCAGAAAATTTAGGACATTATTGGCATTTTTCTTACAAAGGTTTGAGTGTTAGACAAAGTACAGAATACAAACACATCGGAGTTGATGCCTACCGTAGCTTCATAATTCAGTCATCCCTCTAAGGTGGTGTTTAAATTGCCTCTACTTTTAAATGATTGGCAATATTGATTCAGCAGAGTTTTGGTCAGAATGAAGTAGGTGTGGTAAATTATCTTTGAAGCATATCTGCATATGAACATGTATATGCTCAGGCATTCAGACAATAGAGAGTTAACTTGTAAGTTTTGTCAGTTTGCTTATACAGTAATTGTATTGTATAATTTGGTCATTGTAAGCAGTCTGGGCAGTTGAAGAGCCTGTTGACCTGCTTAATTTCTAGCAGTCAATGCTGAACCTTTACATTACTTTATGTACCTAATAGGTAGATTAAGTCCTGCATTAGAGTTAGAATTCAGCATCTTTAGTTTTGTTTGATGATTTTCCATTGATACAGCTCAGCCCCCTATGATGGTTTGCTGCCTATAACCTTATTGTGAGGCTGCCACACTGAAGGTGACTATCGGCGGACAAAGCGCACAACTTTTGCAACCATTTTTTAGAGCTGCTTCAGTTAGTGAAGACACTGTAGCAGTTAAACCACTTAGTGTTCCCAGCCTTTATGTTGTCGTGTTCAAATATTCAGTTTCTATTGTTTGTGAGCATAATTAGTTTAACAAATTTTGCACTGCTAAGTCTAATTATTTGACAAGGTTGTAATTAATTTTGTATTAGGAGTTGTTTACTTTAGAAGATATTCTCTAACATATGGTAATATGTGGCCTGCATACGTGTCTTTGTGCCCAGGTGCGTTGTAATCCAGGTGAGTATTTTTAACACAGATGTTCCTTTTAGTAATTTCTGGAAAGGAATACCTTTACATTTTCCCCATAAACATGATGTATTGATTTTTAGTACAGTACTGTTCCTCTCAATAGTGTATGATAACAGTGATCCCAAAATTTCTTACCTATCATGAATAAGCTGTGCCATTGATAGTCTATAAGGAATATATTTGAAATAAATCAGTGCACAAATAGCAAAGTATGATTAAATATGTGCAAAGCTAGTTGTATTGCTTAAGACAAGCATACATCTTCCATTGTATGATGTTAATAAAGTTTACCTAGTCGTAGCTGTGTGAAAGTGAACTGGAATTATTACTTTATACAGATACTCTTAAAAGTTTTGTTAACATCTGATGATGTCATCTCCCACTTAGGGGTAAGTTGTGTGTACAGTACTTAATGAGGTAGAGTCACAGTGGTTTACACAAATTACATTCTCTGTACCAATTGAGACAATCACTGTGAAACAAAATTATTAAAGTGGTCTTAAAAAGTTTTTATTTTTGAACATTTAGAGAAAGTATTTATAAAGTAAGACTTAAAGGATTTTCAATTTTGTTTTGTACCAAAATACTTTAACTCTAGTATGGTCTTATTACACAGCTTTGAAGGCCCTTTGTAATTTATACTGTTGAACTTGCTACAATGGAATCAGTAGGCTTAGGTGTCAGCATCCCATTCATTTCAAGTAAATAAAACTTTTTAATTCTTGGTCATCAACATATGTTTTTGCTTACAAGAATCACGGTGTACAAAACGTTATGGCTGGTCTAGACATGGTTTTCGTGACAGACTTAAAGCCTATCAATAATTCCTGATTCTGTGATAAAATTTTTGGTACGAACTTTCTTACTTGCTTTTCCACTTTTTTAACGGCAACCGCTTGGGTGAATGTTTAACCTGGTGATGTTATTAGTAGTGCCTTTAAGTTGTTTCTCTGTGTATTTAGATTGTCACACTTCTTGTGTCAATAAATTGTATCTTATTTATATTAACTTAAATTTATTTTGCCTATTTTAAAAGGATTTATCAATTCCTGCATTCTGAAATATGGCAACCTGGATAGTTGAGCAAGATCATTCTGTCCAATTGTACTCACCATAAAAGTTCACAAAGCTTTTTGGTATAAACACAAGATTATTTTCTAGGTAACTGCTGTGACTTTCATTATGTGTAAGATTTGAGATTTTATTATTCTATTTTACATAGAGCCCATAAGTGGGAGTGTAAAGTGTTGCCAGGTTAGTACAGTACTGCTTCACGAAATTGAATGGTGTAAAACACAGAGGTCTTCAACACCTCTCTTTAGTAGACTTAGGAAACAAGGATATTTAATCAGTTATGAATGCCATTGATTAATCCTGATAAAATTTAAGTATAATTGGGATTTTTGTTTTTCTTCAATTTGCAGGATATCAGGAGAATTGATGATTTGGAAAGTGAAATGTATTTTTTCTTGATTTTACAAAATTATCTGGGTTAGCAGAACAACAGTACGGTACAGTATAGACTAAGAATATTTCTTGTGAAGAATTGAAGTGACTCGACTCCCTTCCAGAAGCATGGCATCCGTTTCTCAGTTGGAGTTTTACAAAAAAATATATAAATTTCTCATTAACCAAGAAATGATAGTACTTTAATGTGAATTGTTGAAGTCCATAATTGACTTAAAACTATTGTTAATTGAAATCTTGTTGTTGACAAAATTATAATTACCTGAAACCCAGTTAAGCAAAACTTTGGATTATTTGTTTTGGGGGAAGTTATGTCTCAAATTTCATAAATCTGATATTTGAGTGTTTCTTTGAGTCCATGTTAAATGCCATTTGCTTTGTTTCACTGGGTCATAGAAAGTGGACATGAATTAGTCAAATGGATGATTAAAGAAACTTAAGGTGGTTGTCGGCAGCCATCATGATGGTTATTGCAAAAGAACCAGTATTTAAATACCAACATTGTCAATGTGCTAGCAAAAATGTTATGGGGGCAATAAACGTTTATAATTTTTACATGAATTTTTTTATTTAAAACCTTACTAATATTAAGTACATATTGGTTAAATATTGTCTAATGGGGCTATCACACTTGTGCATTTTGACTCTTAAGCTCAACTCAGAATTGCTCACTCTCCAAAAACGGACTCTCTCTCACACACCTAGCGTACGGGTATGTCCATTTCCAACTTCAAACCAGTGTTGTGATAGTACCGAATGTGAACATGTTTAAAACGAGATTTGCCAACACAAACAGGTTCAGAAACATTCTGCAGCCAGTGCATGTCCAGTACAGTACAGTACTGTACTGAACAACAGTGCGTAACAGACGTGAACAACCACCTAAGTAACTGGCAGGCTGACTTAGGGCTGAAAGTGTACTGATTTGACTTAGAGTTCTAAGACATTTTGAAACCATATGAAATGAATATTTGGATGTATCCTAAGGCAGGCATGGGAAATCTTTCCTCAGTAGTGGGCTGCATTACAATTTAGCTATTTTTTTGTGGGCCAACCCACCAATATTTATATCCTACCTAACCCAAAAGTACAGTAGTGTGCAGTACAGTACAGTAGCATTCTCGCCTCGCAAGCAAGCGTACCCGAGTTCGATCCTCGGGCAGGGTGAAACTACAGTATGGGCAAGTTTCTTTACGCCATTTGCCTCTGTCTACCCAGTAGTAATTGGGGACCTGGATGTTAATCGATTTGTGGATCGTATTCCGAGGTAATGGTTAGCCAGTGCAGTTGGCGAGTTGTCTGGTCTTCTCGGACTATTCCTTGAAACTGGGTCATGCAACTCGTTAACTTGGGGTGTGGTTGTTGTGTTGGCGACAGCTTCTACACCTTAAACAAATTCACGCCAAGGTGGCCCTTGGGCCGGCCATCCATGTTACACGAGGGGCAACCATTAGTACAGTACAGTAGTAGTGCAGTGCAGTACAGAAGAGTACAGTGCAGTAGTGTACAGTCCTGGGAACCCTCCCAGGGACGATGGCGCACCCAGAAACTCTTCCTGGGACAGCGGTGCCCCCAAGGACCATCACGGGCAGTCCTTCCTCCAGGGACCATTGCAGTGGCAGCTGTACCTCTAGGGACTCTCCCAGGGGCTGCCATACACCTAGGGAACCTCCCTGGGACAGCAGTGCCCCCAGGGATTCTCCCAGGGTGGGCAGAACCTCCAGGGACCATCGCAGTGGCAGCCATACCTCCAGCGACCCTCCCAGGGACAGCAGCTGCTCCAAGGGACTCTCTGGGGCGCCGGCGCTCCCGGTAACCCTCCCAGGTGCGACGGTGCCACCAGGGACCATCCCAGAGATGATAGCATCGTCAGGGACCCACCCAGGGGAGGTGGTGTCTGCAAGGACCTTCCTAGGAGCGGCGGAGCCCCCAGGGACCCTACCAGAAGCAGCCGCATACCCAGCGACTCTCCCAGGAAAAGCAGTTTCCCCAGTGACTCTCCCAGGGTCAGCAGTGCCTGCAGGGAGTCTCCCACGGGCGGCAGTGCCTCCAGCGACCCTCCTAGGGCTGGGAGCGTTCCCAGAGACCCTCCCTGGGACACCAGCTCCCCGTGGGACCCTTCCAGTGGCTGCAGCACCCCTGGGAACCCGCCCAGAGATGGCAGTGCCTCCAGGCACCCTGCCAGGGGTGGCGCCACCAGGGACCCTCCCAGGGATGACAGCTCCGCCAGGGACCCTCCCAGGGACGGCGCCATACTCAGAGACCGAAACCACTGGTCCCCATGGGCCCTATGGCATGCTTGTTTATTGTGTCATATATATTACATACATCCAGAAGTCCTTTATTTAACTATGATTGGTGGACTATTCTTTTAACCCACCAAATTATAGCCAATAGGAGAAGAGAGCAGTCAGTCAGCACACCCCAACTTATGATTTCCTGTTGGACATTATTCTCTGTTACCTTCTTCAGAATGCGATGATGATACTGGAAATGTCATGGACAGTGTATTTATTTAACGTTGCATCTCCCAGAGTTCTAAATAGAGCTAAAACTACTACACCCAGGGATCCTACAGGTCTGACTCTCACAGGGACGGTAGTGCCTCTAGGGATTCTCACGGGCTGCAGGGCCCTCAGGGACACTCCCAGGGACGGCAGCGCCCCAGGAATCTCACCCAGCGATGACGGCGCTCCCAGGGTTCCTTCCAGTGGCAGCAGCACCCTCAGGGAACCTTCCATGGGCGGCGGAGCCCCAAGGGCCCCTCTCAGGGCAACTGTGCACCCAGGGAACCTCCCTGGTACAGTGGCAGCGCCATGGACTCTCCCAGGAGCGGCAGGGACCATCGCCGGGGCAGCCGTACTTCCAGGGACCTAACCAGTTGCTGCCTTACCTCCAGGGCCCTCCCAGGAAAAGCGTCTACCCCCAGGGTCCTTCCAAGGGGCACCGGCTACCCTGGGAACCCTCCCAAGGACGACTGCGCCGCCAGTGACCATCACAGGAACTATGGCAATGCCAGGGACCCTCCTGGGGGCAGTGGCTTCCGCAGGGACCTTCCTTGGGGCAATGGAGCCCCCAAGGACCCTCCCAGAGGCAGCCGCATACCTAGCGACTCTCCCAGGAAAAGCGGTTTTCCTCAGGGACCCTCCCAGGAAACCTTCCATGGGCAGCGGTGCCTGCAGGTAGCCTTCTAAGGGCGGCAGTGCCTCCAGGGACCCTCCTAGTGGCGTCAGCGTCCCCTGAGACCCTCCCAGGGGCACTGGCGCCCCCAAGGACCTTCCCAGTGGTGGCAACACCCGTGTACCCGCCCAGCGATGGCAGCGCCCCCTGTGACCCTCCGACAGGTGGCGGAGGCAGCCGTACATCCAGGGAACCTCCCAGGGACAGCGGCTACCCACAGGGACCCTTCCAAGGGCGGCAGAGCCCCAAGGACCCTCCCAGTTGCAGCCGCGTACCCAGGGACCCTTCCAAGGGCGGCAGAGCCTCAAGGACCCTCCCAGTTGCAGCCGCGTACCCAGGGACCCTTCCAAGGTCAGCGGCTTCCCCCAGAGAACCACCCATGGGCAACCGCACACTCAGGAAACCTCCCAGGGGCAGTGGCACCCCCATGGACCCTTTCAGGGGCTTCGGCGCCCCCAGGGCTTTCCCTGGGGAAACGGTGTCACCGGGATCCCTACCAGCAACGACGGCTCCGTCAGGGACCCTCTCAGGGACGATGGCGCCGCCAGGGACTCTCCCAGGGGCGATGGCATCCTCAAGAAACCTCCCTGGAACAGTGGTTTCCCCCAGGGACCCTCCCAGGGTCAACTGATCACCCAGGAACCCTCCCAGAGGCAGCAGAGCGTCCAAGGACCCTCCCAGGGACAGCAGCTCCCTCAGGGAGTCTCCCAGGGACGATGGCGCTGCCAAGGACCCTCCCAATGACGGCGGAGTCCCTATGGACCTTCCAAGTGGGGGCGAATTCCCCAATGACCCTGCCAGAGGCAGCCGCATACCCAGGGACTGCGGTTTCCCCCATGGAACCACTCCCAAGGGCAACGGCATCCCCAGGGAACCTGTAAGGGACAGCGATGCCGCCAAGGACCCTCCCAGGGGATTCGGCGCTTTCAGTGACCCTGCTAGGGGCGGCAGCACCCCAGGGATCCCTCCCAGCGACGACGGCGCTGCCAGGGACCCTCCCAGGGATGGCAGCATCCCCAGTTAACCTTGCAGGAGTGAAGGAGAGCCCAGGGTCAGCTGCGCACCCAGGATCCCTCTCAGGGACAGTTGTGCCCCCATGGAATGACCCATGCATGGCAGCATCTCCAGGGACCCTACCAGGGGCGCCAGCGCCCCCAAGAACCCTACCAGTGACGACGGCGCTGCCAGAGGCCCTCCCAGGGACGTCGGCACTGCCAGGGACCATCCCAGGGGCCGTGCCCTACCCAGGGCTCATAGCAAGAGTCCCCAGGGGCCCTATGGCATGCGTGTTTGTTGTGTCATATATATATTACATACTTCCAGAAGTCCCTTGCTTAACTATGATTGGTGGAGTATTCTTTTAACCCAACATATTACAGCCAATAGGAGAAGAGAGCAGTCAGTCAGCACAACACCCCAACTTATGATTTCCTGTTGGATATTACTCTCTGTTACCTCCTTCAGAATACGATGATGAATACTGAAAATGTCATGGGCGGTGTATATATTTAACATTGCATCTCCCAGAATTCTAAATAGAGCAAAAACTACTGTACTCAGGAATCTTAAAGGTCTGACGCTCACAGGGACCCACCCAGGGGCGGTGGCGCCTCCAGGGACACTCCCACGGGCGTTGGCGCCCCCAAGAATCCTCCCAGCGACGACGGCGATGCCTGACACCTTCACAGGGATGTAAGCGTCGCCAGGGACTATCCCAGGGGCAGCGCCCCATTCAGGGACCCTACCATGAGTCCCCGGGGGCCCTAGCAGGCCG